GGCAGATAACTAAATCTAAAAACTTTTAAAGCAGTATATTCAATTTTAAGCATTTTAAATTCAATTAAATAAAATAAGTACTTGTGTTTATACTACAGTTTCAAATTTATTTATACTTAATAAATAATAAATACATAGAAATGTTATAATTATTACAATAAGGCAAGTTATTTAACTTATAACGGTAAATTCTAAAATCGACTCACTTTGCAATGTGCATAAAATTAGAAAAAATATAAACAGAGAATTATCATTTGAATTATTCAAATTAAACTATTAAAATATTCCTTAAAAATTTTATAATCAACCGACTATAAACATTTTACAATAAATTTACCTAAACTTTAAAAACATTATATTGTTTAAACAGGTAAAATATACAGGGATAAACTTCAAACTTCATTACAATAACATATTTTATACAGTTGTCCGTAAGGTTTATGTTTAATTCAATGTGCTCTGTAGAATTTGCTAGATGTATATTTTGGTTTCAGTTTACAATAAGCTTTCGCCCTGTGTCGTTTTGTAATAAGAGCCTTCATTGTGGTAGATAAAATAATATAAATAAAGTTTGTTTATTCAATATATACTTATATACAAATCATAATAGGTAAGCGGTGCACTTTAAGATTTTTTTTTATGAATCGCCTTATGGGCAATATTTTATTGTTTTGTTTAAGTGTTTTATTTTAACCTCTTTGGATATAATTTATATTGTTTACAAGCTTTATTTATTCATAGGATTGGTCATGTATAACTTAAAAAAAGTATGTGGAATAAACATAAAATATTGTATAATAAACTCGACTAAGAAATCACAATCTACTCTTTGTACTATGGATAATATTCCTCGGCCGAATTCATTACCTTTTATCGGGACAAAATTAGATCTTATAGCTGCTGGAAGTGGAAAAAAGTAAGTAAATTTTAACAAGTGATTGCAAACATTCATTTCCGTCCATCTAAAACATCTAATCCCAAAAATAAAATCTATTTCTGTATGTATTTGCGCTTAATTCTAATAAACTATGTATATTATAATATGTATTAGTTATATATATATTATGTATTAGTTATATATATATTCTTACAAGAAACTACTCGTGTTGCCCACAATTTAATATCTATGCATACCCATAATTTTCTTCAAATCTCGTGACTCATCTCTTAATTAATTGAATACAAAAAAATTTTAAACTATTAGTTCCCACGGGAACCGTTCATTTTTTCGGGATGAAAAGTAACCTGTTATTTGACTGGCAATATAAGGTATCAGAATGTAAAATTTTACTAAATTAGGTGCATAAGTTGTTGTGTGCTAAACTGTATAAGATACCATAGGTTTTTAACTATCCCACGGGAACTCTTTCATTTTCCGGGATGAAAAATATCTAAGATGTTGACCGAGGATATAAGGTACCACTATGCAACATTTCATTTAAATCGGTCCAATAGTTTAGGAGATTAGCCCGTACAAACAAAGACACAAAAAAAATTGAAAAAAATCTGGATTTGTTCTATTTGTCTTCTTACATCCCCCTGACTCGGTTTTTAGCATTTTTTTGCTATGTACAGACATTCGACCTCTACTATTTTATTATAGTATAGATTAAGCGTGAAAGTATTTTATTTCCGTCATTAAAAAAGCTTAATGTGAAGTGTGTAGCCTAAGACTAAAAGATTTAATGTCCGACCGAAAGTTCGGTTTCGGTCAAGTTTTGACGAATAAACGGGTTTCGGTTTAGTTTCGGTTTCGGCAGCAAACCTACCGAAACTACGACCGAATCCGAAACTGCATTCGGGATTTCTCGCTGTGATCGGTCATGTTCGAAGCGTTGCCCTCCCAACGTGCGTTCACCTTGTCGTGGTGGGGGGGCTTAGTAGTGCCCGGCAATACAGCCGGGTGCGAAGCCAAGAAACGCAAAGGGAGCTGGCCCGCTTCGGTGGGCGGTGGAAGGCGGCCCTCTTCGGAGGGCGGTGTACCATGCGGGTTGCTCCTAGTACTTCTCTGATAGCAGAGTGGACCTTGGAGCAACCCCATGGTTGTTGTGGTCTGCTTCGGAAGACCTGCCGTCGAGGCGTCGTAGTTGAATGCGTAAGCGATCCTGCGACGCCCCATTAAGACGGGGGAAGGCTTTGTTGGGTTTTAGTGGGTAGTACTGGCTTTGCCGGTAAGTCCCACACCTCGTGCGTAAATGCATATCCCAACGTAAAATAAAAAAAAAACTAAAAGTTCGAAGAGTTGGATTCCATCCAAGTGACGAAAACATTCTGTCGCGTCCACGTGCCTAATCATTTTGTGACTGGCTTATGTTTGCGTTTTGTTTGTTATGAGTTTTCGTGTGATTTATTTTGAATTCGGTTAGTTTTATCACGTGATAGAGCATACGAGTAGATAGTGAACATCAAGAAATAATTCAATATAACAAACTAATACATAGATTATAGTAGAATCAAGTTTAACGTAATTATCTGAATATTTAATTTAATTATCCTATATCTTTCAACGAGCAATTCTTGTGTGTGTATATATATATATATATATGTATATATATATATATATATATATATATATATATATATATATATATTATGTATATGTATATATATATATATATATATATATACACACATATACATATAATAAAATTGTAACTAAGTCGAATCTGTACATTAAATATTTTTTTAAAAATTTAATTGAAATAGACCTTATTATCGATACAGAGTCCGAATCTATAGTTTTTAGAATTTTTGTCTGTCTGTCTGTCTGTCTGTTAATGCATCACGAGAAAACCACTGGACAGATTTTGATGAAATTCGGTATGATAATAGCTGGTTATGCGGGTCAACATATAGGACTTTTTATCGCGAAAAAATATCTCATTTCTGAGAAAAAATACAAAAACTGCATTGTAAGAGTATACTAATATGTTAAACTTAAGAATTTTATTTTTGGTCATCTGAACGCGGGCGGAACCGCGGGCAATGCTAGTATATATATATATATATAAATCTCGGAAACGGGTCCAACGATTTTCATGAAATTTTGTATACATGGGGTTTCGGGGGCGATAAATCGATCAATCGATCTAGATTAGTCTTATGTCTGAGAAAACGCGTGTTTTCGAGTTTTCATGCAGTTTTCTTTTGCATTATTTAACGCAAAATATGGTCGGTAATTTGCACGCTCTGGTGTAAGCATTGTGGTCAAGCGGCCAAGGTGCAAGATTAACAATCACGGTTCGAATCTTGGTCGCACACAAAGTTTTTACTTTTTTTTTTATATTTATTCAAGTTTTTTGTTTAAAAAAAAAGAAAATTGTGCTTTAGCCAAAAAATCCGACCGAAGCTCGGTAGCCCAGGTACTGAATACTAATAAGAAATAACGATTACAGATACCTACTTGAAATTATCAGTGTCTAGTCGTCGCCTTTCGCATACATATGATTACGATTAGTTTATAATTTAGTCGTTTAGTTTTTGTTTACGTTTTTGTTTTTTTTTTTACTGAAAAAATGTCATACAACGACGAACTAAGTTTAGAAGAAGTTAATTGTGATTGTTGTGTGAAAAAGTGATTTATTTTGTTTTCTTTATTATTTAAACATTAAGCCCGAGAGCTGGCGACGAATTTTGGGAAGGTCCTTTTGATATTAAATATTCTGTTGTGAAAGCAGAGCCGGAACTATACTGGAACCACGCGGTTTCTCGATAACCAATAACAATGCGAGGACCTTGGGCCCCCATCAGCTGCCGGCATACCTCGATAAGCTATCTTTCTCGCACCTATGGCTACGCGTAAAACTTTATTTGCGTCTGGGAATTGTTTAAAACCGGTAAATTTGTCTGGCGGTTTGCAAGTATTATTGAATATTACTCAATAAACACGAGATTGAAATTTTAGACTGCCAAAAGTACCTATATTTTTGGGAATTTTAATGAAAAATCTTTGGAGACGTCTGGTAATACTTTATAACCGACAAAAACGTCTGAGGTTCATTGTTTTGAATTAATTCTTCCACAACCTTGGACAGCCCGGCTTGTCAGTTAACAGTAGATTTCTTAGATATTTAATTAATTTATTAGAAATGTACCTGGAGGTGTTATATAAAAACTAAATCAAAAGATTAAAAAAAATCATATTGCCAAAAATATTTTTTTTTTATATTTTTTTGCAAATATTATATACTGAGCAGTAACAAAATAACCGCAAACGCTATCCCAGACTCGCGGGACTGGAGTGAACAATTGACGAAATTATATTTTTTCACAGTTTTAACTAAAATCTAAAAAATAACCAAACGGAGGTTTCTTTTAGAATAGATACCTAATCAGATGTTTTCGAAGTCGGTGCCGAGTTGACAATGTTTTAAGATATGAATATCTAATAGGTAATTATGTATATTAAGTATCGAAATATATTAGATTTGCTTTGCATCGGCTGGCACCGACTTTGAAAATATCTGATTAGGTATCTATTATAAATGAAAACCTCCGTTTAGTTATTTTTTACATTTAACTGCCTGGAAGTCGGTTTTTTTTAAGTTTTTATCACAACTTACACAACATGCTGATCTCTGCACTTAGGCGATAGAATTAGAATTGAAGCTTAGATAAATTGTTTCATTGTATTGCGGAGATATGGTACTAATTCTTAATCTTTATTCTGAATACATACAATAAAAAGAGATTCGTTAAATCCGCTTAGATTTTAAAATCAGATCGGATTTAACGAATTATTTATTTACATATACTTGTGTTTGTATTAATTAGAGTTTTTCTTATATAGGTTACACAAATATGTGGATAATCGTCATAAACAATTAGGGACTATATTTTCGGAACGTCTCAGTGGAAATACAGACCTTATTTTCTTAAGTGACCCAGAATTAATAAAAACACTTTTTATCAAGTTGGAAGGTAAATATCCATCACATATATTACCTGACCCTTGGATTTTATATGAGAAATTATATGGATCAAAAAGAGGATTATTATTTATGAACGGTGAAGAGTGGTTGCAAAATCGCCGAATAGCAAATAAGCATTTATTAAGAGATGATGCTGAAAGATTGATACGTTCAGCAATTGTTGAAAGTGTGGAAAAGTTTATATTACAATTAAAAGCAGAATGCAGCAAAGAATCTCAGGTTAAAGATATGGAATCGAAACTTTATAAACTTTCTACAAGTGGTTAGTTATCATTTATCATCATATATCACTATATGTGTACAAGTACTCATTTTGTTCATGTAATTTTATTAATTATATTTATATATATTTTTGTTAGTGATTATTGGCGTGCTATTGGGAAAAAATACATTAAAAAATAGTCGACACCATGAAGAATTGTTACAAATATTTGCAGCCTCTGTTAAAAAAATATTTCAAGTCACCACAAAATTATACGTTTGGCCTGTGGATTGGTGCCAACGATTAAATTTAAAAGTGTGGAGAGACTTTAAAGAATGTGTCGACTTATCACTCTTGTTAGGTAATAAAGATTTGTTTTACTAATAAATAGTTAGTAATGTGACTTAATTGTATTATAATTAGACATGCTTTTAAATTCCAGCAAATAAAATGGCAAGTGAAATGATAAGAAATGGAGACAAAAGTGACGGACTAATAAACAAATTAGTTGGTGAAAACATAAAAAATGAAGATATAGTAAGGATAATCGCGGATTTTATTATTGCTGCTGGTGATACGGTAAATATGAGTTAGTAAAATTCAATTAATATTATAACGAACATAATATGTATATCATATATGTCATACTTTTATAACATTAATTGAATTTATTATTTTACCTATTGGTAATATAATAAATATGTATTTTAATAACTCAGACTAAACAATTATAAAGAAGGCCGGCGAAAAAAGTCATAGTCAAATATAGTGTCGTGATTTTGCTTTTTATGCTAGTAATCTCGAATTTGTTATACAAATCGTTTACTTTCTTCAAAGAAAAAGGGAATTTAAGAGTTGCGAATGCGTAGCCGGCTTTCAAGGGACGACTCGCTCGACGGTATACTCCCGTTAAATAAAATCTTTTTTCAATAACTAACAAAATGAATTAATTAAGCATGTGGTTATTGCAATTTTGTAATGGAGATTTAAGAAATATAAACTGCAGCAACTATATGTGTAATACTAACTTAGAAAAACTTAGAAAAGTAATTAATAATATTTTATAATATTTACATACTTACGTTTAATTCTATGGGTTCCCGTGCTAAAGTATTATATCGGTGGAGTTTGCCAATAGACACTATATCAAATTACATTCGGCATTCAAGTAAAGGCGTGAGGAACTTTGTTCCTGACGGGGGTCCCCCGATCGCATGTATATTTTTCTTTTTTTTTATAATAAAATTTATGTATTTTTTATTTATTAACTTATATTTACTTTTCTCTCATTACACAAATTGTTATTTATATGTATACTGTTGTAAGACATATTATTCCTTAGTCTGAGTTAAATAATTAAATTCTTAATTTCGAATTATGAATTTGGATACATATTTGGATATTATTTTGTATTTATAGTAATATTTTTGTTATAATTTATTTTCTTTTTTTTTATATTTACTATATATGTTTAATATTCTAGACTGCATACACGACGCTTTGGATTCTTCTTTTATTATGTAAAAATAAAAATGTTGTTTATGATATTCGATCAAAGGAAGATGATTATGTTAAGTTTGTTGTGAAAGAGGGAATGAGATTATATCCAGTAGCACCATTTTTAACGAGAATATTACCAGAAAATACTTTTTTAGGAAAATATGAAGTTAATAAACAGGTGAGATTTATAATGTTGGCATTGACATTTAGTAAAGACTGCGGTTTCAACATACTCAACCATGATTACGGTCATGCATCTTTTATTCACTCGCGATCAAATTGCTAATGTCGCGTGTGTATGCTACCCTAGATTAGGTCCATGACAGAAATTTTGCTGTATATTATTTTTATATTTTTGTTGACTGCGTCGGTCGTATAATGCATAGTTAGCATGTACGGCTGCAGTTTTGAAGATCCTGGATTCGAGTCCTGACTCCGGTCAAGTGTAATTTTATTAAATTAAGATATTTTTAGTAGTAGGTACCCTGGAGTTAAGAAGTGGGCAGTGTTACACCCTCGTGCCTCGGAGAGCACGTAATGATGTCGGTTCTGCGCCTGATCTTTCATAGGTCATGTCAAAGTATCGCTCCATGGGCCTTTGAGAGAAATAGAGAGTGTACTTATGTTTGCCTTGGCAACAAACGGTTAACTAACTCTCTTTCACTTTAATCTATCTTTGCCATGGTAACCGTTGTTATGGTCTGACAAATGATATATAATATTATATTCTTTCTTTCTTTTCTTTCCAATGCGGTCGCTTTTACATAAGTGACAGGTATTTTATCATGCACAGAAAAAAAATAGCTTTAATTTGACATATAAATCATGAATATACGCCATGAACGTATAAATGTAACAAAAAGATCTTTAATGACTCGCAACCACTTTTGCGGCCACTTTTACATAGGCAGACGTAGTTTATCAGGTACAGAAAAAAAATAGCTTTAATTTGATATATAAATTATGAATATACGCTATGAACGTATAAGCGTACCAAAATATGACCCGCTTACACCTGGCTGCGAAGACGTTGCGGCCAAATTCGCAACGGCAGCTATCATTTTTCAAGATCTCTAAGTATATAGTTCTGTGAAGTGGAGTATAATTCATTGTAATAACAAATGCATCGTTTTTGTTTCAAAAAGTCAACTATTATTTATTTAATTAAACATACTAGCGGGCACATTTTGATAGGCACCTCGGTCAAAACATATTGTCCCTTTTATTATTGTATATAAAAAAATGATTTCGATTAAATACGCTATGAACGTAGCAATCTTGCAGCGGGATCTTAGTCCAGAACAACAAGCTTGAAAATTCGATTTTACGGCGATCGAAATCTGATGGCCTGCTTGCACCTTAACAGCAACAGTTCAATGTATATTTTTAACCGAACATTAATTAAAATTATTTTTTTGAATTGCCTATTAGAAATCGGCTTATTGCGAATAAAAATATTGTTATTAGTAAATTGATAAATAGGTAACTTTGAAATTTTAGTTGTTCCTAAACGCCAATGCCAAAATTAACAAAAATATTCTAGTGTCAACTGTCATTACTCATTTGTCAAAGTCAGTACAGGCCGAGTCAGGAATACATAATTTTAAAAATGAGCCTTTTGCTTATCATTATTCATTATAAATAATTATTAAAATCAACATGCTTATAACCAAAATAATATTTAATATAAGAAGTGTCCAAAGAGCTTCTAAGCGGTGTTATAGTATTGCAAATAATTTAACTTTTGATAGAAGAAAACATAAGTGCAATGATCACCAATATTACAGAAATAAAAATAATAATATTTTCCGCCACACCGCTAATACAAGAAATTTATCAATCGATAGTATTGTGAAGTGGCAAGAGCAAACATACAATAGTATTTCTAGTAGCAACCTTGTGAATTTTATACAAGATGGATTGCTGTACTTTCACGACACTACTGGATTAACTTGGTCTTCTACTATTATAACTACAACGATATTAGTACGAGCATTTATGACTATGCCACTTTCCGTTTATCAAAGTTATATATTGGCTAAAGTAGAAAATATTGGCTTGGAACTTAAGGATTTAGTAAATGAATTAAAAAAAGAGACTGCTATGGCTAAAAAAATGTATAATTTGAGTGATAAAAAAACGATGATACTGTACAGATTATCAATGAAAAAACAGTGGAGAAAACTTATAGAAAGAGACAATTGCCACCCTCTGAAAGCTACCTTAGTCATTTGGTTTCAAATTCCTATTTGGGTGTGCATATCTTTTGCACTTAGAAATTTAGTTAATATGCACCCTCCTGACCCTACTGCAGTTATAACATTCATGGAATTACAAGCAGGAGGTTTTGGTTGGATACCAAACTTAACTGTGCCCGATCACTCTCTCATATTGCCTATTGTATTTGGCATTACTAATTTGGCTATTATAGAAGTTCAAAAAATGTCTAAGCTGAGAGAACCATCAAAGCTAAATAACATTTTTACAAACATATTTAGAGTATTTTCCATTGTAATGATACCTGTTGCAGCAAGTGTTCCTTCATGTTTGTGTTTATATTGGACAACATCAAGTGTTTTTGGTTTAGCTCAAAATTTACTTCTTCTGTCACCATCATTAAGAAGAAAACTTAAAATACCAGAAGCTCCAAGTGAATTAGAAAATCCTTATGCCCATATTAAACAAGAAATAAAACAAAGAGTTACAAGAATATTCCCAAAAAGATCATAGTCATTACTTATTATTATTAAAGTAAAAAATATCCTAAAAAAACAACTTATCTGTTTTATTATTTCAGACTCCAATTATAGCTTCAATATATACAACAGGGCGAGATGAACAGTATTTTTCCCATGCACAATCATTTCTTCCTTACCGTTGGGATAGGAATGATTCTCGTAAAGCGAAGCTTGCGAATCATGTTCCTTCAGCTTCTCTTCCCTTTGCTATGGGAGCTAGATCTTGTGTAGGAAAAAAAATAGCCATGATACAACTTATAGAGGTTATAAGCCAGGTAAAAACCGTTTCCAAGTAAAAGACTACTTATGAAAAAATAACATTTTATGTTCAAAAATAATTGAAGTTCTTTTTCTTGATTGTGTTTTTATAGATCAGCAAATTACTAATATTAATTAATGTATTGATAGTTCCTATATATAATATACAAGGCTACTTGTGACTATCCACAATTGGTATTACACCAAATTGTATAAAAGATGATTAAAAGTTCATTTGTTGCTTACTTTTACAGATTGTGAAAAATTTTAACTTCCAGTGCAATAATAAAGAGAATATAAATTCTATCACTTCTCAAGTGCTAATACCAGATAAATGTATAGAGTTTTCTTTTACTGTAAGAAATAAAATTGATCATCTAAGCATTTAAGGGTATTGGAATGAAACAACAATGACTGTTTACCTTTATTTTTATAATGTTTGATTGAATACAGAGATTATGGTTACACATATAGTTTTATTTTATAATAAATATGACCTATTATAAATATATAAGTTCAATACATCAAGATTATTATGGAATGTTTGTTTAAAGGGTGTCTTCATCTATGCTATGCATTTATATAATATAATTATTACAAGTATAAATGTCATGAAAATAGTTTGTTAGTTAATAAAAAAGGTTAGTTTTATTTTAATAAAATGATGAGTCCTATAAATAAATACACATGATGTGTCCAGTGTCACTGAAGACATACCACTAGAGAATTATAGCTGTTAATAAAAATATAGTAATTATCATTTATTTAGTAACTCGCACAGATTATAGTAAACATAGTCTATTACTTAGAAATACATTCATAATACTCGAGATTATTTGCCCCACAGAAATCTCTTGTGCATAGGTAGAGGCACCCTTAAAATTACATTTGGTATGCTACTTATATTCTAAACATTCATTTTTAAATGCAATCTAAAACATCGAGATATTAAAATACTAGTAGGATAAACATTAAGAGGTTGGCCGTTTTATACAAGTCGGCGCAACACTGGCCGCACAGTCGACATGTAAATATCGCAAATTCAGCCAAAGAAATACGCACCATATAATATTTTTATCCATTTTTTTCTCCCACGGCTATGGAGCATTTTCCGCGCCGGCTTTTGGGAGAGTTACCGCCGTAATTTTATTACAGATTTCATTTAAAGTAATATTTCATTACATGAAAACTACAAAGTTTAATATTACTATGATACCTTAAAAGGCAAAAGTTATAGAATACAATTGTATAATTAATAAATACCTACTATAGGATACTTGTACACCAATAATTTAAGTATACTGATTGGTTAATCGTCCGTACATCCTTGATATCACACAACCTTGTCATGAACAACCAATAGCCTAACATTTACTGCAAGAACCCGGCTTTTTTTTATACATTTTTAAAAAATATATGGCCTTTTCTCATTTAACCAACTGCCTCGTTAGCATTGCTTTAATATCTTCCAACCACTGATCTTTGTATGGCAGATCAAGAATATTTTTGAAAGATTTAAATCTGTCTGTTTCTGTCATCCGTCCAGATAACAAGTATGCAACGGCCTCGACGCACAAGAATCCCATACCATCACTTAAAGACCAGATGTAAATTCTGTCAGCCGTGTTTGGTGCCAGTTTAAACTGTAAAATGGCACTGCTCAGTAACTCTTTCAGTTTTTCGAATAAGAATCTATCAGCCAAGAGCAGTACCTCTAAATTAGTGTCGAGGTTATCAGCCATGGGAAACACTTCGATGTCGCATTTGGTATTATTTAACCCACATTGAAGCAGTGTGAACAAATACTCCAAAGCATCTTTTGTTACGTTTTTGAGACGTACGCATTTTTCGCCAGATTCCTTAAATCTTCCCATTAACATAGCACTGAATACCTCGGAATGCTGACATAAAAATAACTTATTAGCTCTCACGGTTGTCGAGTCGTCTAATTGAAAGATGACAATGTCTTCCGGTGACAAGTTATCAAGAAGAGGATCGTAGTTAACATGAACTTTGTCTTTATATCTTTTCTCCAAAAGTTTGGGATCTTTTATATTGACGTTGTTAGCAAGTTTCACTAACGCAGTTACACAGTCTTGAATATCTTCTTTTGATTCAGAAATGATGTGAAATAGTAGATTAAGACCATTGCAATCTATCAGATATTTCTTCAAAGCTTTCTCTGTCCTAGAAAAAAGAATGCATTGTTCTTTAGTAAAAAAAAAGAGTAAATAACTAAAAACACATTGACTTTAAAACTACCTAATATTGAATATTTAAACTTTAGAATTGGATATTTTTTTGAAATTTAGGCTCCACCCTTAAAGTATGAATATAAGTACCTATTTATTGAAAACAAGATTATTAAAAAATCGATTTACAATTAGTGAAGATATCGCGTAACATACACTCACACGCGCGCACACACATATACACACACATATACACACACAAAAACGTACAACTGAATTGAGTACCTCCTTTTTGAAGACGGACAAAATATATCTGTGCTTATCATACTTCGTATTCTTACTTTGACGACACGTTTGGCTTAATTTATAGTGACCCTACTAGCTGTGGCAGTGGTCGCGGGTTCGAGTCCCGCTGAAGGCATTTATTTGTGTGATGAGCACGAATGTTTGTACTCCAGTCATGGGTGTTTACATTTATAATATATATGTATTTATAGTTATATATGTGTAGTGTATCAACTATCTGGTATCCATAACACAAGCCTCTTAGCTTACCACGGACTAGATGGTGCTGTGTATTAATATTTACCTGACAACATAAGGCAAAGTTAGAGCCAGTGTCTGTTTCATAGAAGAGCTTCCTTTTAATAAGTGATAGCTTATTTTCCCAATACCATAGCTTGATTCTGCTATCAGTCCTAACTGTGACAAAAGCTTAGAACTCAATTTCAAGATCTGCAATAAAAAATATTGTGTTATATATGTAACATCAATATATTATGTCAATCAATATGTTTTGAAGACAATTGTCTAATAAACAAAATTGTTTTATTTATATATTTTGCTTTATTTACCTGTTTGCACTGTGTGCATTGATCTGGTGGATGTTTCGAATAGACAGACATGCGGTGAAGCCGCAAGGCTAGTCGGTGCCTTAGAATACTCATCAGGCAAAGATCATTACTGCAAAGACAGGTTTCTTAATTTAATAAAAAAAATATATTAAGTCTATACTAATTTCTTCGGTATTAGTAACAAAAGATCGTATTTTTAATTTGACATCCCGATTGAATTTGAATTCCAATAACATTTCATACCAGTTACTTACATATGTCATTATAGAAATAGTGTATAAAAATTATTGCAGGTTTCATTTAGAAGTTGATGACGTCAGCGTCAACTACTTTATATAAACAAGATTAGGTAACAAGATAAGATGAAAAATTGAGCTTAAGGTTGCCGTTTCGCATGTGTTGTCATTTCACACTATGCTATGTATATGTTGCTATTGAATCAATAAACTGCGAATATTTGACACATTTCCAATGTACTTAGACATAACAATTTTAAGTTTAAAAGAATAAATGATGTTGCGATTTGTTTCTCCATTCGTCTATGATGTTTCATGAAGAACATTTTTCTTAATTAAGCTTTATAGCCCTAACTTTCAAACTCTGAATTATCAATAAATTTATTGACAGGAAACTCCAAGTAGACCAACAATCAGAATCCTAACCTGAGCACCCTCGCCAGTATCCTGGCAGCTCGGCCCATAGGTCGTTTGCAACGCTCCACATAGTCCAACAGCCCGTTGAGGCAGTCCTTGCCCGTGAGCAGGTCCATGGTGTGGTTGGGCACGGGGTCGTCCCGGATGGAGCCGCACGTGGTGCACGTGCCGTGCGACACGCGGAACAAAAGGACCATCACACAGGCAATGCCTGATGATGACGAGTTTATGTCTATTTTGCACACGTCTGTAATTGTTATGGTTGTGTTAGATTACCCAGTGCAGCATAGTTGCTTCAAAACATAGAATTTATATAGTAGAAATATATTTGAATTATTTGCGTAAGTTGTATTGCAAATGCCCTAATCTTTTGACCAGCTTACCGCTTGTCCCAAAGTTAATCTTACCCTGTTTAATTAGTGTAACAAATTTACTTTGTTTCTCCTCAAAATGAATGTAAAAATTGGACGAAACGGAAGCTTCTTATAATAATCTAGATTGATTCTATTTTGAAGCCATAAAGCGCCTTGTGACCAGGCGCGTATCAAAAGGAGAAGAAGAGAGCCAGAAGTTTCATAATGTAAAATTTTGTTTCAGTTTGGTTTTGTTCTTTGATAACAAACATTTAACTCAACCAAGTAAGCGTTTCAGACGTTTTGCTTTTAATAAATTTGTTTTTCTATTGTTCAAAGAGAAACTGTATAATCTGAGTATTTCTTTCTGACGGATAAAACCACATTTGTTAAGCATCTGTTACTTACTACACTGGACACGTCTTGACAGGCCGTTCACAAAGGTTGGTCCTTAATACTTTGTTATATGTTTATTGTACAGAATATACATATGTATTTATACATCTTTCAGTATACTGATTATATCGTCTTCTTTAAGAGCTCAAAGTGCGTAGAAAACCTAACTTTTAGGTTAAGTGTAGCATAAATTTTCAGTAAAGCAGCGGCTTATGCTCAAGAGGATCTTGGTCAAGTCTTAGGGCGTCGTCGTTGAGTACTTAAGTGATCTTGCGACGCCATCAAGAGAGGTAAGGTTTTCTTGGTTTACAGTGGACAGTACGGGCTTTTCCAGCCGGTGAGTCACCACATAACCACCTGTGCAATAGGTGGTATAAGTGCATTTCCCAACGTTAAGAGAAAGTTTTAATAAGGTTTTCTACCAATATCTTGCAGGTGAAAAAATCGTTCCTCTAGTAGCTCTTAGCTCGCAATTCCTGTCCAATCACTCGATCAATCTGATTTATGGGCAAAATATTAGAAATGGTTTATGCTTACTTTTATACTCCCATTTTTCATTTTCCATTTTTATAATGCATTAGGCATTTCTAAAGTTTTGGTGGTTATAGGCAAAGCTATTTCTTTGCGAAAAGCAATTCTATTCTCTTTCATTAATTTCATAGCCATTAAGGAGATTATTTCCCATGAATGAAACTATGTACAAATTTAATTTAATAATATATGATTTGATTCACTTAAAGCTTTGTATATAGGCCTTACGAATTTAAATTCTCTGAAATACATACCTTCAGAAGGAGATTCTTCACCAGTACTTTCATCATCCATAACAAGTTCATCGAGATCTTGAGCCACTTGTGTTGCTTTTATATTAGTAGATGCACTAGGGGAAGGTTTTTTCTGTTCATCATCTGAGTCACTTTCAGCATCAGTGCAAACCGGTGAATATCGCCCTGATATTTCCGAATCGGAACTTTCTGGAACAATAAATTACAGCAACTTAATTTTATGTGTTATAAAAATTTACGAGAAAATAAAATTTCATTGAAATACAATATTTTCTAGCTTTCGCTCAGTTGTAATATAGTAAGGTTTAAATGAAAATCAAAGTTGCAAAAGATTTCGGTCTTTCCAAGATGAAATTTTGCTGTATTGTTTATTTTTAAGTCTAAAATAGTAGTGTAAAACTATATAGTACCTACGTTTAAATAAAAATCATTTTTGATTATTATCAATAAAAATATTGCTTAACATAACATTAAGTCCAAAAAATCAATAAATAAACGCCACAAGGTTTTTTGTACATACAAAACATAGAAGAATTACCATCATTAGTACTGATCGGGGAAGAAGGACCCGAGCTGTTTGGACTCCATGAATAATCCATTCTATGTGGGGATGATGAACTACCTTCCCCAATACTGGCCCCAGAATCGGGACTCCAGTCCCAACGTCCTCGTTTTGACGCTGAATCCCTATAATCTGGACTAAAGTCAGAATAATTCCCGTCTGAGACCGGTGACATCGGCATATCTCGGCTAGGACTCGTGTCTGTTGGGAACGGTTGGTATAGAGATGGCCATTCAGGGCTCTTTGGCTCCCAGTAAACACCAGCTGACCAATCTTTACTCGCCATTTTTATTAAGTGCGATTTCTGAAAATCATAAAATTAAAATGTATTTTTGATTGAAGTAGTACATTTCTAAGAACATCTAATATCCTTCTGGGCCGCGGCAGATAATCTCACTGAGAATAATCATGTGTAGAAAATACTATAGTTTGCAAATAGCACGCAAATAGATGTGCAATCTATTATTTTTACCGCCCAAAGTTCGGTCGGATGATACGTCGATACGATCGATTCGAGATCAGATCTTACGAGTCAGTCAGGCTTTACAAGCTCTCTGAGGCACGGGGATGAAACACTACCAAGTTTTTAATTCTGAGATAGTTTTCTAACTTTATTTTCTTGACCCGAGACTCGAACCCAGGTCCTCGTTATCTATTAGCCACTAGATCAGATGGCTGGTTTCAGTGAGTTTTCCCGCCGCAGTCGAAATCGGTCAGGAGTACATGTATTTATAACGGATAACTTAAATTTGTCTAGAAAAGATATTATCCAACAAGTAATGAATAAGTTACAAAAGGTTTATCTAAGTTTTCTTTCTATAACATTTTAAATACATTAAAGGTCATTTTTATTTTTTTGCAAAGTTGTGGCGTACAATGAAACTGGTATATACGATTAAAAAAATCCAGCACTACGTTGCCCTAATGTGTTACTTTTCCGAGATATATTTCACTACACTTCCCTCATCACGTGTAAAATCTATTGGTTTATTATTAAATAATAGGTTCCATGGTTTTTATATATGCTATTTTTACTTTAAAATATATAGGTACATATATGTCAGAAAAGTGACACCTTAGAGTATTTTCCTGAAAGATTGTATTTGATTAAGTGCCCTCCGTACATTCACCAGTTACACAGTGTGCCGCTACTTTGAAAGAAAAATTGGCAATGGAATAATTTTCGAAACCCTTTAATATATAGGTCTTCTCGTACTTTTTTAATACTTTTGGGGCTTGAGCGTCCTCGTTTAAGTCCTCTACGTCGTTCTGGTGGGGGTTCCTCATCCTCATCGTCATCACTGTCGCTATCTTCAGAGCCATCGCTGTCGATCGCATCGACAAATCCAACGATCATGTTATCTCTTTCTATCACCACTTTTAAATCATCCCCAGTTTCAGACAATAATAGACTTTTACGCCGCATAAACAGATTGCCCTTAGTGAGATTATTTTTGGTTAAATTTTGCAGGGCAATATCGTATACTGAACTAGGCTCGGTCTTTGGTCTTTCTTTGCGACGGAATGGTTCGCTAGAATTAGTAGGATCAGCGGTCTCAAGATTGTGGTCATATTCCATTGTTGAAATATAAGCTGTCAGTTTATCGGTCAGTAAGCCGACGAGACCTTCTTGGATAAGTATTTGGAATGCTGAAATGCAAAATAGTTAAAATATATATTCAATGTTTGCATTTTGTTTTTAAATTGAATATTATAACTTTTCTCATAAGAAAAAAATAATTCAATATGTTTACATATAATATTATTTGTTTGCTTTTAGATATGTAATATACATACATGTATCATCAAAAACGTATTGCAGCAAGGCGTGCATGGCGTGAGCATTATCCCGAGCCGCCTGAACTAATAACGGTAACCCGCCGCAACGACGTAACCGTGATCTGTTAACCGATTCTCCACTTAATTGGGCAAGTGCTTTAGCTGCTCCCTCTGGCCACCAGGAAATATCTACAAAAATGGTTAGACTTTATACGCAGTCTGTAATTATTAATAAGGTACTTAAAATATTTATGTAATGAAGACCTTCTAACGAAAGATATCTTCAATAAAACTTATTAATAAAAACACATTATTTCTCAATTCTCATACAGATTTTGCATGTTACCTTTGAAAGATTCTTTGATTTTATGTTAAGCCTAGACAGGTAACCTATATCATTACATAAGTATATCTATATATAAATAAAAATTAAATGTGGCACTCGGAGACTGCCGCGGTAAAGCTATTGCATAGCATTTTTTATCAACTTATGCAATTATAATTATTTATTTATTTTATTAATGCAGTATTTTTTTTCCTTGACTTTCTTCATTAATAAATGCACTTTGTTTATTCATATTTAAAACACTTTGTACACAAATTATACGAGTACAGATATTCACTGTTGTACATAGATGATAAATACCTATACACCTATATACTTTCTCACAAAGAGCTGATTACGGTAGTTTTCCAATACAACCAATGCCACCTAAAGGCGGGTTGCTGAACTAAAGAGACAAGCGTGATATTTCAAAAAGTCATTAAAAGTTCTGGTATTTATCGATAGATGGAAAAACTAAAAAGTATCACCGCTGTGCCGGTCGGAGTGGGGGGTGTCAGGTTTTTTTCGTTACGGAATTTCTGGATTCGGTCCCCGCGTTTAAGGCCCGCGATAGAAGCTATGCAATAGCTTAAAAAATGAATCACCGAAATGTATGTACGCGCATAACTCGGATCGACTGCATTGGATAATTCTTTTTTTGTGTTTGTTAATGTCAGGGAGTTTTGTATAGAAAAAAATTAAATTTTTTTTTTACTAAAATAAGATTTTTTTCGAAAAAAAGAGGAGTGAGTGAAGTAGTTTTTATCCCGGAAGTCATCCTTTAAAGGGGTTAGAATGGGGATGAACGTTTACATGGGGAACCAAGCTAGGGACGAACCCGAGCGAAGCGAGGGTGAGTCACTAGTTGATTCTATACAAATACAAGTTTTCGAAACTCTGACTTTATAATATACAACAAGCAATTTAACTGCAAAAACGTTAATATTGCTTGAGAAAGCCTACGCAATATTGCATAATTTTTCTTCTGTATACATATAGTTCAGTGTGTCTTTTCTCCATATATTTCGTTTCATATGAGGGTACAACCAAAATACGGCTCGACTTCCGCCGTGCAGATAATGGGTTGACAAATAGCCTCAACAAATCACGTATCGTTCTGGTCAATGTCATATTTACATGTTCGATTTTCATGTACCGCACAGTTGGCGGCGGAATTCGAATCGGTGCAAATCTACCTTAAAGCGTTTTTACATGACCAATATGAAACTGGAAGCTTGTTTTGGATAGAAAATTCTAATGCTACGTTGCACATAAATTATAATGACGTCAAGAGGCACTACAAAACTTAAACCTCAAAGCGTCGGATACAAATAAGAGCCAAAGTTCGGATGGAAATCTCATTTTGAATGAATGTGTAAGCATAAAGTAATAAATATATCAAAAAGTGATAGGTGCCTAGTTGACAATATCAGAATTTGTCCTCTTTGGTTTGTTATTTTAATTTTTTTCTCAGATATTTATAGTAACACCAATGTATAGGTATTGTGAGTCATTTTGATGTTAATAAATCTAAATTTATTCCTTATAATATACTTATAGCTCAATGTCACAAACTTTTATGGGCACACGTACCTACAATATATCATCAAAGTGTTATCTTAATCGGAAAAATGGTTTAGATAGGAATAAAATGCACACTTTATATTAGTAGGTATATTAGATTAATAAGAGGCCTATCATAAAATGTACTGAGTTCTATGGTATTGAGTTCGAGCGGCCGACGCATGGCTGTTTCGAGCATTTTCTGCAGTTGTAATTATTTCTATGTTAAGTTTTATAATTTAATAAAATTATTAAAAAAAAAGTATGTTATTACGTTCCTTTCGAACTGACGTATATTCTGGTACAAATTTTACTTCCTATATTAATGTTGTAAGGATATATTTACAGCTAATTCTGAACGTATTTAATAATTTTTAAGATTTGGAAAAAGACATTATTAAATAAAACTATCTTTTCGGATTATTTCGCGGATTTATTTTGATTTTTGGTTCCCGACGTTTCGAATGCTTTACAGCATCCATGGTCACGGGAGAGACTGAGGTGTTACATGTCTTAAAGATATAGTTGTTACAGACAGCCTACCCACAATCAACAAAATGAAAATTGCACCAATTACATTACAATATTTTAACTTTAAACATTTTTATAATTTTAATTATAATTGAATATGGAAAATTATTTATTTAATTTTTGCTATTATTTTTATAATTATTACAATTTTAAAAATATTAATTAGTAATCTATATTTAGTGTTGCCATTATTATATTTATAACCATAAAGAAAAATAATAATTATAGTATTAATATTTAAGCCATATAATTGTTCAATGTGTAATTTAAAAAGTTAAAATTAATTAAGGATTATAATTTTAATTTAGTTTGCTATTATTTAAAAACAAACTTACTAAGCAACACTATTAATATATACTTTTACAAATGAAAAATATCAATCTGATAAGCTGTCATTTTGATCTACACAGTATGAACTTACTACATCTGCCTGTCTGTTATGTTTATATTTATTATTTGATTTTATTATATTAATAACAGGATTCCATGACGATGGTAGTACCCAGCCATCTTCCCTATTGAAATTTGGATGTTTTTTAATTTCTATGGCTTCTCGAATCATTCTAGGGCGATATCGGTTTTCTTTCGCCAGGATTTGAGGTCTATCGAAACGAATATAATGGCTTGGGCGGTCCTGGCTATGTTTGCAGACAGCAGATGTTGTATTGCGACGGTGCTTCACATCAGCTATGTGTTCTTTGACCCGGGTTCTAATGGATCGCTTTGTTTGTCCAATGTAAGAGAGCCCACAATCACAATCAAGCTTGTAAACTCCTGCATCTTGTAGAGGGATGTGGCACTTGACAGGTGGTAAGAACTGACTAATTTTCTTTGGCGGCTTGAAGTAAGTTTTAATTGAAGCTCGCTTTAGAATGTAGCCAATCTTGTCAGTGACTCCTTTCATGTATGGCAAGACTGCAGGGACGCGCTCGACTGTGGCTGGTTTTACTCGGTCACTTTTTAAATTACACATTGAACAATTATATGGCTTAAATAATTAATACTATAATTATTATTTTTCTTTATGGTTATAAATATAATAATGGCAACACTAAATATAGATTACTAATTAATATTTTTAAAATTGTAATAATTATAAAAATAATAGCAAAAATTAAATAAATAATTTTCCATATTCAATTATAATTAAAATTATAAAAATGTTTAAAGTTAAAATATTGTAATGTAATTGGTGCAATTTTCATTTTGTTGATTGTGGGTAGGCTGTCTGTAACAACTATATCTTTAAGACATGTAACACCTCAGTCTCTCCCGTGACCATGGATGCTGTAAAGCATTCGAAACGTCGGGAACCAAAAATCAAAATAAATCCGCGAAATAATCCGAAAAGATAGTTTTATTTAATAATGTCAAACATTCGCGTAAATCTAAGAAAGTATTATTTGGAAAAAGATTTTTCACAGGCCGCTATAAACTCAACCACTATATAGGAAATATTATTACATATTTTTCATTTAGTTTGCTTAGTAGGTATAGGTAATATTTCAATCCATGAGCTTGAAAAAGTGCCGTCACGCATTTTATTAAAAACTTGCTTCGGAATTTTGGCTTCATTTCAATTAATAATGAAAATTTGCGAAAAGCGAGGACGCTATGAACTATATTAATAACTATTCTCCACTATATAATAAGTAAAATTGTCAAAGACGTTCAGTTTCTCTGAATAAGAACGCAAAAGACGGGCATTCAATTGAAAAATCACGGTCATAATTTAATAGGCCTCGTAAGACATTTTTGTGTATTGCTTAATCGGATGGAGATAGGATTTCACATTTTTTGTCTACAAACCTACCATGCGAGGGAAACCGCGGGAAAAACTCGTATGTGTCCATGGCGAATAAGGTGGTGATTTGAAGTCTAAAGTGCGCCACCAATCTGGTTTAGACATAACTCGTTTGGGTTTGGACAAAAGTAAAAAAATCGCATAAGATTTTGATTGTTTATAGTAAATACGTCTTTTTAAATCAACCGATTCTAAAAAAAAATACAGAGTAAAAAAATCAATTAATTGTAAAATAAAACAATGCTACATTATAAAATATAATGATTTTAACATGAGTATATTTATTTTAATAGAAAATAAAAATAAGTTTTTAATTAAACATAACTCGCATGCAGTTAAGGCATAATATGTGATAAGAATTACTCATTCCCTTATTATAAATGTGCATATAATATAAATAAATTAAAATTTTCACGTCACGTACACAGCACAAAAACAAAGAGTTACTCGTATATTTAAGTTATATTATTACCTGAATTTTTTTGTAGTATGCTCACCAAGCTTTCGACTACTCCTGCGATGCCCAAGAGGGGTCGACATGTTGAAAGATAACAGAGATTCATGAGACATTTGAGGGATACTGATTCATGAGTTTTAGTTAATGCTACTAAGCATTGGTATCCCCTGCCATCACCTTGTATCTGTAAAATGACACTCTTTTACTAACTTTACGGACTTCAATTAAGGTACTCAAAGCGGCGTTTGGTGTGTGTAACGATGTTATCGCCAATTATTGTAAGCTATCGCCAATTATTGTTTTCGTGATTCTTTTTGTAAATAATAATAATAATAAGTATTTAATGAATTTTTTTATTAATTTTCTGCCTACCCACTAAAGACGCGAATCGAAGTGGCATTTTTTTAAACTATTGTTACCTGTTCAGCACAGTTAGGAACTGGATATGTAGTAAAGTATCCTAGACATTTAAGTATACCACTTATTAGCTCTTCTTGGCTTTTTTTAGGCTCTTCTATTTCTCTCTCGACCGTTGTAGATTTAATTATACCCATATTTTCGCATTCTGTTGCGAGTAATATTGATATACATCGTATCGCATTTAAACTTAACATTTCATTTCTCTTATCTTTTATTAGCCATAATTGCCTGAAACATTCGTAATTACGTTACAGAATTCGGAATAGATAGCATGTAATGTTGATATAAAAAAGTTTATGGTAAGTTATGTTCATCGATGTTGAAAAAAACCCCAAATACTGGATTACATATCTTTTCTATAGTAATACTAGTTCAACGTATTAAATCCAAGGCTCGAAAGCCCCTTCTATTTTTAAATCGGTTTTGGTAATTGACTTCAACCCGGAAGGCTTTTCGGTTTAAGCTTTCGGTTTCGTTCTTTAACCGGTTAAATCTGGGAGAAAGGTTTTCGACAAGCTTCCATGAATAAAATTAACCGGTTAAATGAGTTTTTCTGTATTTACATTTGGCGCGTCTATGCTAATGGTGAATGGCTTAGTACAAGGATGCATACATGTTTCTTACTTATGAATGAATTAACCGGTTTATTCTGGTAATTCAAAACCGAAATCCAACCGCTAACTATTATTATTTCGGTTTACTAAACCGTTCGTTTTTATTAACCGGTTAAAGAACGAGCGATGAATTAACCATAACATTACCGAAAGAAACCGTTCTTTTTAAACCGGTTTCGAGCTCTGATTAAAACCAATATTTTAAAAGTAGTACTTTAGTACTTTGTATATTATTATTTTGCAGATAATGACAGCCTGAAAGAAGTTTCATACTAAAAATGAATACACTTTTTAAAAAGGTTTAATTACCGAATGGCTCTAACTGCCATGGATAGAGTTGCGTATGATGTATTCTTGTCTCTATTTTCAATGAGGGCAACCAATGCTTTAACTGCCCCATGGCTATGCAAGTTTTCAGCATTTGTTTGGTTTTGGGCTAAGTTACCAATTACGCGAGATGTCCTTCCAAGAATACTATCTCGACAGACCGTATTTAAAATTGATACAAGCGGTCCGAAAATATGTAGTTTCCCAATCTAAAACAAATTTGCATCCAATCAATACAAGCGCGTTGCAAAATCGATCGGCAGCGCAGTTAGCAATGCAGAAGCGCGTCCGTTGATATGGATGTATCGCTATTTATATGATACATTTTAAATGGACGACACAATGTTTCGGTTGCGCTTTCATGTACACTGCTATTATTTTTGAATTATGCTATATGATAAATGTTTGATGTATGCATTTTAAGGTTTATTAAGTAAGCATTACTTACTAAAATTATTACGAAATTACGTCTATATTATCGCAATGGCATTATAGTCTTATAACATATGCAGTATACATTTTTCCATTAATTAAAATAAATATTCGCAATGCACTATTAAATAATTATTATAAATATATTACGGAAATTGTAATTGATATAATATTTTATACAAAGAAAGATATTATATATATTATAAAAAGTATATTTTACTGGATTTAAAAAATATAATTTATAACAAATATAGTGCCTTAGTTTTGATCATTAAAGGGAGTTAAAGAGCAAAGTAACAGTGACGAATTAAAATATAATTTACTTCAAACTTATTGTGGTCATAGTCATTATATCAATGTTAAAAAGTAGATACTGTAGCAGTACTAGTAACTAAACCAATAAAATAAATATTTTATAGTATCATTTTCCATTATCTATATAATTTAATATATTATATAACAATATTGTAAGAAAATGTATATTAAAGAGCATTATTATTTTCATAATTCCTTTAATACCAAAGATATGTTTTAAAAAAGCCTAAAAATACTTTTAATTTAAGATAAAGTATTTATCTCATATAATTTAAAATAAAAAAATATTTAGGATTTGTATGAAAAAACTAAGATTATTTGCATGCTTTTGAATATTTAGTAAAGAATAAAAGAAAACATATATTTATATCTCATAGAAGTAAGATGTATTTAATTTCACTTCCATGTACAATACTAGTACTAGTTGTTCAACACTAGTGCAGCTAAAAATAAATAATCAATATGGGAAAGAGAGACAATATTATTAATTAAATATTAACTTACCAACACACTGCTTTTTTCTTCTAAGCACACATTGCCCAGAATACTTAATGTTAAATCAAGAATACTTTCATTAGGTTTACGTAAATGAGGCAACAAGTAATTTAAGCCACCACAGTCGCGAAAGAGTTTAATTCCTCTATCATTTATTATAATATGAGATTTAATTTTTAAAAGACTATCCTGAATACGTTTTGATGATGAAGAGCTTAGGCCTTCTAAAGTCGATTTCACGTAATTCTTATCCATTTTTAAGCAAATATTTTATTTAATGCAGTAAAACATTACGTGAGAATAATTTTTTGTAATAATATTGGGAGGCAAAAACTACCTACTCAATAGTCAATACTCGATAAGTCAATATTGTCATTGTCAAAAGAATTTGTTGCCACATTCAAAGCATTCTACCAATATAGAGTAATCGATCAAACTGAAGAATATTGATGACAATGAAATTAATGTTATTTTCATATTTAGTCTTACAATCCGTTGTGCCTAATTAGCAACTCATGTTACGATTTTAAATTGTATATCAGATAATATGTATATTTTGCTTTAAATGCCGAGCCGAGATTAAATTCTTCACAAATAGTTCAGTGTGCTGCGTGAGCAATATTTTTAAATTGAATATTCTTGAAATAAAACATATTGTTAAGCCGTTTTTATTAATTTGGTAGCTAGTATGATTTATAAGCTATATATATATATATATATATATATATATATATATATATATATATATATATATATAGCTTATAAATTTAAAAAATTAAATCTAAGAATAATATATATATATATATATATATATATATATATTCTTAGATTTAATGAGTTCCCAAATATATGAAAAAAGGGTGTCGTGGGATATCTCGTACAAATGAAGTTCTTCTTACTGTCTGCTCTTGGCTCATAAATTAAGTCATAAAAATGTCGCAAGTAAATGTATTTCGCAATGGCAAAAAACGAGTAAGCACTAAGCACCCTTTTTTAACATTGGGAATCACATTTGTGCATACCACATACAAGTAGTTATGGGATGTGGCTCACTGGCTAGATAAATAAATATATTATAAAAATAACATACACGTTTCGTCCTTGCCGCGAGATGTACATACTCGTAGAGTCGCATGTATGTCTTTGACTGCATAGTTCCTTCGTGAACTTGTTTTCATCTTTTTAGTTAGCTTTTATGCTGTCTGTTTTTTTATTTTTATAATATATTTATTTATTTACAGCTTCTTAATTATTTTTAAGTACCTAAATTAGCGAGAATGGTTGTTAACCAACTTTAAATCATTATATACCCTAAACTATTATTTAAAATGAAAAATGATGAAAGAAACCTAAAAACCATTATTAAATAATGTTACGTTCTATGAGTTCGGGGATCGGAAATTAAAGTACGTCTCTTGCATTATCGATGTTTTATTACATTAACAAGAGTGACTTTTGTAGATTCACTAACACTCGTAGTATAAACAGTTCTGGTTAGAATCAGTCACTGGACACTAATTTTCACCTCTAGATATACTTCCACTATAGCTTCACTTAATTTTTCTTTACTATCGTATTCAACTGGTCTCTCGGCATACTGCCGGCTTTTTTATATGCATAAACAAAGAACATTCTAGTATTCGAAAATTCATAACCTTTCTAGTCATTTTGAATGTTTTGTTCCTCTCTCACTCTTACACACGGCAATTTATAATTAACTATTCTTGTCTAAATTCAAGTAATTTCTATTTCTCTTTCAAAATGTTTGACAACTGTCTTAGGATGCAAATAGCATGTGTCAGACGTGTCCTTTTAATTATTAATTTTGGTGTAGTGACGATACACACTCTCCATTACGCGACTATACCTATTCAACGATACTCCATTTGAGATAGTTCGTAGATTTTCATTTTTTTTTCTTTTTCACATTATAGCGTCCAAAATCTTATGCTTTCATCATATGTAATGAGAAATCAAACGACGTGTCATTTATCAAAATTGGTCTACGCGTTCGGTCTAAATGTGCCACGAAGGTACTAACCCACATACATACATACATACATACATGCATACATGCATACATACATACATACATACATACATACATACATACATACATACATACATACATACATACATACATACATACATACATACATACATACATACATACATACATACATACATACATACATACATACATACATGCATACATAGGCTGATAAACACATTACCCCCCTTTGCGCAGTTGGGGTGATTGCACATCGAGAAGGACGAGTACTTCTTGAAACTCATTAAAGAAAAGTTTGCTTAAAGTGCGAACGAATTTTTTTCAATATACATTCCTTGGCACTTATGATCACCTGGTATTTATCGTACCCTTAACTTTGTTGAAAAATTACTAGATCAGTGAAGCTGAAGCTGTGTCATATTTTTCATAAGAGGGTAATCGTTAGTATCAATATAAATTCTCTTCATCCACTTAACTCTTAACAAAAGTTGCCATGTTCTAAAAGTATATTTTACCTTAATTACGTTAAACGTTTACTTATTTAATAACTATAAAATATAGACAACATTTTAATTTAACCTTCATAAAAAGTTAAAAAAGGGTTCTGCTAAGAAATAAATGTTTACTTTTAAATATATTTTTATTTAAAAACATATGTCTGAAAGATTATTTCCTTTGACATACTGTATGTCAAAATATAAAAAGTTAGTAAAAAATTGCTTTTGCGATGACAGAATTTCTGATACATTTTTTATAATAAGGATTACTGTGATTGCTTATTACTTTTAACATAAATTTGTCATGAAATCGTTTTGTGAGAGATGAGCGTCTTCGGGGATTTTCAGCGTGTGTGGGTGCAACGTTTTCCAGAGAGTGCTTTACCAGCCGCTTGGGAGGAGGATGTCAGGGCCAATTTGGCTAAACATAAACAGAAAGTGGCTATCCTTAGGGAGGAGTTGGAAAAGGAGGAGTTCTACGTAGAGTATTTGGAGACTTTACTGTCTGATGTAGAGAAACATAAAGCTTCCCAGGGAGGTAGATCGGCGCCGCCCTTAGGGGTTGACACGAATGACGATAAGACATCTGATAGGAAACAGGTAAACTGTGTTATCAGACTCTATTTTATACAATTATAATTAAGAAACATTGTTTGTTTGTGAAGTTTAAAAATATTGCATATTCCTTTATTATAGAAATACAATAAAGAATTTTTTGAACTTTCATATGAGTTAATGCCTAGAATAATTAATAGTAGCCTGGCCTATTTTATTAGGATAAAATATATTTATGTGAAAGCTTAAAAAAGTTCACATCAACAATATAGTTATAACAACATTATTCACTTTTATTATTTATCCATGTCAACAATTATAGATAAAATAACTTATGATGAATCATATACTTTACTCTTTGACTTGTGATTAGAATTATTTAACACATATTTTGAAATATTACTTTTAACCAAAAATTTATTTTATAAGAAAGAATAATAAAACAATTGACGGAGTTGTTATCTAGTCCTTTTATGTTGTGTGATTCATACACAACCTTAGATTAATATTATTGTAACTTTTTACTTATCCATTAGAGAGTACTTAAATAATTTATGGCTCATTGTTAGTAAGATAAGTTTACATTACATAATATTGTCTTGTGAATGTAAATAGAATTAATTTGTCTCACATCTTTGTGTAACAATCTATTATTATATAAAAATAATGTCATATTGCCCACCAATATCAATTCATATTCTATTATTATTTTCTTTTTTTTTACAGGATTCTAACACTGATTCCTTATCAAAGAAAAGTGAAACTAGCCTTAAAAGTGATGACTCAACAGAAGCTCCCGAAATTGAAGAAGTACACCTTAGAAATAAGCCAGTACTGTTTGCTGAAAGAAGTTCAGTAAATCAATGTATAAATGAATTATCCTCTAATTTAGCCGCCGAGGCTGCCCGAAGACGCTGCAACAGTGAAGTTGTACAACGAACTGATAAAGATACTAATAGTAAGTTATATTTCAATTTATATGTACATACAGAACATAAACTCTTCTTTTGATATCTTATATAATAAATAAAACTTTTTATCCTTTAAAGACATAAAAAAACCCACAAAGTTAAAATAATGTTATAAAATCCTAACAATATTATTAAAACATTTTAGATGACTTTAACATTGTACAACTTAGGTAATATATCTCAGTTTGACTGTGGGTTAAAATAGTCATGAGTAAAAATATTTATTTCAGTAGATATAGAATCAACTAATAAAACTCCAGTTAAAAACCGTCCAGCATCACAAGCAGGTGATTTTGTAACAGTTATTGAGGTGAATGGTCTAAAAGCAGCAGAAAAAGCTGCAAAGAAATCTGATGAATCACCACAGTCTTCGGAGAGCAGTTCTACTGAAGCAAGTGCTCCCAATAAGAAAAAAGTGCCACCAAAGTGAGTTATTTGTTCAATTTTTTTTTTAAATATGTAAATTTATATGAATGTAAATTTATTTAAATTTATTAATCAACAACTTCATTTTTTTTTAATTTGTCATTTATATGCTTATATGAATATGAGCAAGTTTCTTGAGTTATGAAGTAAATACTTTCATGCTGTATGCTATAGGTATTGTAAGTCAAGCCAGTAATATTTAGCATATTGTTAAAGTTTAATTAAAATTTACAAAGAATGTATGAATTTGTCTTTACCTTTCTAATTTTTGAGTTTATATTAATTAGATTTCTGTTATTGCGTCTTAAAATAATTAATGTGCTCTTGTTAGCTATTCTCATTACTTAAACTATAATATAACATAAAATTTGTCACCTTTGCCTTAGTGAAAAATTAATTTTATAATAAAAAAAACATTAATTATATCTTTGACCAAATATAATGAAATAAGCCCAATATCAAAAGTTTTGCTAGTAGACAATATACATTAAAGAGTTACAATATAAGAGCAGGTGGAAAGAGCAGGCAGCAGCAAATTATTGTATTATCCTTAGGATTTTACATTTTTTGCAATATTCCCATTGATATTAGTCTAGTCGAGAAGTTCCATATCTGCGAAAAATAGGAAAATCAGAAAATTATGAGCGATGGCGATCGTTTTTCTGATTTTTCGCAGATATTGTACTAGACTATATACAATTTTATCAAAATGTATTAATGAGAATGACATTGTTATTATTTTAGACCACCACCAAAAGTGTTCAACAAACGGGGAGCATCTCTCCCAGAGACTGGCGTGGCGGAGGATAGTCCGCCGTCCTCGCTTGGACGCAGACTGCGCAACGCGGAGTCGCGGGAATCTATCGCCAGTAGAGCTTCTACACCGTCAATTAGTGAAAGGGTGAGTGGGATAGTTTTGTATTTTTACTTTCATTAATATTAGGTAAAAAAAACAATATTTAAATTATTTGATAGAGATAAGAAAATGTATAATACTTAAATAGTTTGAGTTCTTACTATTATAAGTTAAATATTTAACCACTTTTCCTATCTTAATAGCCTATTGTGCGTTATAGCGTATTTTAGGTCTAAACCTAGACTATTATACAAAGAGATCTTTCGAAAAAAAAATAGTTACAAACTAAAATATTATTATTAAGCCCTCAGAATGACTCAAACTTTCCATCAAACAATAACATTAATTTGTTATTAATATATTATACATTATACTATAAAATTATATACCATTAATTAGGTGAAAAGTTACGAATCAATAAACTCGTTGTCATCTGAACGCAAGCGGTCGGGCGGCGCGGCCACGCCTCGGTCCATAGACGAGGAGGTGACGTCGACGACCCCGGAGCTGCCCGAGGCGTCGGACAAGTCGGCGCCCGCCTCCCTCGAGAGCATCCCCGCGGTCGTGCCGGCCGCTGACGACGAGCACTATTACGACCAAGTCCCAGTGGATATAAATGATGGCGAATATGTTTATATACAAGCAGGTTTGTATTATGGACAGTTCTCATTGTTGAAGGTATCTCTTTTAGTCATTTATGCTTTTCACGTCCAAGCCTCTTTTACGTCTTTTAATTAGAATCTATACAAATTAATACGTGAAGCAAAAACTTTGTACGCCTTTTTACGAAAATTGCGCGGAAGGAGGAGTATGTAATGTAAGTGTAAGAGTATGAAATTTCCCTCAATTATAGTTTATATAGAAAAGGAGTGCAGAATGCTAATATTTTGTTAATTATGCATAAAAAAACATTAAATGAATGAAAAAACATTAGATACACATTTATTTGACATTTACTATGTATTTGACAGACACAAGCATATATATACTCTTTTGTTTATTGTTAAAGTTTGTGGTCTAATTGAGAACTATGTATTTAATACGTGAAGCAAATACTTTGTATCCCTTTTTAAGAAAATTCGATAATAATCATGGTCGAAGATCGACCACTCGGCGAACTCTAGTATTAATTAAATGTCAAGTATCTGACTGACTGACCAATAAACACCACCTTTGCACAGTGGAAGACTTTAATTCTGATATTAATGATCTTAATTTTGATGACACGTTTGGCTCAGTTTGTAGTGACCTTACTTGCTGTGCCAGCAGTCGCGGGTTCGAGTCCCGCTGGGGGCATTCATTTGTGTGATAAGCACGAATGTTTGTATTCCAGTCATGGGTGTTTATATTTATAATATGTATGTATTTAAAGTTATGTATAGTGTGTCAACTATCTGGTATCCATAATACAAGCCTCGTAGCTTACCATGGAAGTATCTACTTCCATGGTAAGCTACGAGGCTTACACAGCACCATCTGGTGCTGTGTGTTAATGTTCCAACATATTTATTTATTATTTGCTACTAGCGACTCACTCTCGCTTCGTTTCGGGTTTGTCCCTAGACAAAAACAAAATCTACCCTACGGGAACTGTACATTTTTCCGGGATAAAAAGTAACTGTGTGATATTTCAGACTAAATATATAATCTATCTCTTACCTATTTTCATCCAGATCGTTTTGGCGTGAAAGAGTAACAAACATTCATACATACATCAAACTTTCACATTTTTAATATTAATAGGATTATATATTCACTACTTTCTTTAAATAATGAAGTGATTATGTGTCAGGGGGTGCAGGCTCGAGCACGGAGGAGGGCTCGAGCGGCACGAGCACGCTGCCGCTGAGCGCGCCCGCGTCCGCGCCGCCCGCGCCCGACTCCCCGCTCTGCGCCACCGCGCCCAACTACGTCAACATACATTATTTTATACAGTGAGTATACTCATAATAATTATAAACATTTGTTTATATTTTAACTATGATGCAAGTTTTTAATTTTGTTTTAGTCATGATAATTTAACAGTAAATTCTTTTAACATCCTACTGTTGACTAGAGCATCCTTTCGAGCAGACATGAGGAGGGTTAGGCCATAGTCCACCATGCTGGACAAATACGGATTGGCGGACTTTACATATTTTTCGAAAACCAGAAGTAGTATACAGTAGGGTTTATTATTTCTACGATTCTAGGAGAATTCTAAATCTTCGGTATCCATCTGCTTGTTTTAAGATTAAAACTTTAGTACAACATACGAATTTCTAAGAACTGTTGTTGTAATGTAGCCATGAATAAAAACTAGAAACTAGAACTAGAAAATTTATAAATATATGATAATATTTTAAAATTAGAAATATTTTCTGGCATAAAAAATATGTAGAATTTTAAAAAACTAAAATAATGTTTTAGTGAATTCATCTTAACAACTCAAAGGGGCTCAAATGCAAAGGTTTTACTAGTAATCATTGAAGAGTTCCACAATCCACTCTTGACTCCATTATCTGAGTAGCTCAATTATGTCAACTTATTAAAATTTTCAAATCAATACTACAATTAGGAGACGTCTATGGAAGACTATCAAAATTGATTTCATAGTTAGTTTTTTTTGTTACTAGCAAGCATGTTAATTTAAAAAGTAACAGATATTAAACAATTCTAGGTTCAAGTGCAGAATTGTATTAAAAACGCACATTTTCGTTGTATGAGAAAGTGTTTTTGTTCAATTAAAACCTTTAGCCAAATGTATTACTCATGAAATTTCCGCTCACGTCATGTAATTAAATGGACATTGACTTTTCACAACAAGATGACGGTTTTAATTGGAAAAATGGTAAACGGCGGATGTAACATATTGAATGAAATAATAATTTTGATTAAATAACAGTTGGTTCACTGTATCTAGTAATGTCTGACATAAAGTTATTTTAATTAGTGGGAAATGTAATGTAACAAGTTTTTGTTTCATAATATTTTACACTATTTTGCCAGTAATAAGTTCAATGTACATAATTACTTTTCTTGTAAATAAAAGAATTTAAGAATGGTATAAGAATTAAAATAATATAATAATTAAAATAATAATATAATAATAACTAGAGATTCACCCTCGCTCCGCTCGGGTTCGTTTCTAGTGAAAATTTAGGTTTATATGTGTTTTAATGCCGAATCATATAAAATATAAATACATTTTTTTGTTAAAAAAAATTTTTTTCGGGGTAGACCACTCTTATCACTTAGGGGTATAAAAATAGTTTACGTGCTATTCTAAGACCTACTGAATATACACACAAAATTTCATAAGAATCGGTCAAGCCGTTTCAGAGGAGTTTTGTTACAAACACTGTGACACGAGAATTTTATGTATTAGATATGTTGGGACATTAACACACAGCGCCATCTAGCTCAGTGGTATGTATATGGTAAGCATTATATATAACTTTAAATGAATACGTATTATAAATACAAAATATAACTGTTTTTATACTCTAGTGTATATGCATCGTTGCCTATATGTAGGGACTACCGGCTTTACGCTAGCTTGAATTTGGAAATAAGATGATGACGGAACAGTGTTATGCAGTATAACGAAATATTGTATTTTATGAAAATAACACGTTTTTTTATTGTTTTGCTATTACATTTTTAATTTATAGCTTTTTATTACTGGCTAGTTAGATAATTTGTATTTTATTAAAACAATTGGTAATCACAAATAATTTTTAAACTATATGTTTGTAAACATATCCATATAAGTTGTATATTATTGTGATAGCCTTTTAGAATACCTCATTTTGGCGCTAGTCGATTGATATGAAAAAAAAACATAACGCTCAATTTGAAATTCAGTATCCATCTCAAAAACCGTAATTTTGATCTGTTTATAATCTTAATGTGCCCTATAGCACTCGCATTATTAAGACGAATCGGTTAAGCGTTTAGTAATAAAATATATGTATTCACTTTTTAATTTCACTGTATACTTTTTTTTGTGTAGGCAAGCAGTTGAAGGTACAGAGCCCAGCGAAACAAGTTCAGAATTGGCAGACTCAAGTGACACTCCTCTTCTATTGAGAACAATTTCCTCAGACACCGAGGCCAGCGCTACACCTCCAGTACTAAAGAAACTACAGCATCAGGTTTGTTTATGATTGTCAAAATTAAATGCGTGAATTAAATTTTATACATATTGTATATTTAAAAAGGTTTTTTAATATACAATAAAAATTCTTTGTAAACTAAACTCTATTTGTTGTATTGAAAGAAATAAGCCTTCTTTACAAAAAATCCAACTCTTTAACTTTATATACACGTTAGTACACAATAAGTAGGTATGTGAGAAACATGTACGATTTAAAATGTCTAGAATTCAATTTTTTATCTATATAGAATGCCAGGGCAGTAATCTTGTTATGAGGTAGAAATTGTCTGCCTCGGTTGTCTAGTTAGTAACATGTTGTAGCTGGAGCTTACACCCCGTGCCTCAGAGAGCACGTTAAACCGTAGGTTCTAGGTAGGTCTGTGCCTAACCTCTCCCATTGTATTCTGAATTGTCGTCCTATATTTATTTGAGTTTTGATTGAATACAGAGTGCACTTGTGTTTGTGCGCACATTTGAGCACTATAATTTCAATTGTGAAATGATTTTTCATTAAATCCTATTGGATTACGGGACACTCCCAGTCGGCATAATTTTTTCTGACAGTCAACAAACATCGTCATATTTTAGACAATTTTCAAAAAAAATAATGAATTATACACCTAAGCCTTTCTCACATAAATCATTCCGTCCGTTGGTGAAAACTGAAATGAAAATCCCTTTCATAGTTTTTGAGTTAATCGCGTTCAGACAGACAGACGCGGCGGGGGGACTTTGTTTTATAATATGTAGCAGTAAATCTATATAAATATCGATATCTAGTTAAATATCGATTCATAAACAAAGAGGTTATATATACATATGATTGAAAATCGCATCCTTCTCATTTTGAAGTCTGTTAAAGAGCCAATAAACCAACATTAATGAAGTCTTCTTTAGTTACTCATGGACATATAATTTTGGTTTCTATTGTGATAAATAAAAGTCCTGAGATTTTAACACATTGTTTATTTTAATTTGAATGCATATAAAATACAAATAATATATTGTTTTTAAATTCTAACAAATTGTTGTCAAATTACAAATTATAGTTTATTTCATTTTTCATCTCACTATCTTCCATGTTATTTATACTGCTTTTATCTTTTATATATAGCATGTTCTTAATGCTATTAGCTTGAAAATTTATTTTAAAAAAGTCCTTATTGTTAGTATTGCTGATGGCACATTTTACCTCGCCGGTGACCAAATTGTACTTACAGAATTGTACATCACAATTAAAATTTTCACATCTTGAATAATAACATATTCCATTCGAACAAAAAGAATCTATATTCAACTTCGCTATTAAAATATTTGTTAGATTTGTTGCGTAATGTACAAAAAAGTTGTGTATGTAATTTAGCATAATTTGATTTAAATTAAATGGCAGAAAATTGAATTTCACTCCTGTTGAATTTTCATCTGCAAAAGAAAATATTGATAATTGTATTTATTGCTTTGGTATTTTTATTTTAAGGCGGTTTCGGCTTCACAAGCGTATGTACGAGTATATGTAATCAACATAAAAAAGTTATTATCAAAATATATGCATAAATATATTGTCCATTAAAGATGTTAATACCAGCATGGAGTTGGATAATTACCTGTTCATTATTCCATGTTAGAAAGCTCAGATGGTTTTTCCTTATCTGGTTTTTCAGAGACTGTTGAGGATAAAACTGCTTCTAATTCTAATGGATGTTCCTCAATAGTGGATGATAAATCATCAATCGAAGGAACGGTTGTTGGTATTACTATGGGAGGCTTTGGGATTATTTCGTTTCCTTTGTCTTCGGACAATGGTTTGGTTGCAGCGTCTGGATGTTCTATGGTTATGGGTTCCTCGGGTATAATAGCAGTATTATAATTTCTACACTCCCCAATAAGATCCGTGTCATATATATTACACGTAACGTTGACGCAACCGAACCTTTCACATCTCATTGTTGTGCAAGTCTGATCATTGCACCATATGGTCACATTTCGTTTACTGATTTCTATATCTCCTAACGAGTTTATCGGCGTTGATCCAATAAGTTGATCGCTCTCGGGCGGAATTTCCCCTATATCTGAACGCCACCAGGAAAAAGGATATGTTATCCAACCCCATATTGTGGAACCGATACCGCGGCCTTCAATAACGTTATCTGTAATAAATAAAGTGTATTTACTATTTTATTTGAAAGACCTACAAACAAGGTATATAGTTTGTTTTATATAAAACATAATACAAACATATTTTTAAAAAAACTTACCTTCCAAAGGTTTACTAAAAGATCCATGCACTATGCACAATACCATAAATGATACAAGACTTTTAGAACCAAACATAATGACAGGTAACTCTGGTAAAGATTCCACAATATTAAATGTTTAAATAGTCTCACCTCTGCCTTATATAGTTATCTTCGCTATGTCCCTATCTTTTACGAGATAAGGGACTTTCGGGAATGTTTACTTAATGAGTTGTGACGAAACATACCACAAACCCTTTAATTATCATAAAATTATCTTTTGTTTATGAATAGACTTAATTTACGACTTTTCAGTACGATATTTTAAATAAAGATTGTTTTCTAACTTATTCTATATTTTACGTATAATAAAATTAGATTTTTAATTAATATTAAAATTATAAGAAGTTTCTAACTTGACTGTTAGTGGATAAAAATTTTGTAGAAAATGTTTCACAAGTAGTTGAATTTGTAGCATTGAACTTTTTTTGAACTTCACATAAAGTACAACTTTCCAGTATATTTGGGCACGCCAAGAACTTACATAGTTCTATATTCTTATCGCAAATTGTTAAAATTTTCATTATCTTTTTTCGACCCATACTATATACCATTCTCTGTAAAAAGTCTTTTTCGTCATTAATTGACGGTGTTAAGTTTCGAATTTTGTTATGAGTATTAAAGTCTTGGCTAAACTTTTTCAGATTAATAAATTGTTCAAGTGGCACGGAATGCACTTTAATGTCACCACTAGTTTCAAAATCGATTATTTTGAGTGGAGTTATATTAATTGTGTTCCAAGGACTTAAATAAAATTCGTTAGCGATCTAAAACATTAATGAAAATTTTAATAGCCTTTCACCTTTTTGTAATGTTCTTGACTTTAGAACCTTAAATGCCTAACACGTAATATTTTAAAAATTATTGAAAAAAACTGCTATAAAGACTTCAATCAAGTAAATATTGTATTAGTTGAAATAGAATAAATACCTGTAATGCTGGGTAAATTTTAATTAAAAACACAACTATTGTTTTCATAACTATATCTGTCTTCAACATTTTTAATTTAAAATAATTCTTTATTAGACACTAATAAAGATAAAGTGCTTATATTGCTGCTTTTATCAGAGCTAATAAGGTAAAGGCCTAAATGTTTATAAACACTAAATGTTGACTTTAAACTGTTGCTTGTTTCATAATACATCTCTAATTTTTTTTTGTATTTGGACAATGTTCGGTTAAAAGCAACTCTTTCAAGGCACAATTTGTTTTAAAGAATTTCTTTTTAGATGCTGCAAAAGTACAACACTTTAAGTTTATGCAAAGAGTTACTTTTCCATATAAATTTCCTAACATCTTATCTTGTAGAATGTCAACTACTTCAAACGTAATATTTGAAGGCAAGTCCATAACAGACTCCATTGTGGCTACACTATCTAAAATATAAATTTAAAATAGTATTAGTATCTCGTTATCTGAAAAATAGGAAAAAAATATAACAATGTTTCTTACCAGTGTAATTGTTGCCCATGCAATGACCATTATTATTATATCGAAGATCTGGAGTGCAAATTCTATGGATGCACAATTTTTTAGCGCATTTCATAGAATGACATACTTTTTCAGAGCAAAATGTCAAAATACCTCTGATATATTTGCCTACAAAAGACATAAAAATGGGAACAACCGAATCAGTATCATCCCAGTCAACGTCACCGAATATAGCACGTTCCAGAACCAAAGTACGATTAGTATTTTGTATTTTATCATGAGACAAGTTGATTTTAGCCTTTTTAGTTTCCTTATCTAAGATTAAGGCTGTTATATTTTTTGAAGGGATCTTAGAGTTATTATTATTGTTATCTGGCCAGTACAATAGTTCATTATCTGACATTTTATCATACTTTCTAGTTTCTTTCATGGTATTTAAACGCGACTCATTTCTAAGCCCAATTGTAGCAGAAGCAGATGCGTCACGCTTCAAGCGAATCGAGCTTGACGCTGTAACGGCGTTATTATTTTCTGAATCAATTTCAATACTGTTTTCATTGTTGTGTATTCTACGTGTACTATTATTATTTTCAGAAATATTATTATTTATATTCATGGGTTCATAAGTAATAGTTGCATTTATATTTGAGAGCTCAATCGTTGAACTAATGTTTACGTTGTTTGTACTGAAATTTGCACTTGGTAATATATTTTCTGGTACTTTTACTGTACTATTTTTATTATAAATAGTATAATTTTTAAGTGCTTCATTATTAAATATCATTTTATCGGTTTCTTTTACTTGGGCGTCATTTTTATAGCTATGAAAAGTAATAACTTTTTTACTCTTGTGTCTTTTGCTATTATTATTTGTTCGAGATTTCTTTTTCTTATGGATGATTATTTTATGCATGGGGGCTGAGGCATAATCTAGCGGAGTACCTTTATATTTAGCTAAATCAGTTGGAGTCGGAATATTTAAATATGGAAAAGGTAAATTTATTGTAGACATATATTCGTTTGGCATTACTTCGTCTTGCTCTCCATCTTGAACTATTTGTTTATATAAACCATCAGAAGTATTAGGCAATTGAAAGTCAATTTTGATAACAATATTGAGATTGCTGCCCAAAACATTTTGTGACTTGTCCATAGCATGTTTAAAATTTTGTAGTCTCAAATCATCAATATCACCTTTTTTTTTGTTTTTGGCATTCCTAATTAACTGAGTTGATGAAAAAGGATAAGGCGATATCATCAGACATTGCTTACATGCACATTTGCATGGCATTTGATTGTTCTTGCAATAACAAGAAGAATCTGTTGATTTAGTCCTTGCAGTTTTTGGCAATAGAGGAGGAAGATTTAATAACATTTTTGCATTATTTGAGTTCAGAAATATATTATCTTCAGGTTTATTGGCAAGCATCATATTTGAATCCTTAAAATGATTTGCGAATGTTGCCTGAGATTTAATTTTATCAAAATAGTTAAAGTTTTCGTTATTTTGGCCGGCTGAATTTAGTTTTGTAAATTTTTCACGACGATAAAGGGGTACTTTATTTTTACTTCTATTTTTTTCGATATACTCGAGATGTTGTTTATGTGCTTTGTTTAAGTACTGCTGATACTCTAATAACAAATTTTTAAAATCTTCATCACTTTCACTGTCACTATAAACGTGTGTTTTTAATTGTGAATTCTGCAAAGATGGAAATCCTCTTTAAATAAAAATGCATTAACTTTCTCTCACCCCTTCTTCATAGTATTGTAAAAAACATTGAAAATGAAAATGAAAAATGATTTATTAATAAAAAGAGTTTTTAAATACATTAAGTCCGTTATTGGGACATCCTTTTAAGTAAATAGATACCTGTGCCAGGATGTCCCGCTCTTCCGTAGAAAATTTCTTAAAATTATACAACTCAATAGTGTTTTTTATATTAACCAACAACTTATAAATAATAGGAAAAAAAAGAAATAAAAATAAAATAAAAATAATAGAAAAAAAATGTGTGTCTGTCTGTATGTGTGTGTGTGTGTGTGTGTGTGTGTTTGTGTGTGTGTGTGGGTGTGTGTGTGTGTGTGTGAGCGCGTGCATGCATGTACTTGTGTAAATAAAATGTTGGAGTGGATGTTTAGGTAATTTCATTGAATAAAGCTTCTGCTTCTTCATAATTTAATTTTGCAAGCCAGGCAGTTAAGGACTTTTTTAGTTTATAATTATTAAGCAAATATATTTTTATCATACCATTCACCTTTTTGTATATAGAAGCTGATTTCTTAGCAAACTGATGACTAGCAAATTTAGTTTTTACAATACCTGTTTCTACTCTAATGTTAACTCGTCTTTTTGTCTTCGTGTTTATGTCTATAGTTACTGTTTTATGCCTCTGTAGTATTAATTGTAATATGTATATCTTTCTCACACTTAGTAAGTTGTTAATGGAGTATAGCTCTTTTGTAGGGAAACGATATGGTTTACAGAACATAACTTTTAGTAAGGCCCGTTGACTACGTTCTAATTCTAGGAATTTAAGTTTTGATGCTCCTCCCCATACTGGGATGCAGTATGTCAAAATTGATTCAGCAAGAGCTGTATAGACTTGGTTTAGAATTTTATTTGTTGCAACATATCTTAAGGTTTTAAAAATCCAAATAAGTTTTCTAATTCTGCTTGATAGTAGTTCCAGATGGGAGTGCCAAGATAATCTTTGATCAATAATTATGCCTAAGTATTTGATTGAATCTATTTTATCAATGCTAGGACACATACAATTTACACTCTGATCCTTACAGTGGTGTATTTGTAATTTTGATGATGTAGGCTAAGTTTTTTTATTTATTGAGAAACATATATAATTTGATTTATGTGTGTTTAGTGTAAGAACGTTAGATTTAAGCCAACTAGATATTTTTCTTAAGCTTATTTCTGCAGTACTATGAACTTCTTCCCATGTTTTGCCATGAAAAACTATAGCAGTGTCATCTGCATATGAATAAATATGCCCATTTTCTATTTCTAAGTTACATAGATCATTTATATATATTAAAAACAAGGTAGGTCCTAAGACACTACCTTGTGGAACACCGAAGGTCATTTTGAGGTCATTGCTTGTATATATCCTTCATTAGGTTAAGCTGATTTTCTCTAATACCAATATTTTCTAATTTTTTTATAAGGATAGGGATAGATACAGTGTCGAATGCCTTTTTTAGGTCCAGAAAGACAGTCAGACATTTATTTTTACTATCAAGATGATTGCTTGGCTTGCGTACATTTTCCTTGTCTAAAACCATATTGCGATGCTGACAAAATATTAAATTTATTTAGGTATTGAATTATTCTGTTATTAATTAGTTTTTCCATTATTTTAGAGATATCCGTTAAGACTGAAATTGGCCTGTAATTATTGATTTGAGTTCTATCCCCATTCTTATATACAGGAGTAATAATTGATTGCTTCATCAGCGAAGGGAACACACCTTTCGTTGTTACATACACATTGTTTAAAACGTGTAAATAGTTTTGTTATGTAAAATTTGAATGACTTGAGCTGTATGTGAATGATGTCACATGCTATGCTTATGTCCTTTTGCTATTAACAAATTGCTATTACATTTTCAAGGATGTTAAAATTGCGCTTATTAAGAATAGCATAGTAACATAACTCTATTACTTACACAAATTTTGACTTGGATTTTGAATCTATTATGCATGCTTTGCTTTATTTATTTAGGAATTTATGCAATCTATACTAATATTTATAAATGGGAAAGTTCCTTTGGATGGATTTTGTTGCTCAATCACGAAAGGTTTAACGGATCTGGATTAAATTTAGCACAGAGATAGATTATAGTCTGGAATAGCGCATAGGCTAAAGGCGGAAAAATGTACGGTTCCCATGGGATAGATTTGTTTTTGTATTTCTAGAGAATTGAAAATTAAAAAATAAATTAAAAAGATTATTAGAATAAATATATAGATAGGCACAAACGGCCGATAAAGAATCGGAAGAATAGAAATCTAAACCAAACATTATTAGCGATATGACTACATAAAAAAATTGTTAAATCGTTTTGAATACTTACCATACTATTTTCAAATTCATGCATAATGTCTGCAATATCGTTAAAAATTATTGCGTCGTGTAAGGGAGTAAGCTCAATTCGATTTATTTCGAAACCTGCAATTAAAACAAGATTGGTGTATTACTATCTCATTTGTATATTATATGTATTGAGACTTGAAATATATTTTAAATTTAAGTTAAATCGCCTCTTCATTTTAAATAGCTCTTCTTCATATAAATACTTACTATTCATATTCATACAATAAAATAAACTTATATGAAGTAAATTAAGAAAAAATATTTCAAATTTCATGTTTATTGACTAAATGAAGCTAAATTTCCGTACGAAATGACGCTAATTGTAGCTGAGATTTTTAAATATACCTAATCAAGGTACTGTTTTGTAAATTAACAACAATGTGTGCCATTGTAAATGGCCATGGTTAAGAATGTTATGAAATTAGAGAAAAATCATAATAGTATATTGTACAATAGGCCTATAAGTTTTTAATTTCGATCATATTATCCAATATACATACATAACCTTATAAAAGTAATTTTTTTTCACAGGAATCAAATATCAGCAGCAATGCCGAAGCGGAGCGTCTCACAATGCATCGCTGCATTGTCACAAGTATTATAGAAAGTGAGAATGTTTATGTTGAATGCCTTTACGTAATGGAAAAGGTAAGCTTAATCGAAGTTCCAAATAGTTTTAGCTTTCTAATGTGAACTTTTATTAATTTAAATATGTTTTCAGTATATGAATGCTATAAAAGCAACTTTGTCAACGTCCCAACCAGTAATAACAGAAGAAGAATTCGGCACTATATTCTACAAAATATCAGAGCTACATGAATTGCACAAAAACTTCCTCGAAGGCCTTAAAACTGCTGTTGAGAGTTGGGAGGAGCCCCTGTCTGTTGGCATTCATTTTAAAAAGATGGTGAGATTCTATAAAAAAAATATTTTATACAAAAATTATTTTAAAGTACCTAACTGTTTAAGCATTTAATTAAATGAAAATTAACCATTTACAAAGAAATGGGATAAATATATGTTTTTTTTTTCACAAGTTTTTAGCTAACTGATAATATAATACGTTCTTCAACGGCTCCAACAATTTTTCAATGAATGTACAAATTACAGTAATTGTTGAAACTTATCGTTTAAGCTGACAGATTGCACCTATAATAATTATACATAGGTATATTTTTCATATTTATATCACGAAGAGAAGCGAAACAAATAGAGAAAAAAGTGACTTAATAAATGTTCTTTTCTCGTGTCTATAGTCGCACTACGCGAAGATTATATCTAGCATCCCTTAGTAGTTTAGTATGTAATTTTCCTCGTGAAATCTACATTTATTCCATAAGCAAAATTGCATACAATTGTCAAAAAGATGAACACTTGTCCATGAGCACCGTTGGAACAGGCGGAGAACATAAACGTGTATGGCGCGTTCCTGCACAACTACGGGCGCGCGACGGACGCGGTGCGGCGGCGCTGCGCCAGCTCGCAGCGCTTCGCGGACCTCACGCGGCAGATCGCGTGCCGCGGCCAGCCCATGTCGCTGGACGACCTGCTGCACAAGCCCGTGGCGAGGGTGCAGAAGAATGCGCTGGTTTTACATGTAACTATTAATTATTTTTATGATTAATGAAGGCCTTGAAAAAGAGTACACCAAATTCATACGTAAGAGTTAATTTACACTGGAAATGTATATAATCTCAAATGGTGAACTTATGTTATTGCGTCGCTACAGTTATAATGATAATGCTCACCTGATCGATTTCGTCCACGGCGAATCTCACTGCACAGGAAATATTATAGTGCACAAGTGTACGCGCACTTGTGCAGCGCGTATACAATTCCTTTCACTTTCAAATTACTATGGGACTATAAGTCGACACTCGTGGTGAGAGATGAGGCGCAGGACCGACGACTTTACGTGTTCTTCGAAGCACGGGGGTGAAATACCGCCAACTTCCCAACTCTGGGCTGTTACAGGAACTTGCTTAATAGAAAGACTCAATAACCAAACCTGGCCCGAGCTGGGATTCGAACCCAGGACCTGTGGATGGTACAGTCGTACACTCACGCCACTATATTATCATCGATACAGTTATAATACGAGTGCTATTACTCGTATTATGACTGTAATACCAGCCTGAAATATACGCACACGCCGTCATTAATACCAATACAGCAACTAGCATGTTCGAATACCATCAAACCATATACTGTAGGGATTTTTTTCATTCTTATAATAAGTTATTAATACACTATACATGTCTATTTAGGATCTCATAAAGTATACACCAGCAAGCCACCCCGACCATGCAATGTTAACGGAAGCATTGAATATGACGCAACATTTCTTGGATGAATTCAACATAATACAAACAAAATCTATGTTCCCGGTAAGTAAATTTAATTTAATCTATACTAATATTATAAAGAGGTATAGTTGGTGAGTTTGTGAGCTTGTGATGTTGTAGAGGGTAATGTCTGGATTTACTGAACCGATTTAGATGAAATTTGGTAAGAAGATAGTTTGATACCCTGGGAAGGACATAGGATACTTTTTATGCCGGAAATCATCCCTCAAGGAGGTGAAAATGGGGATAAAAGTTTGTATGCGGAATTACAAAATTGCATTTACAGACTGCAGCTCTCGTGAAAACGCTGCTGAGTAAATTAGATATTTGATGTTTGGATAACAGTTTGGTACAGAATTTATAATATGATGTACCTACATGAATTAATAAACATAATTATTTCAGAATGCTGACCGCGCTCAACGGAGACTGGTCAAGAATTCCTTCATTGTAGAACTATCAGATGGACATAGAAAACTGAGGCATCTATTTCTTTTTAACGATGTTATCGCATGTGCAAAATATAAGGTAAGATTAGGCACTAATAATGAAAAATTGTATTATACATACACATAATAGAGTCTATCATAATTAATTTTGAATAATAATTATTATATTAAACTTATCTGTAGCGTGTTTGTAAAAATATCTTCCCTAACAGTTTTTGATTACAGAATTTCTGATCACTAATACTACACATCATCATCTCCCTGCCTATTTCCCAATTACTAGGAGTCGGCGCAGTTCATCTTTCGTACTGCTGATACGATTTGGCAAAATTTTACGATCACTAATACTACATATGACCTTGTTTTATTGTGATAAATACAATAAGTTCGTTCGATTAAATACAAACTAACTTACAACTAACTACTTAATACTATAATTAGGCACCTTTTTTTTTTAACGTTGGGAAATGCATTTACGCACGAAGTGTGGGACTCACCGGCGAAGCCAGTACTACCCACTAAAACCCAACAAAACCTTCCCCCGTCTTAATGGGGCGTCGCAGGATCGCTTACGCATTCAACTACGACGCCCCGACGGCAGGTCTGCCGAAGCAGACCACAACAACCATGGGGTTGCTCCACAGTCCACTCTGCTATCAGAGAAGTACCAGGAGCAACCCGCATGGTACACCACCCTCCGAAGAAGGCCGCCTCCCACCGCCCACCGAAGCGGGCCACCTCCCTGTGCGTTTCTTGGCTTCGCGAGTACACTACTGAGCCCCCCCACCACGACAAGGTGAACGCACGTTGGGGGGGACTATAATTAGGCACCTACATCAGGTGACAAAGGCGCTGTATAAAAGAAATATTGCGCTAGCGTTATAATACCAACATTAAGTTAGTGTCATCATAGTCATCATAACAAATATCTAAATTATCAATGACAGGCATCGGGAAGGGACAAGTTCACGTTCGAGCTGAAATGGTTCATACCACTGCCCGACATAGTGGTGGTGGAGGACGAGGGCGGCGCGGCGGAGCGCGAGGCGTCGCCCGCCAACATCGTGGCGCTCAAGTCGCAGGCCTGCACCGTGCGCGACCAGATACTGGCGGAGGAACGCGCCCTGCAGGATGAAAAGGTACCCTAAATCTTCATATCTTCTTCTTCTTGTTCCTTGCCTTTTCTTGTTTTTTTTTGTTTGTTTTGCCTTTGTAAGCTGGTGAATGCGTGACGAAACGTGTAAATCGGGCGACGTGAACGTTTGTTGCCATGGTAACCGTTGTTATTGTCTGACTAATGATATTATAATATTATATTCTTTCCTTAAATGATATTCTATAAATTTAAGGTTGTAATATCCCTAATATGCGTTATTGTTAGTATCTCACATATTCTAATTCTTTAAAACATAAATCGAATTTCATAAAGAATACCGATAACCTACAGAATTTATATAGAAAAGGCGCTTTGTATAATCATACTATAATTATTATAAATGCCAAAGTGTACGCGGAGATAGATAGCATATATCCCGGGTGATTATAGCGCGACCAGATCTGCGAGCCAAAAAAAAACATGATAATTATATAAATTATGAAAAATATTGAATTGAACTGGATTGCTTTTTAATATTAACATACCTATTCATTTCTTGCATTATATTACATATTTCTTTAATAAAAAAAGTACTTTTCATGTGTTATTTTACAAATGAGTGCATACAGAATGTGTATATATGATTACTCTTATTATGTCATTTTACAGAAATATAGTTGGCTCTAATGTTCATGTTTCTATAATACTGTTACAACAAATCAGTAAACCAATTTGATGAAGATAATTCATCAGCCAGGGAAATTTTATAAAATATATTTCATTAAGTTAGACATAGACAATCTACATTAGATTTTTGTTTTCATAAATATATATTGACTAAAAATTTAAATAAAAATATCCATTACATGTTAACCATACACATGAGAGAGTGAACTGAGTGTTTTTTTGCCAACCGTCAGCTAAAAATGGCGGGAACACGCGACAGAGACAAAACGAATGCGCTGCCAGAAGTCTTCTGTATTAATTGAAATACGATTAATGTAGATAAATATTTATAACCATTTTACATTCCCTTATAATAATTTACAACAATATTATATATTTTTTATATTATATTTATAATTTCAAATTAGAATCAAAGACAGGTACCTATTGGTCGCACGTTCGCTTTCTGTCTTTCCAGAGAGTGTTTAATTTAATGAGAGTATTGCTCTATCCATTTTCTAGGTCTATGATATTAACAAACATGAAATGTCATTTTAACAGAAAATTAGACTAGGCGGTCGTGGTGGTACGGAAAAGCAGCGCAAGAAATTAGCAGAGTTAGAAGGGCAACTCGTGCTCGCGTCCCCCAACCTGGTGTTCCGTGTGGGGGCAAAGGCGCCGGGCTCCGCTGCGCTTCAGCGCCAGCACGTGTTCTTCCTCAGCTCAGAGTACGAGCGCACGCAGTGGATCGACTCTATACACGCTTTGCAGGTGCGTTACTAATGTGTGCACTTAGCAACCGAGCAACGGTTCCACGTGACGTATTGTATGTTGATTGTAAGAGTGACATATTATAGTAGGGGAGCCCAAGAGGGGATTTTTGAATTTACTTATGAGCAGATTAATATAAGTTTTGCACACTTCAGGATGTAATTAGCCCACCATATCTTAATCTAACGGTTTCAACTATTCCTAACTTAACAAATTATTTTTTTAATATTTTGATCGGCTGCCCTAACCGCGCGACCATATAGAGAACTTATATTTGGTGGAGGTACTTAACAGAGTGCATGGTATCCCCCCTTATGTCAATCTGCCGCGCTTGAATAAATCCTAAAATCTAAAATTGAATAAGTAATAAAATATTAAAGTAAATATTGAAAAAATAAAGTAAGGCTTAAATGTAAACTTTTGTGTTATTATTCTTCATTAATGTTAAATACTGATAATTAAAAGATTATTTAAAAATATTTAAACATGTATTATTGCTATGTCTTATTTCTTAATATTAAAAAATAGTGTAATAATTAACGAAATAAAAAAACAAAACAAAACAAATGAGCATGTGGTATGGTGTGTTGTGTTACAATATTGTAGTACAATATTTGTACACAATTATTATTTTAAAAGAGCAACTGTTGAGTTTCTCGCTGGTTCCTTTCAGCAGAACTGCATTCCAAGCTGGTGGTAGCTACCTCACGGACTGATTACACTGACATTTAATTTAAATTTAAAATACAAAATTGACGATTCAAAAGTGCTTGTAAAAGTGTATTTGAATAAAGTATATTTTGATTTGTGTTGTGCGCAGGCGTCGTCCGCGCCGCCGGCGGGCACGGGCACGGTGTCGATGCTGGAGCTGCAGGGCTGGGTGACGGCGTGCCGCAGCTACCTGCAGACGGACATGGGCTCGTACCTGCTGCGCAGCGGCCGCGACGACTCGCTGCTGCTCGGCGACCTGCAGCTGCACATCGGCGGCATGACCGCGCCGCTCGACACCGCTGCTGGTTAGTCTACACTCTACACTCGATACACACATTATACATACCTTTATTTTATGAAGTAACTTACGATTCACCCTCGCTTCGCTCGGGTTCGTCCCCAGGTACGTTTTGACGGTTAGTATGGAAAAGATATACACTATATTATTATATGATATATCTATAGCCTATATAGCCTTCCTTAATAAACGAGCTATATAATGCAAAAAGATTTTTTCAAATCAGATTAGTATTAGTAGTTCCTGAGATTAGCACGTTCAAACAAACAAACTCTACCTCTTTATAATATTAATATATAGATAAGTTTCTATCTATATACGAATATCAAATGTTCCTATGGAAACAAACAAAAACAAATATAATAAATAAAATTATGAGAAAATAAAGCAATTTATAATATTCTATACTAGCTTGATTCCCCATACAAATTTTCATCCCCATATTCACCCCCTTGGGATGATTTCCGGGATAAAAACTATTTCACTCACTCACTTTTTATATCATGAGATTTAAAAAAATCTTATTTTAGTAAAAAAAATCTTTTTAATTTTCTTCTAAACAAAGCCTGTCCTGACAATAACAAACATAAAAAAAAGAATTATCCAATTTGGTGCAGTCGATCGGAAGCTATGTACGTACGTCGTACATACATTTCGGTGATTTATTTTTATTTATATAGATTATGAGCATCGCAAATGAACCCCATTCCAGATTACTACATCGTAGTGGAGGTAGACTCGTACGGGCACTACTTCCGCAAAGCGAAGTCTAAGCTGGTGTGCCGCAGCGCGCAGCCGCGCTGGAACGAGAGCTTTACGCTCGACCTCGAGGGCTCGCAGAACCTGCGCCTGCTGCTGTACGAGGACGCCGCCAGGCCCGTGCTCAGGGGGAAGTGTACACTAAAAGTAAGTATGATCCGTTATAATTTTAATGTTTATTTAAAATTTTGTTTCAAAATTACATAGGAGTGTTAATCATTCCTGGATTAATATGTTTTTATCCTCATGTTCTATTTCTGATATAAACATTGTATACTCAATTTTCAGTTGTATTCATGTCGAAAACTAACATTTGGGGCATTTCACGTAAAACGGATAACGAAAAAAAAGTGAAGTTCTGAAATTCGTTCATATTAGGCATATTTGTACCTCTAGGCCCTAGGGGATATGGACTTATAATATTTTTTTATTTGAGGTTTAATTGTCAAGTTATGGGATTCTAAAGAGTTGATCAGATTACATATATTTTTGTTCAAAAGAATGTATTTTATTTTAAATGAACCCCTAGAGGTACAAATATGCATGAAATATCCCATTTGCATTTATTTATTTTATTTATTTATTTATTTATTTATGTACCATAAAATATACGTTATACAAAATAGAATAACAAAATGTTGACAAAGGATAACTTATCTCTTTAAGAGATTTCTTCCAGAAACCCTTCAGAAGTGAGAAAATAAGTTAATATAGTGCGGTGTAGGTACAGTACAGCATTAAATGGAATTGTCTTAATATTAAAATACATATATTAACTAAATATTATGATTATACAAATATATATATACACATACATATATATATATATACACACATACATACAAACATATATACTTACATATAAATACATACTAATCTAAAATAATTTATATCTGATTTGATAAATAGTACTGTTTAATTCTAAACTTAAATGTAGTGAATGAGGGATCATCTTTGAAAATATAATCAGGCAGTGAATTCCACAAACTTGCTGCCGTAACAGAAAAAGATGTTTTATAGAATGTATTGTAGTGAGGAACCACTAATTTGGGCAAATTGACACAAGAACGCACTGGTCTGCATCTAGGGGACACTAATGTGAAGCGTTCACTTAAATAAGAAGGTGTAGAAGTCTTCAAAATATTGTAAAGCACACATAATACACGAACGTTTCGGCGAAAACGAATAGGGAGCCACTTCAGTTGCCGTCGGAAAATACTTATATGATCAAATTTGTGCAATCCATATATAAAACGGATGCACAAATTCTGAAGGCGATCTAGCTTGTCGAGTAGCTCCTCGGTTGCATCTAGATAGCAAACGTCGGCATATTCGAGTAGAGGGATTAGCAGTGATTGCGCTAGGGTAATTTTAGTTTGAAACGGAAGAAAATTCTGTAAACGTTTCAAGGAATGAAGTGAATAATGTACGCGCTTACTGACCTCGTTGACATGCGCAGCCCAGGACAGGTTGCAGTCGATTGTTAAACCTAAGTTTTTACACGTGTCTGAGATATTGATGCAAGTGTTATCGTAGATGATGTCAGGCAGATTGTTGAAGTCGATTTTGTTCCGCAACTGCTTACTACCAATGATCATGGCCTGAGACTTTATTGGATTGACAAGGAGTCCGAAAGACTTTGCCCAATCTTTGATTCTTGCCAAATCAAGGTTTATCCTGTCTATTTCAGACGCTAAGTCCCCGACCAAAGCATGTCTATAAAGTTGCAGATCATCCGCATATAGGTGGTAGTTAGAAAAGAGTACTAGTGGGAGTTGGTTAATGAAAATTGAAAAAAGCAATGGCGATAACACACCACCCTGAGGGACGCCTGCGAAGAGATTGGACAACTCTGAGATAGTCTCGTCGCAGTAGATTCTCTGCTGGCGATCATAAAGATATGATTTAAACCAATCAATCACAGAAGACGAGAAGTTAAGGGAGGCAAGGATAGAAAGTAAAACATCGAAGTCCACTGAGTTGAAGGCATTACTAAAATCAAGCAAAATAAGAATAGTCACTTTCTTATTATCCATGGCGAAACGAATATCGTCAGTGACTTTTAGCAAAGCAGAAGTCGTACTGTGCGAAGGACGGAAGCCAGACTGAAAAGCATTTAATAGGTTATTTCGTAATAAGTACTGACACATCTGCTTGGATACTAAGCCCTCAAAAACTTTCGATAAAATGGGACGAATTGAGATAGGACGAAACTTTATTTCTGAAAATTTATGTCTGAAACTAAAAGTATATTTTATGATATTTTGCCTTATTTTCAGAATACTATTATATTGTGAAAGACTGTTTGTATACATGTATGTGTATGTATGTTTAGTAATTCTTTACACTAAAATGGCTGCAAGGATTTGGGTGATATTTAGTATACGTATGAACCGGAATAACATATAGACTACTATTAGGCACTAAGGAACGTAAATCGGCTAGTATTAACGTATTAATTTTACTTAAATAATAAAAATTCATTCACCGAAAATAATTATTATGTGAACATTTAATAGTGTAATAGAATAATAGCGTGATAAATAAATAATGAACCCTTCTGTTCCAGCTGTCCCGCGAGTGGGTGGGCGAGAGCGTGTCGCGCACGGTGGGCGTGGGCGGCGGGTCGCTGCCGCTGCGCGTGCGCGTGCTGCCGCCCGAGCGCTCCGCGCGCCACGTGCCCAGCGCCAAGCCCGGCGCGCTCTTCGGCGCCAAGATCACGCACGTCGCCAAGTTAGACTTTTTACAGTATTCGTGTTATATATAGCACTTCTCTCTCTTTCTGTCTATTCCTTAACCTCGGTGGGACGACAATGCAAGACGACCGGTAAGAATCAGGCGCAGAACTGACGGTTTTACAGGCTCGAGGATGTAAAATTATTATTAACACAATAAACTACCCAACTGTCCTCGGCTGTTATTGGTTAACGCAATTAGGCACGAGGTGTGGGACTCACCGGCAAAGCCAGTACTACCCACTAAAACCCAACGGAACTCCTCCGTCATAATAGGGCGTCGCAGGATCGCTTACGCACTCAACTACGATTTAGCGTAATACCTGGCCCGACCTGGAACTCGAGCCCAGGTCCTCTGAATCTGCGGCCGTTTCTACTAGTCACTAGACCCGACGAGGCTTCGTAAAATTCCATATTTCGGCTAAAACAATTGTTTGCATTTATTATTGCTCTTTTCACGTGTACTTGTTAATTTTGCTTTAAATTTTATTTTCTAACGCTTTACAGATTGTAAATATTAGATGCTGTCGTGGATCACAAACTCTTGTTACTTAGATGAAACAGAACTATATACTCTTTTTTGTTGAATATTATTATACTTAATAGTTAACTGTATTTTAAGATGTTAAACTTTTTAAAACCTTAAAATACTATTTATTTATCAATATGTTACCTATATTTCGAAAACCTTAAAACTATTAATCTTAATATATATATATATATATATATATATATATATATATATATATATATATATATATATATCTTCTGTGTTTGTTAACCTACTCCTAAAGGACTGGACCGATTTGGATAAAATTTTGTGTGTATATTTCAATGGGTTCCTGGATGGTTTGAAAATACAAATGGACCCAGTAGGTGGGAACTGCAGTCGGTGTGCCACTGATCATCTCCTAAACGGCAGGGACGATTTTAATAATATTTTTTATGTTTGTTCGAGTGGGTCCCTGCAAGGTTTAAATTTACAAATGGGTCCAGTAGGTGGCGCTGCAGTCGGTGTGTCACTAAATTTTCATAAAAGACTCCATTTTCCGAGCAATAAATAAATTTAAATTGTTGATTAAATAAAATAAAATCGATGTGTGTATATATGTTTCCTATGGACTCCAAAACAGCTGGAGCGATTTTGATAAAATTTTTAGGTAGTGTTCTTTTTAGCTCAGCGAGTGATCCTGTGAATTTTGTTAGCGAACGGAAGTTTGGACGCAAGCGAAGCCGCGGGTACTGCTAGTTAATTATATATAATAATATACTTGTTACAGACGGGAAAAGCGTAACATACCGTTCATAATAAGCGCGTGCGTGCGCGAGGTGGAGCGCCGCGGCATCGGCGAGGTGGGCATTTACCGTGTGTCGGGCAGCGCCTCGGACCTCAACCGGCTCAAGAAGAGCTTTGAGACCAGTTAGTTATTTTTTATTATTGTGGTTAACTTACTTAATGTTTATTGTAGTTATTTATTAGTCTTAGATAGAGATAGTCTTAGATTAGATATATAGATATCTATACTAATATTATAAATAGGTAAAGCCTGTGTCTGTGTCCGATTTAGACTAAATTTGGTAAGAAGGTAGTTTGAGACCCTGGGAAGGACATAGGATACTTTTTATCCTGGAAATCATCCCTTAAGGGGGTGAAATTGGGGATGAAAGTTTAGGAACGAAGATGAGTCGCTAGTTATGTATATAATGTAAAGAATTTTTCAAAACTACTGAAGGTATGGGTATGAAACTTTTTTGTTTTAGGCTATTTATTTTGATTAAAAAAAATGGTGAAGAGTTTACCATTTTGTTTTTATTTACTTTTTAGGGTTCCGTACCCGAAGGGTGCTAACGGGACCCTATTACTATGCTTTCGCTGTCCGTCCGCCTGTTAGAGGGCTGTACCTCATGTACCATAATAGTTAGAGTATGTATTTCTATTGCCGCTATAACAATAAATAAAAATAAAAATACAAGAAACATTTTTTTAACGTTCGTAATCGATCATCGAAGTTAATATACATACTACGAGTATATACATAAAGTAAAAGTAATATTAACAAAAAGTACATGTACAATGGTACGGAACCCATCGTTGCGAATTTATAAAAAATGTAAATAATAATAAAGTTTAATCATAGATTTTAACTTTTAGATGCGTATGAAGCAGAGCAGCTATTAAAAGAAGTAGACATTCATTCGGTAACTGGAGTATTGAAACTTTACTTACGCGAATTGCCCGAAGCACTTTTCACCGACGCGTTATATCCCGAGTTACTTCGAGCTTGGGGGTCGACTCAGGTATGTTATAAATATTTTATTTATAATTTTGATTAAATGTGTTAAATACAAATTATATTGTTTACTAATTAGTTATATTTTGCCAGAACGTAGGCGTATCGACGGAGTCGGGGCCAGCTCACACAAGGCGCCATGCGCTTCTAAAATGTTACGCACAATTACCAGATCTCAATAAGAACTGCATTGACTTTTTACTTAATCATTTTATTAAGTAAGTGAATTGTTTTTAATCACATTCTTTATAAGCCCACTCATGAAGCATTACATATTAAGTAAATCTGAATAAGGACAATTCTTACTTCTTTCCAGTATGAAATCTTTCAAAAAACCTCTTTGGTAAATAATATAATTGTAGAAAAACACACATGCATGCATAATATGGCAGGCTATTAGTGTTAACAAAAAACCTACAATATATGAGCCTATATAAATAATATAAAAATACGTTTAAAAATATACATAACTTGACTATATCGTTAACAGAGTGAACCAGCATGAAGGCGAAAACAAAATGTCGTTGCACAACCTAGCAACTGTGTTCGGTCCGACGTTGCTGCGGCCGAGTGCGGCGGGCGGCAAGCTGCGCGCCGACCAGCTGGCGGCCGGCACCGTCGACGTCATGGCGCAGGCCGGCATCCTATACACGCTGCTGCAGCAACGTCATCTGGCGCAGCACCTCTCCGCGCACCGCCCGCACGCGCACAACACGCCGTCGTTGCTCGACTGACTCCACCACTATGTATAGACGACACGTTTGGCTCAGCTCTGTAGTGACCCTACTTACTGTGCCAACGGTCGCAGGTTCGAATTTCGAGTACCGCTGGGACTTTTGAAATTTTGATTCAATGTATAGAGAAGTACCGGAGGGCGAAGTGTGGGCAGTCGTGGAAATGATTGCGGGTAGGCCTATGCCCAGCTGGACCTTTCGGTAGAGACGACGATGTGTAAAGTAAGCAACTCTCAATTCTATGGCTGCTGAATGTGCTATGTGTACATGACGATTTTACAAACTAAAACTTTAAAATTTTACAGGTTTCTTTACATCTAGTTGTTTATTAAAATTTCATATTCAACGTTATTTATCAATAAAATGTGATTTTTTTAACAAATAACTTGATTTAATAAAACCCATATTACGATAAAATTAGGGATTAATTTACGCCAGCCGCCATTATAATTGGCTAGTTACACCGTCAATCGTTTGACATACTTTTCATGGGCTGCCAACGTAAGATTCCTCATACATTTTGTATGGCAAGAGGAAATATGCGTGTTTTTTTTTAATTTTTATACAATAGCTAATAATAAAAATAACGACTCAATTTGTAGCTCAATCAAAAAAAATGCTAATCGCTGTGTTATTATAATACTTTGATGTCACATTCGGTCTGACCGATGGCGTGCGTTTCAACTACTTTGAATTTCACACCTATATTTGCACTTATTAATCATTATTTTCTTAATCAAAAAGAAATCACATTAGAAAATATTAATATACCTATGCTTATTTCAATAGCAATAAAGATTTTAAATCACACGCATATTCCCTATTGCAACTTGTGACGTCACTTATTTTGCCAACTCAATTGATGAACTATTTATTGATTTTAAAGGAACTAAAAAAAAAAGAAAATTAATCGAGTTTTCAAGGCTAAACTAAAATGTTTTTAAAGAAGTTGCGTCTTGGATTTATTGTTTAATGGTGACAACTAGCCAATTCAAGCTAAGTTGTCTGATTCAAAGTTAGTGCAAAAACGCCGTAAGATTTCGGGTTTTTGATTAAATGGTGAACAATGTAACGTGAAAACTTACCTGCAGTGAGTGTGTGACCACCTAACAAAACAAACTTCATTCCAATCAACTAAGATTGCGTATATTGTACACATCGTATAGCCACCATCATCTATTTGACGTACCATATATTTATAGGGCGATGCAAAATATTGTTTTTTTATAGTTGGTGTACACATCATCTAAGCTAGTGTTATCCAACATATTTATTTAATTCACTCGTCCGTCTCGTTAGCTTATGGTATTTAATCAAATCATCCTAAAGGCCTAAAATTGTTTTATAATATTTATACTTTATATAGAGTTTAAAATAACATATACATTAGATACTGCCACAATTATTTGTCTTTTAAGTCACTATCATCTCCCAAAAAATTTCTAATGGGACATGATTAAAGTCTTGTAAATCTACAACATATTTATACGTAACAGGCTATATGGCATGCATATAGCATATAAAATTAAGTATTCATTATTCAATTTTCACTTTTTTGTTTCATTTGTGTAATAATCATTTTCAATTATGTATCTAATTCACATTGGGGAAAATTGTATTTACAATTTACACATATATATACACTTTGTAATGCATTCCTAATGGCGAGGTTGAAATTGATTGTGCAACATCTCTTATTAGCATCATAATAATTTTACACTGGTAGAATTTAGTATATGAAAAATATATAAAAACAATTATGTAGAAAGTGTAAAACACAATGAATTATGAGAGAACAATTATTAATCTTTATTTAACAAAGCTGATTCTTATTTATCAAATGGAATATGACAAGATGTTGTAATAATGTAATAATAATGCAAAGAGCATGTTTCAAACAATAAAAATCAATCATCCATCAAAGCACAGCTTAATGATAAAATGATGAATGATAAGCTTCTTCAATTTTAATAAATTGATAAATAGCAACTGAAATTTACAAAACAATATTACATTATTGCTTACCTGCCTGCTTTAAAATAATATATTGTTAGACTTGGCACATATTTATAAAAAATAGTTAAGAAAAAAAACTGTCATCACAACTCAAGGTAATACTGTATTATTATTTTGGAAACAACTATTTAAAAATAGTAATAAATTTTTACTCTATATATGCACATTAGGGCATCTATTGTTGCCAATTTTGAATATATTTAATTAAGTCATATTTATCAAGCTAATGATACAATATTATTTGAATTTATGTTTTAAAGTTAGACTTTAAAATTGCTAGAAATCAATATGATCATTTATATACACACAAAATACAATATATTTGAACTAGTTTATACATATACCTCATAGTGTTGAGATGCTTTTTTCAAAACATTCCATTTAAAAATAAAAACAGACTGAAATTAGTGTTATCTTTTAGAAAGTATAATTTTGCATTAATTATATAGTAGGTAACATACTTTTATAAAAGTGTTCAATTTTTGGATTCAATGTTCTTTTCCGTTAATATGCTAATATAATTAATGATGTCACCTTCAAACACTTAGTTAAAACTGTGCCAAATTTTACTTAATCTCAAGATGCATTGCACAACGCAATAAAATTAATCGCGAAAAAATTTTTATGTTACCTACATGATAATGAAAGCAGTCAATTTACATAAACGTAAAAATAAGTGGATCCCTACTGTAAGCCAAAATTTCATAAACAATTTTTTTTATTTATTATTGCATTTCGAAGAGTATTAAAAGGGACCGAAAAAAATTAGCTTAATATAATGGACTGATATTAATAACTGTAGGTTATCTTACTTTTTTGAAAACAGTTTTTTATTGAAGGTTAAAGTAAATGACACTTGAGCTGTAGATATGTTGGACTTAATTTCATACAGCATTTTAATTGCTAGTCGTCAATTTAACATATTTTAGTATAAAGTTTGCGTACAAGAACAGTACTTTTAATATTAAAAGAGAATTGTTTTGTCCCTGCATGTAAACTGCTATATCCATAAGTGTTTTTCACAAGTAGTTTTATTAATGTTACGTTAGTACTTAATAAATGACAAGCTACCAAAAAGCGAAAAATTAAGAACAAAGTTATGTTTCGTTATTTTTTTCTAATAATTTTGTTAATTACCATAAACATTACTAATCTTTTTATATTGTTGAGTAATATATTTGTCTGCTAGATTAAGAAACGTCTTCAATGTATACCAACATTTCTTTTTCACCAAAGATCACTCCAATTGTGACAAGTTTTACCTTTAACAATTTTTTTGGATATTGTTTTAAATTACTAACATTCTTTTCTTAACAATAAATATAATTAGGATTTTCTAACTTTTTTTAGTATAATTACAATATTAATAATGTCCATACTTAACATACCTATGAACTAATTGTTTGCTGCAAGATCTTTGTTTGACCTAGGTACATATTATTATAAATAATCATGATTTGTAATTAAAAGTATATTATGTTAGTGATTTGTTATAATATAGTTTAGTATTTGGTGTAACTAATATAAGGGACATCACACAAATATAACAGTAGGTTTCTTACTTTGTGTTTACTTTGCACTTTGTGAGAATTACTTCAGTCCTAAGTGTTTATAGCCAGCACTAATGCTTTAAAGCAAATATTACACAGTATTTTTACAATTTTCAAGTATTGTTCAGTTTTAGCATTTTGATAAGCCATAATATACATTTTTTTATATACAGATGGTAGGTGTAAAGGTACTAAAATCTATAAAATCGGTTTGCATCAAATATATGGAATTTAATTTTAATGATGCATTTTACTTATATGAACTTTTTACATAATATCACATATTATGTGCATTACATTTATCCTTAATTTTTGGCAAATATTTGCTGTAATATAAGAAATTACACTTTGGTTATTGTATTTAATTTTTGTATATAATTGATACTAAAATGTAGTTACATACTTTTCACAATAAATGTATTTTTAATACACCTGTAAAAAGTTTTTAATTTAATTTCTTCATACTTTATAGTAGTAATAAATAATATAAAGAATACCTATGTCTTGGAATTGTTCAACATAATACATTATTATTGATACTATTAATATTGTGACAGATCCTAATGTAAATGATTTTGTGCAAATAAAAATCATTAATAGAATTAAAAATATATAAAGGGCTATTCTTATACCTAAACTTTTAGTAATATTTTTCTGTAGCTCTATACTCATACATTTCCCAATCCAAAAAATGTCATTGATATTACAAGAAGTACAGTTAAGTGGACCTGAACCAGTGCATGTTTTACATGTTTTATCACATGATTTGCAAATATACGACCCTTCTCTGTTCTCGCAAAACTCAGTACTTTTACAAACTGAAGAATCAAGACATTCATCCACATCAATACATACATTAGACATCATTCTCCAACCTGCAGCACAATTGACACATGCAGTTACACTATCATTATGGCATTCATCACATGCATAATGGCAAGGCTTACATGATTGCATATGATTCTTGTAAAAGTTCTTTGTACATTCATTACAAATGTTACCAGTATATCCTTTTTTACAAATACAAGTGCCATTACCCTTCCTAGTTCCATCACCGTCACATTTCCCATTTCCACTACATACCACATTTTCCTCGCTTTGAGGACAAGGGGAGCACGTCTGTCCGTAATAATTAGATGGACAACAATGTTGAAGATTTTCAATACATAACCAGTTATATAAATTTAATTTGTCAAGGTCTTCATGAAACCACCAACTTTCCAGAGCATCTTCTGAGTCTTCTGCAATTGCGTAGCAACTGTCTTGATTGGTTTTTAATTCAGAACATAAGCTTTCTTGTATTTCAACTAGACGCATTTCACTTTGAGAATATGATTTTAATTTTGCTTCTTCCCATGCAGCATCACCACCTTCGTGTTTTCCTCGAGCTGTCTTATCAAGCCAGTAAGTAAAAGATTCTGTTAATAATTTACAACGACTACATTCATTCAATTTATTTGATTCCAGTTTGTCTTTATATAAAGTTTTTTTTTGAGTATAAAATTCAGGAAACATAATAACTATGTACATAATAAAAAAAATTGGTGAAGTCAACATTTCTTAAAAGTTAATGAAATTTATGTTTATGTTAATATATTGATATAAACGTAAACATAACCTATGTAGCAATATACTCTATGCTTAAGCCTTAAAACATTACAGATTTTATAATTTCATCTATGACCAATGACCATAGATGATAGACACAGATTCATAGTCTATGACAGATTCTAGAACAATAACTAGTAGTAACTTACTTCATACATAACAGCTTACACTCTCGCCGAGATATGCTGAGTACACAAACTGCTAGAACTCTCTTCATATTCCAGCACGTTTGTATGACACTAATCGGTTTTGCCTCTGAATCAAAGAATTTCTTATTTACGTAGTACTTCAGTTTCACGCAACTATATAAGTCATGTACACAATACGAAATAAACATATAAAATACAAAAATAAAACTATGTTTTGATAATATATATAAGGTTATTTCTCTTTTATTTATAATTTCATAACTAACAAACAGAACTCTAATACGTTGCTCTGTAAATTAAAGATTTATTTTATTAATAACAAATTAAAGAATACATATCAAATAAGACAGGCTATCATGTTTATTATGACTTTTCCCACCCGACTATATAGTGGCTACGAATATGGCTTTAATGATTTGGATTTGATATAATATAGTATGGAAATCTATGTCTTGCTCCTTAAATAGAGAAAATGATCACATTTCAAAATCCTAAAGTAGTGTCACAGATGTAAGATTTAAACATATGATGTGGTCACTAACAAATCGTAATGTCTGGTATAATACTTAAAATAAAAATATTTACTATTCGGCTTCTAAGTTACTACTTAGGTGATCTTATACATTAATAAAATTAAAAAGCATTTGTCAACATAAAGACATCATTATCACTATACTTTCATAGATTCATACCATTTCTTTTTTCTTTACAAGCATATTGCTTTTTTTTACTTCTTTAAATTTAGTGACATAGAGCATAATGCTTGTAGAAGTTAATATTTTTAAATTGACATTCGGTTCTCAACAGTTGTCAAATGTCATTTATCTGGATTCTGGAAATGTTTGCAAATTGTAATAGTCACGGAAGGTTTTTAGAAAATCATAATTATTTCGAATCAGTGTTTATTACTATATCTTAAAATTAAACTATATTAATGAATTTAAGTATTAATAAATTTAAAACACACTGAAGTGCGTAAGAAACAATGTCAGAATAACCTATATTTTCAAACTCCATGCTTTTTCTGTGTTGGAATAACTTAAAATATATATAATGGCAGATAAAATAAAGTGAGTATTGATATCATTTAGTGAAAATAAATGATAATAATTCGAATTATGAACATTTATAACTTCACTAAAAATGAACACATGAGTATAAACGAAAAAATTGAATCGTATTATATATTTTGTTCAATGAGAGAAACTTTTTATTTTTCAGAATAAATTCTAAATTTAATATGCAAAACAACTATGAACCGTCTGATTCAGAAAACGAATACTCAACATCTGAAAAGAAAATCATGGATAAACTTCGAAAAAGAAAATATGATTCAGAAAGTGAAGATGAAGTATATGCGTTTTCAGAGTCTGACGAAGACTCTGAATCTAAAAATGATTTAGGTATAGCTGACAGTGATGTAGAAGGGCAAGAGAAATCTGATGATGACTTACCAGATCCCAAAGCATGGGGTAAAAAAAAGAGGTCATATTATTCAACAGATTATGTGGATGAAGATTATGGAGGATTTGGTGATGATGAAGAAGATGCACTTATGGAAGAGGAGGAAGCTAAGAATATACAAAAAAGGTTAATAGAACAACTCGGTGAAGATGATTTTACATTAGATTTTATTAATAAAGAAGCTGCAAAAACCGAGAAAGGAGATACTCTGATAAAAAGTGATATTAGTCAGATGTCAAAAAGACAAAAACTCCAATTGCTAGAAAAAGAGAGTCCAGAGTTTTCAGGTCTCATTAATGATTTCAAATCAAAGTTAACTGTGGCAAAGGATGACTTACATCCAGTTTTAGAACTTGTAAAGGGTGGAAAGTTACCTAATTGCTCAGCATCTAAATTTGTTAAAACTAATTATGAACTGATTTTGAATTACTGTACAAATATTAGCTTTTACCTATTATTGAAAAGTCAAAAAATTAATATTCAGAATCACCCTGTTATTAAAAGGCTTTATCAATACAGGCAGATGTTACAAAAGATGGAGCCTATATATCTTGAAGTAATTAAACCACAAATTGATAAATTGTTAAATGCAGTGAAAAATAATTTACAATTGCAAGTAATAGAAAGCAAGAAGAGAAAGGTTAGTAAGCAATCAACTGAGTACCCAACCAAAAAACTTAAATTAATGAAAGCTGTTGATAAAGATGATGGTGAAGACACGGGAGTATCTGATGATGAGGAGTATGAAGGCAATGACTTTTTTAATAATAAGGAAGATATAGACAATATGAACAAAAGTATCTCTCAATCTGAGGAAAGTGGATTCTCAGATAATGATGAGATTGACAATGATCAAAATAAACCATCTACTTCTGCTGGAGAAATGATTGCTGAAGATTTGGGTAACAAGAGAGAAATAACTTATCAAATTGCTAAAAATAAAGGTTTGACTCCACATAGAAAGAAGGAACAGAGAAACCCTAGGGTTAAACATAAGCTTAAATACAGAAAAGCTAAAATAAGAAGGAAGGGTGCGGTTAGAGAAGCGAGAACTGAAATTACAAGATACGGTGGTGAATCATCAGGCATAAAAGCAAATGTCAAAAAGAGCATTAAAATAAAATAGTGTTTCTTTAACATTTTTATTAATCATATAATTGTAAAATGTATCTCCACAATAAAATAATCAGTTTGATTTAAAATGTTGCTTTTTCTTAGTGTTGCCACCTGGAAATAAAACATTAACATAAATTAATTTTAATACATTAAGTTGGATTGGGCAATGTTTTGTATGGTTTATAATTTTAGTTTAATCTGGTCAGTAGTTACAGAGATTATCTATGTACAAAATTACAAACATTACCACTACAATATTAGAGTAGAAAAAAAGTATTTTTGGCTACACATGGTAATGTACACAAAAAATCTGAAAAGAAGATTTATTTCATTATGTACTTACAATTTTAGTACTTTATCTTTCCCTCCTGAAGCTACATATGTTCCATCTGGTGACCAATCAACTGCATATACCTCGTCAGCATGTCCTGGTAAATCTAATTCCAGTTTTTTTGTTTTCATACTCCATACTGAAAAATAATATATAAATAGTTATTATTATCTTGATATCCTGATCCCCCTCTTATTAAAGGGAGGTCCATGCTCAGCAGTGGGATATTAAAAAAAGGGCTGAATACATATATTATCTTAATATCTTACAGGAAATATATTTTAACTAGTGACTCATCCTCGCTCTGCTCAGGTTCGACACTGCTTATGTTTTAATGTTTAGTTTACATTATTCTCAGAGATGACATATTTTTCCACAGTAAATAATATCCTATATGTTGACCCGGACTAGCTATCATCATATGAAATTTCATCAAAATCCCTCCAGTGGTATTTCCGTGATGCAGTCACAGACAGACAAAAATTCTAAAAACTATAGATTCGGCTTCTGTATCGATAATTATTTTAATAACATTTTCCAAAAAAAATTAATGTACAGATTTGACTAAGAATTTTATTATATGTATAGACTAAATATAAGTCTTTTTTAATAGATTACCTTTTAAAGTTGAATCTGCACTAGAGCTTAACAAAAGTCTTGAGTCTGCAGACCATGCAACCATATATACAGCCTGTACATGCCCTCTTAATGTTGTTATAAATTTACCACTGCTTGAATCCCATAACTTGACAGACTTATCAAAAGATGCAGAAGCTATGATCCTAAAAGTGAATATGCAGTAATATCACAATCTCAACAATCTTTACTAATATAAATAAGAAAATGTATTTGTTGGGTTTGTTTTAATTTTATTATATATTTAAATGGACTACTATTTTTATATTGTATTTACCTCATATCTGGAGAGAATTTAACATCATTAATTAGCTGTTGGTGACCTGTCATTCGTGCTAAAGGCCTTTTCTCTTTCTCTGGTAACCACAAAAATAATGTAAAGTCATCAGATCCTGACACCAATCTTTCCTCTCCTTTAGGGCATGTTTTCTCATATCTTTCTAAAGCCCTCTGCTGCAATGTATTTTCTAAAATAAATCTTATATATAGTAATTAAATATAATTGATGATGTTACAAATTACATGAATAGTTAAACTTACTATCATTTGTAGAATCAAATCTGTCTAAGATAGGATGGAAAGGGCCAGTTCTAAGGACATAATCTGTGCTTAAAGCTAATGTATTCACCCAGTGTGCATGACCTTCTAATGTTCTACAAAGTATCCCATCATCTGCTCTCCAGACCTTAAAAAATAGTATAATTTTTTGAAATAAAATATTGATTTAGAAAATATTAAATACTAGAAACACAGGGTGAGTTGCTAGTAAGTATTTTCGCTTGAACAAATCTATCACACGGAAACTGTTCATTGTTCTGGGATACATAGTAACCTATGTGCCATTTATCATCTCCCTTGCCGATTTACCATTCACTTGGGGTCGTTGCAGTACATCTTCCGTACTGTTGATAGGATTTGGCAAAAGTTTTATGACCGGCCGCCTGACACAGTAACCTATGTGCTATTCCAGACTATAATCTATTTCTGTGCCAAATTTCATCCAGATCCGTTAAACCATTCTATTCATTGAGTAACAAACATCCATCAAAACTTTTGCATTTATAATATTAATATATAATGGGATAGTCACCTGCATTTTTATTAAAATTTAATAATACCTTTATAGTTCTATCTTGAGAAGATGTGTAAATAAGACCCATTCCACCCCACTTAACACAGGTAACAGCTTTAGAATGTCCTGTCAGACTCAGAATAGTATGACATGTTATTGTGTCCCATATTCTTACATCACCATCTTTAGATGAACTAGCAAGTTTACGACATTCTGAATTCCTGTTTATAGATAAAGGATTATAATTAACAAGTAAAAATGACGAAAAATACTTATTATATAAATATTTTTACCTAATATAAGGTTCCCAAGCCAGTGCTGTAACCCATTGTTTATGTCCCATCATTGTTTTCCCGATTTGATTGCCTGACACTGGATCCCAGAGCATAATCCTACCTTGTTTACATGCTGATGCTAGTTTTGTTCCATCTGGTGACCAACTAATACATAACACCCAATTAGAGTGACCTACATTTAAAGGAAAACATTAAGAATTTTAAAAATATCAAGAAAAACATAGGTAAGATTAATATTTTTATACAAAACTTTTTTTACCTTTACAAACATGTAAAGGAGTTTGAGTCTGTAGATCCCAAAATCTCACAGTTGTATCACCTGAACCACTTGCCAACTGTTTCCCAGATGGGCTAAAATTTGTTGATATAACAGCTTCTGCATGACCAGGTATCGAACTAAAAGATTTGAAAAAATGGTGTACATTATCAAATGATAAATAATCAGTTAAAACATCTGTATTTGTAATATAAAACAAATATTACACACCTCGTGCATCTAGTGACAGGTCTGACTTTAAAAACTGCTTGTTGCTGATATATAATATCTACAACTTCTTCAGAGTTGAGTGAAGTAATATCTAAGGCTTCCCTTAATGTAGATGTTATTTCAACATCTTTGACAAAAAAAAGGAAAGGTGTATCTTCCTAAAAAATAAAATTCGTATCATTTATATTTTTTTTAAATAATGAATTGAAAAACTTTAGTATAAATACTGACCTCTTTTAATAAGGCATTGCATATAAGTGTAAGTTGATCTTTAGTAACGTTTAAAGGCAAATCCAAAGGACTACCAGTTTCTTCTCCTGTATCTGACTTGAATCGAGCCTGCACACAACTTGGTAAATCATTGTCTATATCCATTTTACTATTCTTTAAGCCTAGATATTTCTACAGCAATATGTAAATAATTCAATTCTTTATCTTTTATTTCGTAGCTCTAGGAGTGCAATTTGTAAATATAACCTAACTCCATTTTATTTGTCATCCATGACCATGCCTAACTCTATAAGTCAAACTCACGCCGACTCTAAACTCTCTAAAGTCAAAAGTTACAAAAAGATTAAAAGGTATGAATTAAAAATAAGTATAATTATTGAGATGTATTATTTTAAAGTTATTATTATAGTAAATGATTCTATTAAAATATAAAAATGAGTTACTTGATAAAATAATAAATATTGTATATATTATATTTTAGATTGTGTTGCGTACATACTTTATAGTTTATTCATCTGTATGAAAATTGAATATTGACATTTTTTAAGTATTGCAACATTATTTTAAATGTCTGACGTCGGTTTTTAACTTACGTGTTATGTTTATAGTTTTATTTATAAAATCTTCAGTCTCATTCACCTAAAAATGAAAATACCATATATTTTATTTCTTTTGTGGCATATTGCTTACTGTGATGAACATACGCACACCTATAAGGATTCAGAACAAGTGGTGCTTTGGATGAACACCGTGGGCCCATACCATAATCGCCAAGAGACGTATGCATATTTTTCTTTACCTTTCTGTGCTGGTACAAAAGTAACGATTGGACACTATCATGAGACTTTATCGGAAGCTCTTCAAGGCGTGGAATTAGAATTGAGTGGTCTGGACATTACCTTCAAAGATAATGCTCCGGCACAACAATTTTGTGGTATTGAACTGGATGAACAGTCATATAAAGCGCTTGTGTATGCTGTCAAAAATCACTATTGGTATCAGATGTATGTAGATGATCTTCCGATATGGGGGATTGTAGGAGAAATAGATGGTGACAACTACTACATTTGGACTCATAAGAAATTCGATTTTGGTTATAATGGAAACAGAATTGTTGAAGTAAACCTCACAGCTGAGAATAAAGAACGACTAGTGCCTAATGCGAAAATTCCTTTTACTTATGAAGTGAATTGGAAGAAAAGTAATATAAAATTTGAAGATCGATTTGATAAATATTTAGATCCAAATTTTTTTCAACATCGAATTCACTGGTTTAGTATTTTTAATAGTTTTATGATGGTTATATTCTTAGTAGGCCTTGTGTCAATGATACTTATGAGAACTCTTCGTAAAGATTATGCCCGATACTCTAAAGATGATGATCTGGATGATTTAGAAAAAGATTTAGGTGATGAATATGGTTGGAAACAGGTGCATGGTGATGTATTTAGGCCTGTTCCACATTTAGCACTGTTTTCAGCTCTTATTGGTGCAGGGCATCAATTAACTGTAGTTACATTAGCTGTTATTATTTTTACAATATTTGGTGAGCTCTATACTGAAAGAGGTTCTTTACTCTCTACAGCCATATTTATTTATGCTGCCACTTCTCCTATTAATGGCTATTTCGGTGGATCTTTATATGCTCGAATGGGTGGAAGGTTGTGGATTAAGCAGATGTTGCTGTCTGCATTCTTGTTGCCAGTTTTAGTTTGTGGAACTGCATTCTTTATTAATTTTATTGCTATGTACTATCATGCATCTAGAGCTATTCCATTTGGAAGCATGATTGCAGTGATGTCAATTTGCACATTTGTGATCTTGCCACTTACCTTAGTTGGAACAGTACTAGGACGCAATTTGGCTGGTCAACCTGATTATCCTTGCCGCATAAATGCTGTACCACGTCCTATTCCGGAGAAGAAATGGTTTATGGAACCTTTTATAATAATAATTATGGGTGGTGTTTTACCATTTGGATCTATATTTATTGAAATGTACTTTATTTTTACATCATTTTGGGCTTATAAAATTTACTATGTATATGGTTTTATGCTGCTTGTCTTCTTGATTCTCATGGTTGTAACTGTATGTGTGACAATTGTTTGCACTTATTTCTTGTTGAATGCAGAAGATTACCGTTGGCAATGGACTAGTTTTCTTTCTGCTGGTAGTACAGCACTTTATGTATACCTGTATTCATTCTACTATTTTATTTTTAAAACTAAAATGTATGGCTTATTCCAAACCACTTTCTATTTTGGGTATATGGCTTTATTCAGTTTAACTTTAGGAATAATTTGTGGTACTGTTGGTTACATAGGAACTAGCCTATTTGTGAGAAAAATTTATGCAACTGTAAAAATTGATTGAATATCAGGCACATTGTGGTGGCCAAGTTTCTTATATGATTTTGCCAAAATGTTCACATATTATTGTGAAAATGAGTCCTACAAAGGCTTCAATCAAGTCTACATTCCTTCATTGATTTGATTGATTAAAAAAAAATGTGGGTCATTTCCTAGCAACAAATAATAAATTGAGCGAATTATTATTTGTTGTTTGGAATATTTTTATAAAATAAATGTAATCAAGGAATAAATTCTAACAGCAGTGACTTAAGGCAAAGATTAACATATATAATATGGGAAAACTAAGTAAATTCTTTATTGTTTTATTTTATTACTATAAAATCGCAAGAATCTATCAATATGCAACTGATGTTATGTGTTTTTTTAGTTAATTTATATATGTACATGTTGACTAACCATGTTTTAAATTTTGTAAATATTAATGCTAATTAAATTCCTAATATAATGTAACTATAATTAGATGTACGTTTGGAATTTACAATAGTTAAGGAATACACATTCTTGTGTCACAATGCTTCTAAGAATATATCATTTACAAATTATAAGTCATGATGTTGAAGTTGTAGAAATGAAATCCTAGGTATGTGATCTTCTGTAACCCTAGAATAAAATTACTTATGTAAATATTTACTAGAAATAGGATTACAACTTAATTTCTTAAAGGAGTGTAATTCATTATTTTATATTTGTATGGTAAGATGAAAGGATATGTATGCCATCCAGCTATGTATTGATTATTATCATCAAGAATAAAGGTGACTATATACATTAAATTAGCCTTATTATTATTCTTCTCTTTTTATTTTTATTCTTCTTAATTGTATGTTTATGTTGATTATATAAATCCCTGAAATTCTTTTTACTACTTTATCATTAATATTATAATTCATGTACAACAGACTTTCCAAACAATTTATTGAACAATTTATGAAATTGTAAACAAGTTCCCTTGAATATTTCGTAAAATATGTGCTTATCAATTTTATGAGTAAAACATATCAGTAATAGAGTTCATTATTTAGCCTCATGTTTAAGGTTATTCTTTCTTACCCGACTGCAAGGGAAGGGTTATGATTTTCGCGCTTATCTTTGTATGTTTGTTTGTAATATGTTCGCTAATCTTCCTACTTAAAAAGCTGTAAATAAATATATTATAAAAATAAAAAACCCGGCTGCATAAAAGCTAACTATAAAGATGAAAACAAGTTCACGTTGCAGTCGGAGACATAAATACGCGTATGTACGTACATCTTGCGGCAAGGATGAAACTTTCTCCGCGAATGCATAATACTATATTCCATCGTGAACTTATCATCTTTTCAACCGACTTCAAAAAGGAGGAGGTTCTCAATTCGACTATGTTTTTTTTTTTTTTATGTTTGTTACCTCAAACTCCGTCATTTATTAACCGATTTGGACAATTTTTGTTTTGTTTGAAAGGGTATACTTCCAGATTGGTCCCATTTAAATTTCAAAAAAAAATACCACCCCTAAGGGTGGAAAAACAACTAATGATGAATTAATTTAACTCGAATTGTCATATTGACTTGAAACTTTGCAAGTATTTCTATTTCCGTTGATAGTACAGTGGTTCGGTGTTGTTGACCTGATCTGATGGCAAGGCCAGAAGGTGGATAGGTGGAACTCTTCAACGGCTAATAGTAGATACTTTGAGTTTGGGCTTATTTTGTTTGATTTGACAAGCCTAACACGTTAGAATCCTTACCTTGTCTACTACTGTATACACTAAAAAGGGAAAAATAAAAACTTTTTAACAAAAAAATAAAAACCGACTTCAAACAAAAGCACTAAAAAGTAAAAAATAACTGATTGGTAGTTTTCATTTACTATACATACCTAATCAAATATTTTCGAAGTCGGTGTGCTTTGGCTAAGTAATTAAAGCCTACCTATTAAATACATACCTAATCAAATATTTTCGAAATCGGTGCCAGCCCATACAAAGCAAAGCATTTATAATATTATGTAGGTATATACGGGCAGTGCCAACTTTAGCGTTTCACTTTTCAGCATAAATGTATATCAAACAGACATATTGCACGCACAAACGTAAAAATATAAATAAAACTATAATACTTTAATTAAAATATTATACGAAGGCAATGATAGCCCAGTGGTAGCGCGTTCGTTTGATTAGTCAAGTAAATCCCGGTCTACCGTTCACGTCGAATAATTTTCAATATATGATTTCCACTTTCGTTAACGAAATACCTCCCCCCCCCCTTACGGGGAAATCCCCGTAAGGGAAAGAGATACGTCGTAAGAAAACCTGCATAACTGAGAGAACCTAGCAAGTTTTCGAAGGACATGAAGTCGGCTCGCATTTGGCCAACGTGGACTATGGACGGATCCTCCTCGCATTGACGGGACGCGCGTTCTCAGAATTGGAACTTAAAAACGGTAGCACTAGTATGGCCTTCATTATTAGACAAAATTAGATAATTCTTTCAGGTAAAGATGATTTATTATAAAATAAATAAATAAATGGTGACAAGGTATTTATTTTTTAGTTTTCTCCATCCACAAAAGTTTCTACATCTACGGCACCTTTCCTTGATTTTTTTCCTCCTGGCACTTTCGCATTGAATGCTTGTGCAGTCCGTTTTCTTAACAAGCTGATATCCTCATTCTCGTCGCTTTGATCTGCCCATTCCAGTACCAATCGTCTCCCGTAGAGATGAGTTGATTGGCATAAAGCTTCGAAGGCAGTCTATAAAAAATGAAGGTAAGTGATTAAAGATAGTAAAAATTAATAATTATAAAGAAATAATTATTGATTTCTCTTACAAATAACAAAAAAATGTTTATGTATATCAAAATGTTATTATAAAATTGTACCTACGCCAAAGGAAATTTACTAACAATAAGTATATATTTTATAAGTACTAATTTAAAAATATTTTCTGAAAGTTTAATATAAAATGCTGTTTATTAACAAATACTTTGATATTTAAGCATTTTGGTTACCTTAGCATCTGCTTTAGAGTGAAAATCAACAAATGCAAATCCTCGATGCTGGTCGGAGCCCGTTGTCAATTTCTTAGGAAGTCGTAGAGTTTTGATCTCTCCAAATGCTCTGTAAGATAAATGTTTTAATTTATATTATATTGACCATCAAGCATTTTTTAATTACATTATAAAGACGTTCATCTTGAAATATTGGTTGTTGCACATACAAGTGCTTCGGAGGCTGTGACATACTTGCGACTTCGCGGTTGGAATACACCTACACGTACATATATGATACTGCATTGGAGGTACTAAATTCGGTGGGTTCGAGTCTCAGATGGGGCTAAGTATTTATTAGTCGTACCCTAGATTTGGGAAATTGGCGCTTAATGCTTCGGCCCTGCGCCTGATGCCTCACCGCGAATGTCCAATTATTCTCTTCTTAGTGAGTATGAAAAGGACAGGAAAAGAATGCATGTGTGTTCGCGCGCACAATTATGCACTATAATATCTTCTGCGCACGTAGGAATCTAGATTGGCCAGAAAGACATTATTATTATATGAATAAATAATAATAATGCAGTTTGGCAATAGGTTATTCTTTTATCTTTCTTAATTTATTTAAAACAAAACAGTAATTTTACGTCACGCATTAAGTACGTATCTACCGAGATGTAATGGCGAGAGCAGAGAGGCACTTTCTTTTCTTGATTTTTGGTCAGTGGTCTAAACGGTTAACGGTATATCTTCAGTGTAAATTTATTGTTACATAATAAAAGTGCTGAAGTAGTTGACTCGGTACCCTATTTAAAAACTCCAAAAGGATCCCATCAAAAGCGACAAAAGCCACATAGAAACCAATTAATATATATATATAGTCTGTCAAGAAAGTCATGAAAAGAATGTTTTGGGAACTACTGCTTTTCTTAAAACTGACAACACTGAATAATTGACAAACTAGGTACCTTAAGTGTCACATCGTAGCTTTGTGGTTGATGTTTTACAATATTTTTGTAATAATTCGAGTTTTTTGAATCGTGTGATTCTTTAGAGACAAAAAATGAATCGAAATGTTTATAAGAGCAGTGCGAGACAAATTATATTTAAAGTTTTTCAAGGGTGTATGGCCGAATTTCAAGCTGGGATGAACGAAGACAATGTTTACAGTCGAACAGCGAAGTTAACCGGTACGTAAATATGTTTTAATGTTAAACACGTTAAAAGAAATATAATCTCTTGGTACTCATCTGTTTTATAAGTTTAATTTATCTATTTTTTTATCTTTGTTTATATTTCGTTTGAGGTTATGTTTTTTACCTACGATTTAAACTCTCAACGGTTTTGATACTTTTGTGTTATTTATTTAGATATGCGTAAGGTATTAATTTTAAGTTAAATTTAAGTTATTTAACATGTCTTTATTGATTTCAGGTGTTTCCGAAAGCACAATTCGGCGCATAGTAGACGAAGGTTTTAAGAATGGAGGTAAATTTCAAACACCCTGGAAAACACAGGAAAGGCCGACCTACAAAACACATCGATGATTTCGATATATGTTCCATTCGTCAGAAAGTTCAGTTTTTCTACACAGTGAAGAAAGAAGTACCAACACTAAGAAAATTATTAGCAGTGGTGAAGGAAGATTTAAATTTTGATGGCAGCTATGAACTCCTTCGAAAAATTTTAATTTCAATTGGCTTCAAATTTAAGAAATGCCAATCAAATAGACCTAGCCCTCATAGAAAAACCAGCAATTGCTTCAAAACGTGAGTTTTATTTAAGGCACATCCTTGAAAACAGAAGACTGCCTGAAGAGCTCCAAAAAAAACATAATTTATTTGGATGAGAGCTACATACACGAGTCCTACAAAGTAACTAAATGTTGGCAGTCTACTAATATTGCCGGTGTCCAACAAAATGTGTCTAAAGGGAAAAGGTGGATAATTGTACACGCGGAAGTGAGAAAGGTTTTGTGCCTAATGCACTTTTTTAATATTTACTGGTTAAAAAATAAGCAAGAAGATTACCATTCTGAAATGAATGCTCAAAATTTTATAAAATGGGTAACTGAAAAGTTATTACCCAATATAAGTGAACCATCAATAATTGTGATGGATAACGCACCATATCACTCCATTACGACAAACAAGGTATTCCTCCTCTTTTAATTAATTTATCCTTTTTTTATTTGAAATTAAAATTCAACAACTTAATTAAGTTTTTTCCCCAGGCTCCTACATCTGCATCAAGAGTTGATGAAATCAAATTGTGCTACTTGAAAATAATATTCCATTTGATGAAAAACATTGCGGAAACCATCCTTATTAATGCTTGTAAAAAAACATAAACCTGAACCAATCTACTACATTGATGAACTTTTATCTGAACATGGACATACAGTGGTAAGACTGCCTCCTTACCATTGTGATTTAAACCCAATCGAATTAGTTTGGGCAATAGTAAAAAGGCGAATTGCACAAAAGAATGTTTGTGGTCAAAATGTTGCGAAGTTGGCTGAGGAAGCATTTCAGGCAGTAACTCCACAAGAATGGAAAAATTGTGTTGAGCGTGTCATCAAAATTGAAAATGAATATTTTGCCCGTGAAGGATCTCTCTATAATGATATAGACCGATTTGTTATCTCAGTTAGCGATGATAGTTCCAGTGAATCTGAAGAGTCAGAAGACGACCAATTTAATTATGCAGGAGTTTCGGGCAACATTTCGGGAGTCGAATATCTCGAGTCTGATTATTTGGATTCTGATTAATAAAGAAATATCTAATAAACTAAGCATTTTTATTTCTCACTATACACACATTACATTATATTCTAATTTACAAATTTATATAAATCAGGTAATAAACATCGCAAACAAACTACAATACATAATTATTAGGCACCAGTTAAAATCTAATGTCTTTGGAATACTCGTAGAAATTAGTTGGAAGGCTAATGTTGTTCACCACTACCAATGAGTCATAACTCTTTTTGTACCCTGAGTCAGAGAGTGAGATAGATATCTGTCAGATAATCCACATGACAGTAAAGTAAATAATAATAAATCAGTAAATAATTCTAAGCCATTACGAAAAAAAATATCAGTAAATGCATAAAATATATTAAAAAAGTATCAAAACCTTTTAGTCGAAATTTATAGGATTACCATGTTAATGTTGGTGGCGCCCTCCTTTTTTTTCATGACTTTCTTGACAGACTATATATATATCTATTGGAGTTTTTCAACAGGGTAGTATGAAATATGAAATATTTTACCTATAGCATTGATATACTAATTAATCATCATCTTAAATTTCATGTTACGCATGTTTTTTTCCTATATTTTACCCATCCAAAATTGTCGAATCTAGATAACTTCGACTCTATTCGAAGGTTTTATTCTTGTGTACCTACCTACCTATAGGTTCTTTTTTTTAATATATGTATTATGTTTATGTAAATACCTATTTGTACTTTGTACTCATCCTTTTTCATATAAAAATTAATTATTGTTGTAATAAAAATAATCACAATATTTAAGTCACATAATAAGTTAAATGAAAAATTTAAAATGTACTGCGGCGTAATTGTAAACGTTATCAAAATAAATTATCACAATAGGTACACAATATCAAAGTCAAATATTTAATGATTGAGTTAAACATTTATTTGTAATTTTGATAAAAATCTTATCCCAGAATAAATGATAAAGTTCCATTAATGTAATATTTGAATTTCATTTTTTACATGTCGTAGATATTAGAAACTGGTTTGAGATTAAAAAAAAAACAACTTCGCCCATAAATTGTATATTTTTGGCGTAAAAAACATCGCACTTTCGCATTATAATGATAGGATAAGCATTTAGCGTCCGTTCGTTCGTTCCGGGTCTTGAATGTTATAAATATCATTTCAGAAATATATATTTCCAATTTACATTATATAACATTCATATTACATGAAAATGGTTTACTAAAATAAAATCATTATTAAAATTTGTTTTATCAAAATTTCCATTTTTAGACTTGCAAATCAATTCGTTATGTAATTTAGCGTGTTTTATAAATTACATGTTTACTATGGTTGTTTGATAAAATCTTGAAACTCTAATGTATTTTGAAGTTTGTTTAACAAATGTAGAGTTATTCTTTCTTTTTATATTTTTCAAGAGTAGTCTTAATCTAATGATATTTTTATTGATATGTTCAGAGTACAAATAAATGTATCTTAGTTATTCAATAAATTTTTCGAATCGATTATAGTTAATTTTCATAACAAGATAAATAATATCATGACATTAAAATATCAAGATAAAGTTACTTATCGGCAGGCAAAAAAAGATCTTTACTGCTGTATAACTAACTTAACAAAACTTACTTATACGTAATATGTGATTATCTCAAGAGATTTATTTATTTATTCCATTTGGTTTTTTCTATTATGTTTCAATTTATTTATTTTTGAAGAATGGAATGAATTTGTTTATTACACTTCTTTTAGCATGTTTGGAAAAGATTATAAGAGTAATTTTTTTACGATGCGCGATACCGACAGCCAAAAAGCAACATGATGAAGTTAGCTGCATTCCTTTTACAAACTGAGAGTTGTGACATACGGGATAATATCTTTAGCTATTTTTTTTTCTTACGTCAAAGAAGTATAACTTCTTACGTGTTTACATAAGTACATACACACGTTTTTTTAAACTCAGAGAGTTAGTCAATGAGTTAACGCTCAACTAACTGCAATGTAACTTAGAACTGGAGTAATTATACTACTTTTTACGTCAGCCCATAGACAGTTTGGACAGGACATTGTCTGTCGGGTTCGTAGTTATTAGTACATTTTGAGATTCTTTTCATTTTAATTCGTTGCGTTCAAATACATTTATGCCGTTATCTTCATAGCAATAATATTTTATAAATAAATGGTTAAGTTATAGTTGCTATTAAAAATATCCATTGCAACGAGGTCAAGGGTAAGTAGGTAATTAGGTCTGTATATCACTTAAAATAAACTCTACTGTACAAACCTCAGGAACGTACTTTCCATTTCTACAAGACGAGCGTCTTATAAAACTGATATTTCAATTTACCGAAGCTTGTCACCAAAAATGAAAGTTCAGTCATATAGTACATACCTATAAAGATATTTTATGAAAATCTGAAATATATAACAGACACTGACTGTAAATGATAATGTGCAAGACCAACGGTCTAATATGCTTTGTCGTGGTGCGTATTTATACACATTTTCAACTTCTGAACTCTTCACTCTTATTGAGAATTTCGTAACACGAAATCCCAATAAGTATTTTTTGTCCAACTCGGGATTCGAATGTGTGCATCACGATGTAGTTTTAAAACATTATATAATTAAGATATCAAAGTACAAATTACCTGAATATTTCGTTTAATTCGTTTCTATTTGCTTGGAATGGCACATTACGGACGAGTATTTTTGTTCCATTCTGTATAGTATCTTTGGAATTTTTCTTTGAAGACCTGACTTCCGTGCTAAAAACAAAATGTAATAAATTAGAATATTTTTCAATAATAATAAATTTACTGTAAAATATACAAATAATAAATATATGTACATATATTATGATGAAAGATATAAAACATAGCAAAACTATCTTTCCGGATTATTTCGCGGATTTATTTTGATTTTTGGTTCCCGACGTTTCGAATGCTTTACAGCATTCATGGTCACGGGAGAGACTACGGTCTCAAAGGCATGGCAACACTAAATATAGAACAAAATAAATAACAAATTCCGGACAAGTGCAAGTCGGACTCGCCCACCGAGGGTATTAGTAGGAAATCTGTTTAACTTAAATTTTCAACTTTTTTTATTTTTTGGAATGTTTACTTTATTTGTGCTGTAAGACCTTGCATTTTGCTAAATTTCGTGATTCTAGGTCAATGGGAACTACCATATAGGTTTTCGACCCAAAACCTATAGGGTACTTGCGGTTGATCTAGAATTGTCAATTTTGGTTTAAAGCAAGGTCTTACAGCACAAGTAAAGGGAAAATTCCAACAAATACAAAAAAGTTGAATATTAAGGTAAATTTTGGTACTTGCAAGTTATCGCGAAAATCTAAATTTACACATATCGTTTTATCGTGTCCTGAGTCAGACCTTGTTTTTTATACACCTGATAGGGACTAAAGACCTCAGTATCTGGTATAAATTTCAACTTGCTGGGTCCACCCGTTCCTGAGAAAATCGGCGGTGACACACGGACAGACAGACGATAATAGAGTGATCTCATAAGGGTTCCTTTTTTACTTGTTGAGGTACGGAACCCTAAAACTGCAGGACGAATAAGGATGAAATTTAATATAGGGTATGACCTGGAGTGAAGACACGCTATTGGCACCATGGCCCACTTCGGTGGGCGGTGTGCTATGCGGGTTGCTCCTGGTACTTCTCTGACAGCAGAGTGGACCGTTGGAGAAACCCCATGCTTCACTTGGTCTATTTCGGCAGACTTGCCGTCGGGGCGTCGTGGTTGAGTGCGTAAGCAATTCTGCGACGCCCCTAATGGCGCCATAATTGGCGGGGGAGGTTTTGTTGGATTTTAGTGGGTAGTACTGGCTTTTATAGTCAAATCAGTTCTACATAACCACTTGTATGTATACAGGTGGTATGCGTAAATGCATTTCCCATCTTTAAAAAAAAGGCCACTGGCATGTAGGGACGCACCCAATTGACAATAAATACTTACTTATTTCCTCTCTCCGATCGTTTCAATTCTAAAGTTTTACCATCAAGTGTTGAACTTTGAAGTTCTTTCAGAGCTTCATTTGCTTGTTCCTTCCTTACATACTGAACAAACCCATAGCCCATAGAAAGAAATTGTCCCGGATTTTTAGGGTCCTTTTTCCTGGCTATAGTAACACTATGTAGTTTCCCGCACCTAGCAAAATGCTGGAAATAATTATGAGATATTAAAAAATATATAAAGAAAATAAAAAGCTTTATATAACAAGCACAAACACCTGACTATTAAACATTATTTATATAAATCATCTACTTGCTAATAAATTACAATCAATATATTCCTTACGTACTCTTTCTACGTGGTTATTGCGTGCGGATTACTGACAATTACTAAAATTATTATTTTAAATATCAATATGGACTTTTCTGTAATATTTTGAATTACTACATATACATTTGTTTATGACATGAAGCATGTAGTCAATTTTCGAAATATTGGTATAACAATGGTAACAACGAATAAATCTAATAAAGCATTTCAAAAATCTATACATATAATAAAATGTAATAAAGCAAAGTCTGTACGTGAAATGTTTTTTAAAACAATGACTGTAATATACTGTGTGATGAATACAGACAGTAAACAATAGTTATTGAATTATGTATTTGTTTATCTGTATATATGTATGTATTTCACATAAAAAGTACCAAATCGATTTTAACACAATTTTGAGTATTAGTACCTTATTACTCGGGTAAACACTTAGGATACCTTTTACTACAGGAAAATATTTCATCCCCGCAGGAAAACGCAATAACCGATTTTGTCGAGTCTTCCTTAGAAATTTACATGGCTAGCGCTGGTAAAAATATATCAAAACAATGTACTAGAACATTGTAGATTTTAAAAAGGCTTACAGAAAAGTCCGCAATAGCATATGTCTATCTACTAAGATACACTCGCATTAACTTATAATATAATACATAAGATTCTAAACGTACGTAAGAACGAAACCGAGCGAAACGAGGGGAAGTGGCTAGTTATTCAAAAAAACAATTTTCTAGTCTATCTACTTACCGCTCTTAAAGAATCATCTGTGGTTTTAAAATTAAGATTCTTTACAAATAGAGTAGTATCGTTTTCTGGTTTTTCATCTTCCACATTATCTGCTATACGCTTATCACTATCGCTATTCTTAATGTCTTTATTATCAACATCTTCTACATTTTCTTCTTCACCTTCACTTAATTTTACATCAGCCTCCGTAATATCTTCCTTTTTTGCTGATTTAACAAAAACATTTTCCGGGGCCCATTCCAGATATAATGGTGCAGATTTAAATTGCGAATATGCAAGTTTTGCAAAGGCTTTTTTAGCTTCGAATGGCTCTATGAAATCAACAAGTGCTGTTATACCGTGGCTTGGCATCAAAAATCGAGCCAAGTGACCGTGTTTGACAAATAACGCTTTGATTTCCTCTTTGTCAGTGCCAGCGGGTAAGTTTTTCACTAGTATACATGTTTTTGATCTCTTCTTAGCTGGCTGTAAAAATATTTTGGTGGTGAAATATTAAAATTAATAATCATACAACATAATGTTTCGAAACTTTGTTTTATTATGTTTATTGATGTAGTGGTGACGCATTCGTTTGGGAAATCGAGTGAAGCGGATTCAAATCCCGGGTTTTTCCACTGATTTTCATGTGCGAATAATTTCCAACATGATTACCACTCGTATTACGACGAAGGAAAACAATGGAAGTTTTCGAAAGACATGTGAAATCCGAAGTTTGTATTTTTTAGTTGTCCACCTCACGTGTGATGCCTCTTGTTATATTTTGCAATACTATTGGATAATTTACCTTATTAAAAGCATCTAAATATACGCCATTGGTCTCGAGGAACTTTTTTGTTTCGGCGACTAGTTGCGTCTCTCCTAACGCTAGTCTCACAGCAGCACTGGTGTCTATAAAATTATAAAATTGATAATACTGTTTATGAGTAGAATATATTACTTTCAATTACAAAAACTAAAGTTAAAGAAAAAAACAACGAAATAAATTAATAATATCAGACATCATTATATTCTATAGTATAACTCGCGTCATCTAAAAAGAATGCTGGCTGTCAAGCTGCGCAGAAGCGATTTATCGGTCAAATTGGTGGTAAGAGGTGGGGCGCAAGACGGCGCGGGGCGGCGGGGCACGCGCCGCATGCTTGCCGGCGCGCTATTGGTTCGTCAGTTCGAAATACCATCGCGCACACAAAATTTTTTAATTACGAAATGGTTTTATAAAAATGAGAAAAAATATTTTTGACGTATATTGTTTTACAAAGAGAGAGTCTGATAATAATGCAGTTAATAATAAAAAAAAATGTATTAAACGTATTAATTTAATTTTTTACACTGAATCAAACATATTTCAATAATGAATAGAATTCTATTTAATGATATTCTATCTCATATATTTTTCAATGTCCCTACCAATAACTAATATATGAAGCCGCGAGCGAAATGCTATGAAAAATAAAATAATAGGCTTAGTACTTTTGTGCGCGAGTATACCCATGCGCAAACATACCCTCTCCACTTTCTTCCAGCGTTCTCTTTAGATGACGCGAGTTATATAACACATAAAGCAAGTCATACTATACATTACATGAATATTTATCCATAGTTTAAGCTTACCGTCGACGCCAGATTTCCTATCGTCGACCCTATTGCCTTTAGCATAAGGTACTTTCTTATGTTATTATATCGAGCTGTACACTCAACCAATCAAACTACTCAAATACAACTTCGCCACTCATTATGTCAATCATACATCATCTGTCTTTTTTTTAACGTTGGGAAATGCATTTACGCACGAGGTGTAGGACTCACCGGCAAAGCCAGTACTACCCACTAAAACCCAACAAAGCCTTCCCCCGTCTTAATGGGGTGTCGCAGGATCGCTTACGCATTCAACTACGACGCCCCGACGGCAGGTCTGCCGAAGCAGACCACAACAACCACGGGGTTGCTCCAAGGTCCACTCTGCTATCAGAGAAGTACCAGGAGCAACCCGCATGGTTCACCGCCCTCCGAAGAGGGCCGCCTCCCATCGCCCACCGAAGTGGGCCACCTCCCTATGCGTTTCTTGGCTTCGCGCCCGGCTGTATTGCCGGGCACTACTGAGCCCCCCCACCATGACAAGGTGAACGCACGTTGGGGGGGATCATCTAACTGTCTAACACAACCCTCATTCCACTTCCTGCACACGACACCTGCACTACACAAATAAAAAAGATATGTAATTCTGTTAAGACAGATTAATATAAATCTTTGAGAAGATATCCAAATCTTTCTTTTAATCATCGCGAACACTTACCTTATAACTTTACTTTATACAAAAAGATTCTATCGCCAAATTCAAAAGAATTGTTAAAGAACATTTGTGTGCTAAAGGCTATTTATTATACAATTAATGATTTTATAGAAGATGGCACGCCTTGGGAATAAAGTGATCGCCTTCAGGCTACTTCGATTTTATAGAAATATAATAATGTATAATTTAACATTATAAAAAGAGATAATAAAATAATATTAGTCCTTCTGAATTTCTTTCTCCAATTCTTCTCAGGTCTGACTCTTCTTCTTTCCAAACTGGTAGTAGACTCATGACATTCAGAAAAAAATTGTAATAATTTAATGCTGAATAAAATATTTTGAATTTGATCATATTAGCTTTAAGCTTCAAATAGAAATTATTTTAAAAATAAAACTCTGCAAAGAAATGAAAATATTTCAAAAAAGTAAATAATAGAATACAAACTTGTATTATTTTCGCTTAACAACTGTTCCTTAGTGGTGTTGTAGTTGGCGGCGACGACGTCCGCCACCGCGTTGGCGCCCAGGAACAATACATTCCAGTTGTGAGACGACTTTGCTAGTTTCTTTAACTGTTTCGCTTTCTTCTCTTTGAATGATAGTCCTTCTAAAAACATTAAACACTACATTAAAATAAAACTATTTATTTGAATTAATTTGATGTATATGTAGACTAAAATTCCATAATATGTGGATTGGAGTTCCTATAACACCCTTAACATTAAAAAAATGTACAATAATGTTTTACAGTAGCGGCTCATCCTTGCTTGGCTCGAGTGTGTCCCTGGGTGTCTAACTGTAACCTAAAAGTTATTCCAAGTCATAATGTATCTGTATACATAATTTCAACCAAATCCAGCCAACCATTTCAGCGTGAAGGCGTAACAAATAAACACAAACGCACACACACAATATTCGCATTTATAATAGTTATAATTAGTTGATATATTTTAATACCAGCGACTTCGCTTCGGGTTCGTCCCTAGACAATAATAAATCTATCCCACGGGAACTGTACATTTTTCCAGGATGATATACGAGCCCATAGCTCGTATAGCCCATAGCCTTTCTCAATAAACGGGCTATCTAATGCAAAAAGAATTTTTCAAATCGGATAAGAAGTTCCTGAGATTAGCGTGTTCAAACAAACAAACTCTGCCTCTTTATAATATTATACCATTTAATGCTGTGTCTACCACCACACTAAATTAACTTATTCTCTCACTTCTGAAGGGTTTCTGGCAGAAATCTCTTAAAAAGATAAGTTATCCTTTGTCGACATTCTGTTACTTTATTTAGTTTAACATATATCCATGATAAATACTTAAATAAATAATAGGATGCCACCAACACTCACCATCATTATCATCATCCTCCTCCAGTTTCTCAGCCTTAGCGGGAAGTAAGTGCAGCATTCTACCGCAGAAAACGGTCCCGTCGAGTTCTGTGAACGCTTTGACAGCGTGCTCCGGCATCACGAAGGTGACCGTCGCAAACCCTTTCGGCTGTCGGAGGATCGGGTCTATAGGCATGTTTACTTCGGCTAGTGGACCTGGAAACATAGTCTATATAATATTCTAGCGGCTCACCCTCGGTTCACCTCTAGGAATACAGCAACAAACCTATCTCACGGGAATCGTACATTTTTCCGGGATAAAAATTATGTGTTATTCCAGACTATAATTTATCTCTGTGTCAAGTTTTATCACAAACTTTTACATTTATAATATTAAATAATACTATATATATACGATATATTAATACAGATTAGTATTTTTTAGTGTTATGTCGTATATAATAATAATAAATAAGTCGGGACATTAACACACCACCTTCTAGTTGCATGGTAAGCTAAGAGGCTCGTCTTATGGTTACCTATTGGATAGACGATAGTTGATAAAGTACACATATATAACTTTAAATACACACATATTACAAATATAAACACGCATGACTGGAGTACAAACATTCGTGCTCATCACACAAATGAATGCACCCAGCAAGACTCGAACCCGCGACCGTTGGCACAGCAAGTAGGGTCACTACAAACTGAGCCAAACGTATCGTAAAATATAAAATTCAAGGACGTATTCGATGGACCGTAATTGTAAATGAAACTATCGGCTATCCGAAATTATTACATAAGTCATCATCCGTAACAGAATCCGTAATAAAAATTACGATTTTTGGATTCGATTTTGAAAGGTGCATAGAGTCTTGGAGATTATAGCATCAAACGAACATCGAACAAATGTTCGAAACCGCAACTAAAATCGGATATAAAAATTTTCATATCCATATCGGAAATTTCGTATCCTTAACTAGTTTGAAGAAAAATACATTACTCTAACCTTCAAGTGTGAAAAAACTCCACATGGTTTTTATTTTTTACAAATTAAGGTACATATTTTAAAACTTTCTGTAATAAAATATCAGGATATAGTTTATTTTGATTTGGCTTTCTCTCCATCAGTGAATTAAATTACGTGAAAGTGTTAATTATGTAAATAATACTGAAAATTAGATTTGAATTTTTATTCTTCTATACTCACCGTATTTCGCAAATAAATTAGTCACCTCTTCTTCAGACACCACGTAAGGTAAGTTTCTCACAAATATGCTGCCACTCTCGCCAATACTTTCTTCATTACCTTCTCTCTGAAAATATATTTATACCATATAAATCACAATCCTTTTTTCATTACAATTGAAGATTAAAGATATATATTCTTTATTGCACAAATAAATTATAAAAAACAAAATACATACAAAGTGATGTGGACAAAGGTGGACTTTTCTCTATAAGAGATCTCTTCCTGTCAACCCCCATGCATGTGGGAAATAGTGTTAAATAGCGGGACAGAAAGAGAAAGTGCAGATTTTTTTATAGTAAAGTATATAAGTATGACACATAAATAAAAGTTAAATATATGAATACATTAATATACAATACAAGGCGATCAAACTATTATTTCGAATGTTGGCGTTCAGCAGGGGGACCCACTAGGCCCAGCTCTAATTAGTCTCCTAGATCCATAAATACATTTCGAATCTGCAGTCTAAATTAAATATTTGGTACCTTTTTTTTTTTTTTTTAACGTTGGGAAATGCATTTACGCACGACGTGTGGGACTCACCGGCGTAATACAGCCAGTACTACCCACTAAAACCCAACAAACCTTCCCCCGTCTTAATGGGGCGTCGCAGGATCGCTGACGCATTCAACTACGACGCCCCGACGGCAGGTCTGCCAAAGCAGACCACCACAACCATGGGGTTGCTCCAAGGTCCACTCTGCTATCAGAGAAGTACCAGGAGCAACCCGCAAGGTACACCGCCCCCCGAAGAGGGCCACCTCCCACCGCCCACCGAAGTGGGCAACCTCCCTGTGCGTTTCTTAGCTTCGCTACTACTACTGAGCCCCCCCACCACGACAAGGTGAACGCACGTTGGGGGGGAAATATTTGGTACCTAGATGATGGAACTTTAGGTGGCAAAGCGAATGATGTCCTTAAAGATTTTCTTCTTTTGAAAGAAATTTTTAATAAAATTGGTTTGGAACTAAATTTATCTAAATGTGAAATTTTTTTCACGGACAATATTTCCATAGTAAAGATATCTTTGGCAAGAGACATTTTCCGAAAAATTGCCCCTAATATTAAAATAGTTGATAAAAATTCCCTTTGCCTCCTTGGTGCTCCACTTCTTGATGAAAGCATCCCATTCGTAGTAGAGGAAAAAATTAAAACATTTTTAGACAATACTCACAAATTGGGCTCTCTAAATTCTCACATTGCTTTTACCATCCTTAAATATTGCCTTTTCGTTCCAAAATTAACGTATATTCTTCGTTCAAGCCCAATTTGGAAATTTCCTGGCCTAACCGACTAAATGGATGTCACTTTAAAAAAATCCTCAGAAAAAATTCTAAATTTATCTTTCGATGAATGTTCATGGACCCAAGCATCCCTACCTATTAGAAACGGTGGCATAGACGTGAGACAAATTTCAAGTATAGCCCTTCCAGCTTTTCTCGCTTCTGAGCATAGTGTTCGAGAACTCCTGTTCTCAAATTTTGAAATCTAACCAAAACATAACTGGTGCTGCAGAGGCCTTAGAAAAATGGAAGTTAAAATGTCCTAATGTTGACATCCCAAAGGAAGTTTCCATGCAAAAACTTTGGGATGCGCCATTGGTTCATTCTACATTCCAAAATTTGGCTCAAAATCTTTCGAGTGACGTAAACCGTGCCAGACTTTTAGCGTCATCTGCCAGAGAGTCGGGGCACTGGCTGCACGTCCTACCTTCAACTATTCTTGGTACACTTTTGGATAATGATAGTTTTCGTATCGCTTTAGGTCTCCGGCTGGGTACACCGCTGTGCACTGAGCACAGATGCCCCTGTGGAAAAGAGGTTGACAGATATGGACTCCATGGACTCTCTTGCAAAAGAAGTTCAGGGAGACTTTTCCGTCATGGTTCCCTAAACGATACCATCAAAAGGGCTCTTGCCACCATTGACATTCCTGCTCTTATTGAGCCATCTGGAATAAGTCGAGATGATGGTAAAAGACCTGATGGCCTGTCACTGGTTCCTTGGGAAAGGGGACGGGCCCTATTGTGGGACGCTACATGCGTTGACACATTGGCCCCGTCCCATGTCAGGGAGACCGCGTCTAAAGTGGGAGCTGCGGCGGAGAAGGCTGAACTACTTAAGTTGCGTAAATACACCTCCCTTAGTCAAAATTATGTTTTTATTCCATTTGCTGTAGAAACCCTTGGCCCATGGAGTCAAAGTGCTAAGCTCTTCTTAAAAGACATAACACCCCGTCTCATCACCTCTACTGGTGACAGGAGGGCTGGCGCATTTTTCGCCCAAAGAATCGGCATTGCCATTCAACGGGGGAATGCGGCTAGCATTCTTGCCACTATTCCACGCAGACATGACTTGTACAGTAATAACTAAGTGTACATATGTTTTGTATATATAATTAAGTATATTTGTAATTTTCTTTTTTGTAAATAAAATTTGATAAAAAAAAAATTACATATTTGAAAATATATAAAACATATACATATTTTAATTACATACATATTATATAAGATAAATACATAAATACAATTATAGATATATAATATAAATATGTAATCTAATACATACCAAAACTATATAAATATATACGTACATATAAGTGTATACATAAACATACATATGCAAATAAATGTTAAACAGAAAAATATATTGTTCAAGATTGAGCTAGAAAATGCTTTTTTATGTTCGTTTTAAACACAGCTGTAGAAGGGCTCTCCTGTAGGATTTTAGGAAGTTTATTCCATAACACTGCAGCACGTACCGAGAAAGAGTTTTGTAAAAACTTGGTGTTACTTGTCGGTATCTCAAGCATCGATGTGATGCAGGGCCGCCTGGAACGTGTAGGAGTCGGAAGCAGGTTGAACCGGGAACGAAGATAAGAAGGAAAATTGTGATTATGAAGAATATTAAATAGAAACAAAAGGATGTGCAGTGTGTGGATTATAATGATGAGATTATAATTTCACTCAGAGGGTGTCCTGCCAAGTATTTGTCCGATATTTGTTTTAGGACATACGGGTACGCGACCCCGGGTCCTCGAGCCACCACTATCATACCTTCATCCAGTCCGTGAAAGTGGTGTCCTCTCCCCCCCCTTTTCCCTTTTCTTTCTTCCTAACCTGTTCTCTATCCCTCTACCCCTCCTTTTGATTTTACCCACGAAATGTGGGGTTTTGGAGGTCAGATGGCAATCGCTCCATTTAAAACCAATTTCGCCATTTATATGAGAAGGACAAAGAAAATGCTGGGAACGGCTAGGGCGTCGCCGGCCGCCGCTAAACGACGCGCAGGCACATCGCCCTACACCTGCGACAAGTGGGCAAGAGCTACCGTGTCAAGTACGGGCACGGCTAAAGACGTTAGTACCCAGACGGAAACTCCGCTTTGCAACTTGGAATATTGGCTCTCTAACAGGACGATGCAGGGAACTCGCAGATGTACTCGTGAGACGTCGGGTCCAGTGTGCTTTCCTTCAGGAAACTCGCTGGAAGGGCAATAGGTCCCGTAACATCGGACAGGGTTCCCAGCTTATATACACTGGATCACCTTCAGGTAAAAACGGTGTAGCGGTAGTGCTTTCAGAAGAGCTTCGAAATGGTCTCCTTGAAGTTGACCGTTGCTGTGATTGGCTGATGCGGGTAAAGGTACTGATTGAGGGTGTGACCACCAACTTAATCAGTGCCTATGCCCCCCAGGCAGGCTGTAGTGTGGCCGAGAAGGAATCCTTCTGGGAGCAGTTTGAAAAGGTACTACGCGCTATACAGACTACCGAAGTGATAGTTGTTGGGAGGATTTGAACGGTCATGTGGGTAAGGCAGTTGAAACGTATGAACGTGTCCACTGTGGTTTTGGTTATGGTCGTCGCAATGCAGAGGGAGCACACATTCTAAGAACCTGTATTGCGTCTGATCTGGCCATCGTGAATACGTTCTTCAAAAAGAATGCTTAGCACCTTATCACGTATAAGAGCGGTCCTCACTCAACTTAAATTGACTATCTCCTGACCAGACGGTGTCATATTGGCAAGGTGACTAACTGCAAACGGCCCAACATCGTCTCCTTGTCATGGACTATATGTTTACCCCGAAAAAGAAACTAGCCGAGAAACGCAAACCTAGAATCAAGTGGTGGTTACTGAATGGACCGATGCGGATGGACTTCCTGGCGGAGGTTGAGAAGCAAAATGTATCGACTGACACCGAAACCGCCGAGGAGGCTTGAGATCGAGCCCAGTCAGTAATTACCGCGGCAGGAAGGCGAGTTCTTGGAGTTTCTAAGGGAGGACGAGTCATCGACAAGGAGACGTGGTGGTGGAATGATCAGGTGCAGGGGGCAATTCGAGAAAAGAAGACTGCGTTTAAAGAGTGGCAGCAAACCAACACTCATGAAGATAGAGAAGAGTACAATGCAGCCAAACGTGCTTGCAAGAGAGCTGTAGCCAGAGCCCGCAGCGATAGCTTATCTCCATTATATGATAAGCTAGAAACTGCGGAGGGGCAAAAGCTCATATACAAGCTGGCACGTGCCCGGGATAAAACGACGCAAGATATTACAAAATGTCTTTGCGTCATAGACTCCCAGGGCCCGCTGCTTTGTAACCAAACCTCTGTGAAGGAGAGATGGAAAGATTACTTCCGGGAGCTCCTGAACAACCAGCACTCATATAGTCTTTCCCCCGAACCACCCCCTAACCTAGGACTTGTTGCCCCAATAACACCTGATGAAACTCGGGACTGTCTTCGCCGAATGAAGAACCGAAAAGTGGTGGGACCTGACGAAATACCGATCGAGGCGTGGAAATAGTTAGGCTCTCTTGGTGTACTCATGCTTAGTGATTGATCTCTTTAACTATATCCTGAACACTGGGAAGATGCCTAACCAGTGTCGCTTGAACTTCATTACCCCTATTTACAAAGGAAGGGGCAGTGTTCAGGATTGCGGTAGTTATAGAGGGATCAAAATCATGTATCACACCATGAAGCTCTTCGAACGCGTGATCGATCTCAGGCTCCGCCGAGAGTGTGCTGTCTCTGAGTGTCAATGAAATGAATGAAATGAATGAAGAAATGGCATGGGTTCCAGCCGGGATCGAGCACCATGGACGCCATTTTGCCCTTAGAACTTTGGTCGAGGCTTACAGGGAGAAAAGGAGAGCTCTGCATTTGGCATTTTTGGACTTGCAGAAGGCCTTTGACTGTGTGCCTCGTCAATGCATCTGGTGGGCGTTGCGATTCAAGGGCGTGCCCGAAATCTATATTGACATTATCAGAGACATGTACCACAATTCCGCTTCCGTGGTTAGAACCGCTGTTGGCGATACCGAGCCCTTTCCGATCACTGTAGGGGTCCACCAAGGCTCGGCTCTCAGCCCGTTCTTATTCAACGTAGTACTAGATGTTGTCTCTGCCTGCATCCAGGACCAGCCTCCATGGCTTATGATGTATACAGATGACATAGCGCTCGTTGATGAGAACCGTCTGGAGCTGGAGCGTAGGGTCAACCTATGGAAAGGTACGCTTGAGAACGGCGGTCTCAAACTAAATGTGGCAAAGACCGAGTACATGGCTTGCGGGAGTCCGGACTCTAGCACCATCCAAATAGGGCTTGAACCAGCCGTTAAGTCGGAGAAGTTCAGGTACTTTGAATCCGTCCTGCACGAGTCCGGTAGCAGCGACCACGACGTTCAAGCCCGTATAAGCGCTGCTTGGGCCAAATGGCGAGAGGTCACAGGTGTGGTCTGTGATCGCAGAATACCGCCCAAGCTCAAGGGACAGATATACAAGAGCATCATCCGACCGGTCCTTTTATACGGGGGCGAGTGCTGGCCAGCGCTATCTAGGCACACTCAGGACCTTCACGTCACGGAGATGAAGATGCTGAGGTGGATGTGTGGCGTAACGCGGGCTGACCGCAAAGCGAAGTAAGCGATGGCTGGATGTTGTGAAGCAGGACATGAGAGGCAATGGACTTACACAGGATGATATTAAAGACCGTGCAAAGTGGAGGAGACTTAGCAGGAAGGCAGACCCCGGCAATAGCCGGGATTAATAATGCCAGGCAGAAGAAGATTAAAGATTATAATGTAGTCTTTATATATCATAATACATAACATATATTATGATTCTTAAATGTACATGTTTATTTTTAGTTTGTTATTAATAGTTTACTTTCATAATTAATAATTGTAGAATTGAAAGAAATTTACTATATAGGCATAAACTTTGGCTAAATATTTTTATAAAAATTCATTTATCATTATTATTTTCAACACATTTTTAACATTTCAGGGCGTATGCACACGACGACTTTTTAACACACCGTCGATACGCGTTTACGAACGCAAGCTGTCTTCAAATATTCTGCATTGATAAATAAAAACCGGTCAAGTGCGAGTCGGACTCGAAAGTCGAAGGGAAGCATCGTACAAGATAACAGTACATTTATGTAAATTCGCAATCTTGGATTAAAAATGGGGATGAAAGTTTGTATTAGAAACCAAGCTAGGGATGAACCCGAGCGAAGTGAGGGTGAGTCGCTAGTAATGGTATATATGTATTATGTACCTCTTGTCTCTTTACAAAATTCTTTTGTTCTTCCTCTTCTGCAGCTTTCTTAGCTTGGTCTTCATACTTGTGTACATGTACACGATGATTACCTGCAAATAGTATAAATTTCTGTCTGTTTGTTCCGGCTAATCTCCGAAACGGCTGGACTGATTTTGACGGGACTGTTACTGGCTACTTTAATTTTAGAAAAAGGATTAGGTTCTCAATTAAATAAATAAAACATGACTAGGGACACACCAGAGCGAGGGTAAGTCACTAGTCATAGAATAAAGTATAACTGTTAACCATATATAATATGAAAAAATATATAAATCAATACCTATGAATAGTTTATCCTTAGTCAATGCCTTGTTAAACTCCTTTTCTGTCCTAAACCCAACATAGCAGAATCCAGCAAGTTTTTTTCCTTTGCCTAATGGTAATCTTATTGAATATGGGACTAATGGTTTGAAGAATCCTTTTATATCTTTCTTTTTACATTTGTATGGTAATCCTGTCACCTGCAAAAATATGATTCAAATTTATCTCTTAAATAAACACATATCTTTTAATATTTGAAGCCTATTATTAGCTTTTACCTACTATAAATTATCCAGATTTATATCTGTTTGCCTAATTATTATTTATTAATACTTTCTTAGATTTACGCGAATATTTGACATTTTAAATAAAACTATCTTTTCGGATTTTGTCGCGGATTTATTTGAATTTTTGTTTCCCGACGTTTCGAATGCTTTACAGCATCCATGGTCACGGGAGAGACTGAGGTGTTACATGTCTTGAATGTATAGTTGTTACAGACAGCCTACCCACAATTAACAAAATGAAAATTGCACCAATTACATTACAATATTTTTTAACTTTAAACATTTTTATAATTTTAATTATAATTGAATATGGAAAATTATTTATTTAATTTTTGCTATTATTTTTATAATTATTACAATTTTAAAATATTAATTAGTAATCTATATTTAGTGTTGCCATTATTATATTTATAACCATAAAGAAAAACATAAAATATATCGAGCGCGTCCCTGCAGTCCTACCCTACATGAGAGGCGTCACTGACAAGATTGTCTACATTCTAAAGCGAGCTTCAATTAAAACTTACTTCAAGCCGCCAAAGAAAATTAGTCAGTTTCTACCACCTGTCAAGTGCCGCATCCCTCTAGAAAATGCAGGAGTTTACAAGCTTGATTGTGATTATGGGCTCTCTTACATCGGACAAACAAAGAGATCCATTAGAACCCGGGTCAAAGAACACATAGCTGATGTGAAGCACCGTCGCAATACAACATCTGCTGTCTGCAAACATTGTCAGGACCGCCCAAGCCATTACATTCGCTTTGATAGACCTCAAATCCTGGCGAAAGAAAACCGATATCGCCCTAGAATGATTCGAGAAGCCATAGAAATTAAAAAACATCAATTTCAACAGGGAAGATGGCTGGGTACTACCATCGTCATGGGATCCTGTTATTAATATAATAAAATCAAATAATAAATATAAACATAACAGACAGGCAGATGTAGTAAGTTCATACTGTGTAGATCAAAATGACAGCTTATCAGATTAATATTTTTCATTTTTCATTTGTAAAAGTATATATTAATAGTGTTGCTTAGTAAGTTGTTTTTAAATAATAGCAAACTAAATTAAAATAAGTATCCTTAATTAATTTTAACTTTTTAAATTACACATAGAACAATTATATGGCTTAAATAATTAATACTATATTTTATATTTTTCTTTATGGTTATAAATATAATAATGGCAACACTAAATATAGATTATTAATTAATATTTTAAAATTGTAATAATTATAAAAATAATAGCAAAAATTAAATAAATAATTTTCCATATTCAATTATAATTAAAATTATAAAAATATTTAAAGTTAAAAAATATTGTAATGTAATTGGTGCAATTTTCATTTTGTTAATTGTGGGTAGGCTGTCTGTAACAACTATACATTCAAGACATGTAACACCTCAGTCTCTCCCGTGACCATGGATGCTGTAAAGCATTCGAAACGTCGGGAAACAAAAAATGCAAATAAATCCGCGACAAAATCCGAAGAGATAGTTTTATTTAAAATATAATTAATTATTTATATATACTCACTTTAACATATAATAAAGGCCGGTTTCTTATTTTTTTTGGTGTATCTTCTTTTTCTTGTTTAGCTTCATGTTCTTCTTTAAATCCATTTTCTTTCTTCATCAGTTTTTTCATGTACTAAACAAATATTGACTAATTTAAATTTTAATAGTTTTGATTGTTTACATACTTTCAAATTTCATAAAAATTTCAATTGTTTACTACCTTACTCACACATTTTTATAACAAATATACAGTTTTTAGTTATTAAATATAAATTTTAATTACAAATTTTCAAGTAGATTAACTGAATAAAATTAAAGTCTTCTTATTTAACTTATAATTATATAGCCAAATATGTAGCAGTAGTAAGAACTAACCTCTAAATCACTTATTTGGGTGTCTGCAACCTTCAATACATTAGTATCTTCATTTTTTACCACTTTATCCGCACTAGTTACTTCAAGAGCTTTTCCTTCTTGGATAATATTTTCATCTTCTACACCACTATCTTCATCACTTTTATTGCATTCCTTTAAAGCGTCTTTGATCCAAGTAGTTTTTTCGTTAATATGCGCTTCAATAAACTCTGCAAATAATGGATCATTTTTGTGCTGAAATAGAAAAATTATATAGATTGCAATAGTTATAAATAGTAATGATATTAATAATGATGAAACTGATTATGTTAAGGAAACATTTATATTGACTTACTTTCTTTAATAGCTCCTTTATTTTGTTTTTATTCTTCTCAGATTTACTGAGTTTTTCTTTTTTAGGTTTAACATCTTCTTGTATATCATCTTTATGCAATTTTTTGTATGCTGTACTATCAGTTGCATATTTACTCCAAGCCCTAGGCTTTTTTTCATCTCCGAGATTTGCACAAACTTGAACATTTATTTTCATGCTATTTATAAAGGTACCATCAAAGTGTTCCCTTGCTAATGTAGCTTGTTCCTCAGTTCTATATCCGACAAAGCCAAAGTTCCTGAATTTTCCTTCTTTTGTATATTTTAATTGTACATCGGTCACTTCACCCTTCTCGCCAAAAATATCTTTCAATTTATCGACAGTAACCTAATAATAATATTATATGTATATTAATATCATATATTAATAAAGCCTAGGTCCTAAAACGTATTTTAATACTGTACCTTATTCGGAAGATTTTTTATAATTAAACGAGACATAATTTATCAATTATGTTGTCCGTAAAATATATAATTTTTTTATAATGTACCAGCATATATTTTGTGAATTGCAAATTATAAAAATATACTATTGTTTATTTTATAGATTACCTCATAAATGAGGAACTAAATTTGTTAATTATGCACTTTATAAACTAATTGTAATTTACAAGAAATCAAAACAATAACACGTGAATTGAGTTTTGACTTTTCACTTTTGACATAAGTATTAACTATTATGTCATAAAAATACAGGATTGAGTTCATGGATGACAAATAAAATTGAGATTGAGGTTACAGATGTAATATTTCTCTGGGTTATAGAGAGTTTTTATCGTAGACAGATAATTCTTCTAAGTCTACGGAGATCTATGTACATTAAAATCAGGGCTGCCACATAACAGTCGTTGATTTACCCGATCAGTAATTTCTAAATACCCGGTTTATTCCGCCGGCGCGCGCCAACCATGAGCAGAATACCCGAAAATCTTTTTTTTAGGTAATTATTCCATGTATTATATATAACAAAGAAAGGACTAATGTTAGAAAAAGAAGTTATTGTAATCAGTTCTCAATTAAACAGCTTAGAAGAAGACCATTATTTGGTTCGCAACATTTGAACACTGAGCTGAAATTATACCTATCCATGCGGAAATAAACTAAAACACCAGCTTTTACCCCTATCAATGCAAATTTTCCCGCTTTTCGGGTAATTACCCGAAAAACTGGTAATATTACTTGGCAGCGCCGATTGAAATGTCAAGTAAATATAATGCCTGGCGTCCACTAGGGTGCCGAGTCGAGGCGAATCGAACCACAAAAATTCGCCTCCTATATATTTACTATGAAACTGCGTCCATTATCGACGAGTCGCGGCGCGCCGAATCGAGTCCCCCACGCACATTGCTCGTCAGGCGAATATATTCGGCGACGCGTTTCGACTCGATTCGGCGCGCTTTAATCGACGCGAGGAATCGCATGCGCACCGGTGAGTTTTTTGTACGAGTATTTTATTTAAAGAGTACCTATGTTTCGTGTAAACGAAACAATAATGAACTATTATGTTATAGTATAACTATACTATTAAACTGTATACTTAAACATTTACGATCACTTCGCTCGGGTTCGTTACTAAGTACGTTTTAATTTTTTAACGGAGACCTAATTCTTTTTCTAAAATAAAAGTCCATAGCCTAAGTTACTCCTTATAACGTCAGCTATGTGCCAAAGAAAGTCAGACAAACAAAAAAAAATGTTTTTCTTAAAAGCAGCGTAGGTACATAGTTTTATGTTTATTTAGTAAAAATAAAAAAACTATTATTTTGAAATTACAAAGAGACACTTCAATTTTATCTATTTGTATAGGTTTATACTACAGTTTAGAGTTAAGAAGATCGAAGCGCATTTACGACCTAGTTTGCTGACGAGTTGCGATAAATGAGCAATTCGATTCAATTCGGCTGAAATGAACGCACCGGAATAAATGCAACTCGAGTCGACTCGCCTCCATTCGACGTATTTCTGCAGTCTGCTGTAGTCGACGCCAGGTTTAACCCGAAGTAGGTATCAATGGACCTTTTCCAGCACACTAAAGAGCATTATGCGGCATATTGCTCGATTTCGAATTTTTCATCTACAGCAACGCTCCGTAGCGTGATGCGCGCAACGGATGTACCAACTCAGTAGCAGTCTGTCGATCGACCTTTTAAAGGTCGATGTCAAAAAAACCCCTGTCTGTCAAGCGACCTTTTAAAGGTCGATTGGTCCCGATGTCATTTAATGTGTGATTTCTCGCATTTAAACTATATTTATTTTTATCTAACTTTTGTAACGTGTAAAGAAAAATACAAGCAATAATATCATACTACATGTCAAAAAAGTAATAACTCCAATAACATAAATTATTGTAATTTGTGCAGACTATTTATTTAAATTTTGGCGATCTTTGAACTCAATACTTGTGAGTAAAAAATTAACAAAATAGTGTAAAATTATTAGTATAAGGATTGGAATATGATGGAAGGGTAAGTAATTAACAGTTTTTATTTCATAGGATGTGTATTGAATAGATTTTATACAGAAATTGTTATATTTGTCAAACATCGTAAGCATTCACGCGCGCTTAATCCTTATATTTTCACTTTTTCTGAATAAAAAATACACTAGTGATAGCATAATATTTTTATTAACATGATTTAAATTTATAACTAAATAACTACGTATAATTGAATTTGTAAATTTTCATTGATCTTTTTTAGCATTATTTGAAATTTAATATTTTATAAATATTTTAACTGGTTTTCTAAAAAAAAATATAGAATTTTTTAAAACAGTACGATTTTTATTTTACAGATATATGTTCAACTTACACATTACTTTAAAACCTTATAAAAATAAAAAAACGTAACTGCATAAAAGCTAACTAAAAAGATAAAAACAAGTTGACGAAGGAATAAAGTATTATGCAGTTGGTGACATACACATGTACATCTCGCGACAAGGATGAAATGTATTTTTTTATTTACAGCTTTTTAATTTTATTAGAAATTTGAAGTTATAATAGGTCTTTGGAAATTGCCGTTCTACAATACTTACTGGCCATTGGAAACGTAATTTATGATTGGCCGGCAATAAATTCTAAATTCGAATGAATTTTATTTTAAGAGTATGGAGTTCTATTTTTGAATTCAGTCGTTTGTTTATTAATTAGTGTTTTGTTTTCAGTACATTTGTTTGTTTTTCATCAATATAAACACAATAAAAACACGAGTAATTATGAAATACGAGTTCCATCGCGGTAGCGATCCCGCACAAACGGCTCGCAACATTAATGACGCGTACGGAGTGCCGAGTGAACACTACAAACGAACGCACAACTCGTTATTGGTCTGAACACTTCCTACATCGAAATTTTGATCTTAAAAAATTAACCCCGTGGTCGCCCGAAAACTAAAATCAGTAACGATGCATTAAAGGCGATAGTGGAAGCTGACGATACTCAATCTGTGGCTGAGATAGCAGCAGCTTTCAACGTTAGCATCAAAACAATATAGGTCCATTTGCATCAAATTGCATCAATAGCATGGGTGCATATTTTGATTAATAGAAATGAAAAATATTTATAAAAATACAATACTTTAACTTTCTGTATATTAAACGACAATTTCATAGGTAAAGAATATTTAGCAATTTCTTATCCCAAATTACCTTTAAACATGTAAGTTGTGTTCTCTTAATTTTTTTTGTGATCACCAAAAATCTTTATTTTGAGACCCCATTCGATTGATTTGGAAGATTTTTTTACAGACACACAAATTGGCGCCTGATATCTGCCATTTTATTTTTAACTATTTTTAATTTTCAACTATAACGCGAGTATTATAGGCTATATATAGCTTATGACACTCGCGTAAATACAAAACTAACGACATATGAATCATAGTAATCGGCCCACGCGTTTGATCTCTAGAGTGTCATACATACATATGTACATACATACATAGATATACATATGTACATACATACATACATAGACTGATAAACACATTACCCTCCTTTGCATCGCGCAGTCGGGTAAAAAATAAGTTTATTTGCATTTCTTAAACTAGTATCATTTTGCATTTTGTTTATTGTAGCTGCACCAAAATTGCTTAAAACATGCGTTATCAGATTACAATATTATGATCGGAGGGTGAACAAGAAAGACCAATTGTAGGCAATGTACCCCATAGAGCGAAAGCGAACAAGGGTGTAGTGTAAAAAACTATTTATTTAAAAAAACCGACTTCCTACCTGGAAGTCGGTTTTTTTGTGATTCTAAAAGGTAAAAAATAACTAAACGGAGGTTTTCATTTAGAATAGATACCTAATCAGATATTTTCGAAGCCGGTGCCAGCCGACAATATTTTAAGATATGAATATCTAAAACGTAAATATGAATTTTATGTATCGAAATATATTAGATTTGCTTTGCATCGGCTGGAATTGACTTCGAAAATATCTAATTTATATATTATACCACGCCTTTGTTCGTTTCGACGACGTGACTGAACATCGAAGACGTGGTGAACATTATATGGGAGGAGGTTAGTATAGTTACGTATGTATCTTTACTTAGTAATAATTAGTATTTGTTGCTTTTAGGATAGGTGTTCATCTTTGCTTTTCATTTAAAAAAAAATGTATAAAAGCTTCTACCTGCAAGCAATATTCATTAAAAAGTGTCGTTTACCTAACAAAAGGCATCCAAAATTTTCAACTTCAGATTTAAAACATCTGTGACTACTAATTACAAAGTTTTTATACTATATCAAATCAATCATCAAATACTCAATACAGTAACTGGCACAATACTTCAATCGTATAAAATATGAATGAAAAATTTAAAAGTAACCCCGACATGTAATTCACCATTTTGTGGTGGCGACCATCTTGGATTCGAAAATTATACTAGTCAAGCCTAATTCATTTGATATCCATATTTAGGGAGTTGTGAAAAAATATGTAATCCGCTATTTTGTGGCGGCGGCCATTTTGGACCGATTTTCATCAAACATAGCTAAGAAAACTTCCAAATAATTCACCTTTCAAAGAAAAAATAAAATCGGATCATCTCTTCAGGAGCTACTATGCCACAGCCAGACACACACACACACACACATACACACACAGCACGTCAAACTTATAACTCCCCGTCGTTTTTGCGTCGGAGGTTGAAAACAGTAGAATAAAAATAACTCCTGTCCGAATGAATATTTGAAGTTGTTTTATTTTGTATTGATGTTTTTATTATCATTTTATTTTCATAACATAATCTGTTCAGATGTGATGGAATTGGTCGTATCCATACTTTTTTAGCTGCCCCTTGTAATTCTTATAGTGAACTTGTTAGTTTTCAGAATTGATTTCTAAAATATTCTAATAAGGCAACATGTAATTTTATTATATTTTTCTAATTTTAAATATCACTATATTGTAAGATGTTAATATATTTTAATGAAATTTTAAACAGAATTTGCTGAGCGATCCAAAGTTCGAGATGACGTTTTTTAGCACTTATTTTAAAGTGTTTGGTTTATTGTTTAATTCTCGTAAACTAAATAGTTATAAGAACTCAAACTATGTCAGTATTACGTATGTGGGCTAAACTATAATATAAATGATTATCCTAAATCTCTCGATCTTCCATGCTCTCAGAATTAAAGTATAAAAAATACCTGTTTTTTATCCGGCGCTAAGTCGCTATGATTGAGACATGTTATTGTAAAAGCTTGTGGTATAAAAAAATGTATAGTGAGTTGTGTTGTTTTAATCAATTAATATAAAATATTGTATCATTTATTAAATGAAATAATAACTTTTTTAAATAATAGTTCTATTTTGTAATAATTCCTGTTTTCATACTATATACTGATAAAAAATCACTTACAGTAATTTCAACTTAGAATTAACTATATATTATTAAATATAATTGAACTCATTTATATATATATATATATACTTGTTCGCACACAGTGCGGCATTATGCTCTGTATTCTGTAATTGGAAAACTGGGAATGTTATTTCACGTCTATGGTACGAGACAGTGAATTGTTCTATATTATAATTAATTTAATTATCAATTAATATCATGGATGACAAATAAAATAGATGAATTAGTTCCATACGAGCTCTTGGTGGATCTATCTATCCCTTTCATTTGCTTGGTAACTAGCATGCTATCTCTACATTTGGCGACAACGAGTGGGACAACAACTTATTTCTGTCGCAGTTACATACGTCACTACTGTGACGTCACTGCAATATTTTGTCATTTTTGAAATTTTCAAGTTTTAACCGTTGTTATTACTCGCCCCTGGGGACTAGGGTGTGAGGGCTTGCAGTTTTTATATTATTTTACACTTTAAATTTACATTTTATCAATTTGTAGATTAGTATTGATTAATGTGGATAAGTGCTGATTAATGTAGATCAGTGATATAGTTAAGATTTGTGCTTGGATACAAAATTTGTGATTTCTTCATTAGTGTTTCTCTTCCTTTTATTGGTTTTTTATTAATGTTGTGTAATCATGGGAAAGCATTATAATTTCGAATTGTCAGGAAGGAACAGGTTTTTCATGCCATAGAATGCCTTATAAAGATGCACTTCAATTTTATAACGTATACTTATAGAAATTCTTATAAACAGGGTTTATTTCTAGAGTAACTCTATCTGACTAGGTTTCTGCCAATGTAGCTGCAATAAATTCATTAATTTCTGATACTAAGGTAAATATACTTTGTAGTGCCAATGATGCATCAAGTGCTATCCATTATGAAGTTAATGGGAACAAAACCTATCATAAGTATGATGTACCTCATTTACTGAAATGTTTCAGTAATAATTTTCAGAAAAAGAATTTGCTCCTAGGCAGTCAGCATGCTCAATGGGATTATGTTCATATGTTGTATAAAGTAGATGACCATAAAGGTGCTGCAAGGCTAACAAATTTACTGACAGGCATATTTATCCAAACTCTTTTGTTAAGATGAAGGTAACTATATTGTTAAGTTAAGTAAATTAAGATATTATTATATTACTTTAGATATTGGATATTATCTTAAATTTAATATGAAATTGTTTTTAAGAAGGAAACTTCTTGAAGCTATTGATATTATTATACTATTTATTATTATACTATTCTATTCTAATATGTAAAATTGAAGAGTTTGTTTATTGTTTGAATGCACTTATCCATGTAATGCTCAGTCCATTAAAAATAATTTATCAACTATATAGCCTATCTATTGTATAATGTTAAAAGCTATTTAAGGGCTTAATTGGCTTATCTACCTAGACCCTAATAATAATAAACTAATACTATATTTAAATAAGCTACTATTCATCTAAAGTAGTTACTAGTACATATACTATAGTTATGGTGACTATTTGTTGTATTACATTAATTTATTATAATAATATATTTACAGGTGAAGTATATGCTGCGCAGGTGTTTCAGCAGTTGAAGTGTTTCAACATCTATAAGTCTCCTGATAAAGGCTTTTAGTTTCCAGGAAGAACACAATTATTGTAATACATTAAATGTAAATATTGAGAATGGCTTATTCACAGCTGAGATTATTTTATTCATTAATAATAAAATACATGATCCTTCTAAGAATCTGTCATCTCTAGTATGGTATGCAATTTACATAATTGAAAGACAATTACCAAAGATTTGTGAAGTTAACATATTTCCCGATTTAATAAAAGCATTTGAAAATCTTGATACCTCTTGGTACACTTGTGTAGATCATAGAGAAATATTTTTAAGAGCATTCTCATTATTTATGATATGTATAAAAGTTAAACAAAGGTGTATAAATTTTAATTGAAGAATACATAAAGTGGATTCGAGAAAAAAGGGTCTGGAAATAGAAAATTTGCTTAATATGAAAGTTTCAGAAGGGCCTAGCTATGGTTGAACTCATCTAGTCTTCAGAGTAGTGAATGATTTTTTCAATATTTTTTCATTAATTAACTTTTAATATTTATTACTCTTGTTTGTTTCATTTCTTGGTTATTTAAAAGATAATCACTTAGAATTTTCCATTTTCATTATGTTTCTATTAAGTATAAAAATAATGTATGAATATTTCATTTGATTTCTGTGAAATAATATTATAATTTCTTAAAATATACTACTATAGCAGTATATAATTTTAATATATTAATTATAATTGTTACATTTGATAGAACTATGTATTTAGAAATTTTATTTTAGAGTATGTTTAGCTGTTATTTCTTTTTACACCAAATTTTTACTATTACTATGTACATTTTGATTTTAAATTTCTTAAGCTTTTAAGAAAATTAATTTTATTATTCATTTTTTTTACTGAAATTTGCATTTTTTTTTAAATTTATATAAGATTAAAATGTTTGTTTCTTTAAATGCGCTAATCTCGAATCTTTGCATTTTATAAACTGAAGATGAAGGTGGTTCTAGAGCTAAAACTTCAAACAAAAGCTAGATTTTAATTTATACCTACAATTAAACCTACTACTCGCTTAATATGATATTGTTATTAACAAAAACTATTGTTCTATGTTACTTCTAATTTTATTGCATTGTAATATTTTATACCAAATCGTTGTACTAATTTATATTTTTTGTATTTTGTATTCAATTGATAAAATTCTTTAAAAATGTCCTTTTATTGTAATAACAATGTGTTATAAATGTTAAAAAAAAGGTTATCCCGTCAAGGACCTCAGTCCTTGCTAATTCTTCTCAGGTCTGAGGCATTTTTCCAAACTAGTGGTAGCATTAAAATAGTAAAATAAAAAAAACGAGAAACCTATCTTTGTATTTTATTTCTAATTATAATTAATATCATAAAAATGAAAACCTTACTATAAAACCGATAACAGTTGTTGAATACCGATAACATTACGATAAAAACATCCCTACTTAATCGTAATCGTAATGAATACCGATTTTCACATCACTACGAACTAAATTCTCCCAGATTCGCATATGACGTCATACCCATAGAAAGAGATGCGTGGCGACTCAAAAGAAATACAATAGCCGTGAAAGTGACAGCATATTTTGACTTGCCATTTATGCCATAACTGTCCCCATATTAAGGCAAATATAATGACACAGCTCTAAAATATAAATCAATTTTTATAACATAAAAACCTATGTTAATAGATATTTTATGTTTGATATGAAATATAATTAAAATATAAGATATTCGATAATAGTTAAAATCATTTAGAATATAATTATATAAATCAATATATAGCACATATGATTTATAAAAAAAATCATTATAAACATATTTAACTTAAGTATATTTTATAATATAATAAGATATTAATTAACATATCCCATGTAGCTATTTTTAATTTATAATGGTTAAATCGGGAAAAATCTTTCTTTGACTATCTTGACCCCCCCGGCCCCCGCTTCGTCTTATTCGCCTTCGGTTTTATGAATATGCGCTTGTATGGAGCTCGGCCGGGGCTGATTAATATCCATGGTGAATACTGAATAGCAAAGTCATATTACATATATCTTCCAACATGTTTTCATCGATCGTTATTGTTATTTAAACGTAAAGATATATAGAATTTTTTTGAATTTCGTTATTTTCTATTAATCTTTTTTTTAATATGAATGCTATGTACAAGCAATATAACATTTTGCGAAGATTATGTTGTAGAAATTTGTGTATAAACGAACCACTTTTTCAAACAAAATATTCTGAAAACGAAAATCTTAAAGATTTATGTATATACCTAAATGTAAATGAAACCAAAGCTAGGTATTTACAGTTGAAACATCCAGTTATCTCAAAATTAGATAGTGAAAAAATTAAGAATTTAATAGGGACTTTGTATGAATTGGGTTACCCTAGAGATATACTACTCGAAGAACCATCACTATGTAGTTTCTTGCCAATTACTTTGAAATATCGATATTCTGTATTACAAGAATGTGGATTACATCATATATCATCCCAACATTTAGCCTCATATTTGAATATAGTAAAACGGAAAAACATAGGAGAACTGAAAGCAAATGGAATTATTCCAACAACATTAAATATTGAAAATAGACTTGCAAGCTACATGACTCAATGGCCAACATCACTTACAACTTTAGTTTATGGTAATGTTAATGAATTTACACTTTATTCATTAAGAATTAAAATAATTCAAAGATATTTAGAATTAATGCTAGATCTCAGTCAAGAAGAATTTGCACGGGGGTTGCAAACATACCCTACTATAAAACATCGGCCTTTGCAAGCGATCAATGATACTTTGAGTATTCTACAAAATGATATATTAATGCCTAAAAATAAAATAAAATCAAACTTATATCTAGTGCATGCCGATCCAAATAATTTAAAAAAAATTATATACCACTTTAAATCTATAGGGGGTATAAATATAAAAGAGGTCTTAAGAATGCACCCAAAGTTGGCTATGGTGAACTGTTCTACTATGATAGAAACCAGAAAAGTACTAGAGGAATATGAAGTAAGTAAAGAAGCACAAATGAGATGTTTCCAGATTTATACATTAAGTCCTAAAACTATCAGAGAAAGATTGGAAAGAGCTAAAAGTATACCAGAATTTAACACATTTTTTAGTCATCCAAGGTTCCTAAAAATGATCCATTACAATAAGACTGTCTTGAAAAGATTATTGAAGTTATATAGCTATAACAAAAAATGTTCAAGTTTAAATATACTTTCAGGAAGTTCTGCTCATTATGAAATATTTGAAAAAGCACCAGGAGATCGGTTAGGAAAAGGAAAAGACCTTGTTTTCTGTATTAATAAGCTACTTGGTAATAATCATAGTATGAGTGATATACGCAATATTATAAAAAGACATCCATTTTGGATAAATATACCACTGGTACAAGTTAAATATGTTTATGAACAATTAAGTTTAAATTATTCTGCAAATGATATTTATGAAAATTGTTTCATTCTTCTGTACCCATGGAATAAAATCAGTGAAATATCTAATATACTAGATAGAAAACAAAATAAAAATTTTACATTATTTTTAGATCAAATAGATCTAGCAAGATTGAATTCATCACAAAAATTGAGTTTGATATTATATCTTTTAGAAATAAATCATTATTTTAGTGGTAATGGTGTTTGGTCAGAAGAAAAACATAAAAATATAGTTGATTTGTCTAAAAAAAATAAACATATTTGATAAATAGATAAATTTGTTGTTTTTTTACTACGTTATTACATCTTTACCTATCTTCCAGGGTAGCTAGGGAGAGCATAGTGAAGTGCTTAATAATCTTTTTATAATAGACCAAAAAACCAAAGTTCAGTACAATAATTGGCATAGAGCTGATATTTGGTACACTAATACTATTATAAAAAACCCTCAAAATCCCCACTGAAGCATGTCTGCTAAATAAAATTAAGAGTGTATCAATGTGTACATGCGCAAGAAGTGAAACTTCTGTAAGTTATCGGTATCTTATATAAAATTCAATTTATGTTTAAAATAATAGGGATAGGAGGGACACTAAAAATAGTTGTAAGTTTTTAAATGTAACTAACAAGTGGAATGTGTCTTAAATAAATAAAAATAAAAAAATAAATAAAAATTTTAATCATTTAAAAAGGAAAACTGTATTTTATTATTTATTTAGTACAGATGGTGTTTATATAAAATTTAATTTACAATCAAATGTCATAATGATTCAATAAATTATATACTCCAATAAAATCAATAATATTTCAGGGATGCAAATTTAGTGAAAAAAAAAATATATTTATAAGGGATGATTTCCGGAATAAAAAGTATCCTATGTTCTTCCCAGAATCTCAAACTATCTTCTTACCAAATTTCATCTAAACCGGTCCGGTATCGGTTTTTGAGTTTATTCGTTACAAACATACAAAAATATAAATTTTTCCTCTTTATAATCTCTGTTTTCCAATTACAGAGCATAATGCCGTACTTTGGCGCGAAATGCCGAAGTGTGCTAACTGCTAATGCTTAATTGGAATTTGGAACGTGACATAGTTTTCAAGTGCACCAGCAGAGGGCACTAGGTTCAGTGTTGAAAGAAAAAAACAACTTAATAATATATGACTAATTAATATATAATTATATAAATAAAACATTAACAAATATTACTAGATTATAATAATAAAGGTACAGGATCAATGCTTCCTTGAAGCTTCTTAACTTACTTAAATTTATGTTCGAATACATATAAATTAGCTTTTTTATATTTTATCAGATTACGTCGAAAGCTTTACGAATTAGTTCAACAATAAACATAAACAATATTATTAACGATAGTTGTAAATAAAATTTTGATCAATGCCACCTTGAAGAAAAAACACTTGTCATATTTTCTGCTATTGTGTTGGTATCCTTGCGCGTCGTGGGGGGGGGGGGGGGTTTGTGTCTTAGTATTGTCCGGCAATCAGGGGCATTCATCTTAATATTTCACTTGGAAATTCAAATATTGAAGTTGTTCACGTTACAATAGAGATGGCAGGGTAAAACATACAACTACAATTGAATGAAATAGATGTCACCACTGATGAGATGAGTTTTTAAATGTTTATATATGTAGCAATATACTCTATGCCAGCAATCTAGCCGGGCGCAAAGCTATTAGCTAAGGAGGTCGCCCACTTCGGTTGGCGGTGGGAAGTGGCCCACTTTGGTGGGCGGTGTACAATGCGGGTTGCTTCTGGTACTTCTATGATAGCAAAGTGGACTCTGGAGCAACCCTATGGTTATTGTAGTCTGCTTCGGCAAACCTATCGTCGGGGCGTTGTAATTGAGTGTGTAAAATTCATAACTTTTTTGTTTTGGAACTTATAAAAAAACTTTCAAGGTAAAATATTCTTAAAGTAATTGTTGGATGAAAAAGGTTAAATTATCAAAACTCACCTATCTTCTTTTGTTTAAAAATTAGCTTGGAAATAAGTCTGGCAAAAAACAGTTTTAGGTGATTACGACCATGAAAATTAGCCTGAAAATAACTTTCATAATCATATATTCATTTTTGTTAATAAATTTAACGTTACAAATTATATACCAATAGATAAAGGTTTTCTGCTTTATTAACCCTTATTATTGTTAATAAATAATAGAAATAATCGGATCTTAATAAAGAAAATAAACATTGAAAAGTGTAGCCATTTCCGAGAAAAGTATGATATAAGGTCTCGAGAGGCTGAAAATCACACCCAACTTCAAGTGTACGTCTACACTTAAAAAAAAATCGTTCAATTTTCTCAATCATTCTCTCAATAAATATCTTGTTTTTTTAATTATATTTTTAACTTATAAATAAATGAGATGACACTGTGAATGAATTTCATTTCTTTCTGTAATTACCTTAAAAGCTATTTTTTTCAGAAAAAGAATCAATAATTTTAACTAATAAAATATCGATGAATTCGAAAAAATAATAACATAAATAGATTCTACGGCAAAAAATATGACTGTTTTGTATTACAACAAAACAGGTATTATGTGTAGGAGAAAACACACAGCATTGAGATGAAGAAAGCAGCTCTGTGATCTGTCAAAACTATCGAGAATACAGATTAAAACATACCTGAATCCAATATAGTTTGATAATTAGGTTACCAGAGGGCGCAAGCATCTGCTTGCCGCCTTTTCCGCTGTCAAGTGTCATAGCGTCTTCATGGCCAGCAAGCACCTTGAATCAATGCTGTGTGTTTTCTCCTACACATAATACCTGTTATATTGTAATGCAAAACGGTCATATTATGTGTCTCCAAAAACATACAGCATTGAGATGAAAACCTGTTTGATATCTGCTGGTGACCAAAATTATATGAACAAAACGCTATGTGAATGAATAAACAATTAATTATATAATTATCAGCTAAGGACCTCTTTAATTGTTTATATATTTTATGTAACTTCTTTCATGTAATCAAAATATCACTTATTTAACCCATTTGGACCCAAATACAAACTAGCACAAAAATTTTGAAAACACTTTTATTTATTTATCAATTGGATGCTTAAGATAAATTTTAGGAAAAAAAACTGAAAAAAATAATCTTCCTTCTATGAAAAAAAACACCGTCCTTAACTGGGGCCAATGGGCTCATATGTGATAATTTTCAAAACATCCCGTTTCGATGCACAATGTTCTAACACATTTTTTACTTTGCCAACGTGCTTTCTTACAGCATATAACGCATCGTAGCTTTCTTGGTAAATTTCCATGAAAGTGTCCAACACCATTTTGACTCATATTTGGTACTGATGAAGGAAGTGTACGACGTCGTCCATTCTTCATTTGTTCATTCGTTGGTCTTTCAGTGCCTTCAGTCCGCAAATAATATCGGTCTATGGATCGAAGAAACTGGAGCTGATCCATTTATCTTCCACGGCCAGAACGTGAAGACGCCAGGCATTCGCTACAGCCACATACAATATATACGTAAACAAAACCCACCAGCATTTTTCGCCTCGTATGGCAGTTCTATGCATAGCAACCAACTGATCTACCTTATGAACTCCTAATTTGCCTTTGTTATAATTTTGAAATACATAGGGAATGTTTACATCTATCTTTCTCCTGTCGGTCAATATTTTGAGGGCACTAACATTTATTGGAAGTCGTGATTGTTATTTTGTACGGCAAACAACTGTGTATTCAGAAGATTCATGTCCATGATCTCGACACCATTTTTTTTTCAGAAATGATGCTAGGACTTTGGTCTTTTAGTTAGTTTATAAGGGCTTCCTTTAGGTTTCGCACACTACTCACTGCTTAGGGCTTGTCAACGTACGAATCGTCACATTTACGCCAAGCTGGATTCTGCTCTACTATTCTACGTATTTCTAAGGTTCGTCTTCGTGCTATCCCATTCAACGATATTTCTATTTCCAAATATCTCACTTCACACATCTAACTCTTCCTGGTCTCTCTATCTCGCGGAATTGCATTTTGTAAGACATCATCTTCACCCCTTCTTCTTTATCTGTGATAATACTGGGGTCTAGGGGAATAGCCACTAGGTCATAGCTGACGTCGGGATCCCCTTCCTCATTCAATATATACTCAATGGCTTCTTCGAGCCCTCGAAAGTCAATTGAGCCGTCAAACAATCGTTTCGTCATTATTTACGCCGAAACTAAACCTGTCACGAATAAACGATAAATAACATCATATCAGCCCATTGGCCCTGTTTGGGAACACTACGCTAAAATAAAGCTATTATGGTCAATTTTCGATAAATACCTAATAAAATCTTAACAATTAACAGGAAAAACTATAGCCAAGTGAACAATATCAAAATATGCGAGATTTTTTATTGTAAACACAATTATTTATAACTTACCTTTAGTCCATTATCTTTTTACACAATGTAGTACATTAAACCATCAATTACAGCCACTTTAAGAAATATTTTCGGATATTATGTTATTTATCATGAGGATACACTCAATGACACAACACATTTACATCAAAACCAACAGTTAATAAAAAAAGTGAAAAGTTGAGGGTATCTAAAGAAATGGCCCCAATCAGGGCCAGCGGGCTTAAATGGGTTAACTTAGGAAATTACTTATTAAAACAACATGATAAACAAATTTAAACACTTTAAGTATCTCAACAGACACCTTGCACCACTTTTACACCTAGTTCCATAAAATTAAAATATAATAGGTCCATCAAAATAATTCAAATTAAATATTTTAGATAACCATAGGCATAAATTTCTCTGAAAAGATAATAATTACTTACACCCTGTGTAA